ATTGCAGTATCGAAATTATGAGTGTTATATTTGGTTCACATTAATGGAATTCCTATTTATAGACTGCAAATATATTTGTTTTTGGAATTGCAGATTGCAGTACATATTTAAAGTCTACATTAATGACACGTCTTGCTCACATAAATTCCGTAAAAGTTATTTACAGTATCCAAACGCAATATGGTGCATCAGCCTAATTCCGGCTACGCTTATTATTGGTTATTCATTTTGTTGTAAATTATGCTCGATGCTATTAATCCGATTGTTCTTCCCTTTTCCTCTGCACTGTTTGTCAGCTATTTCAGACCATTTACTAAAAGCCCCCTGCAGACGGGGACAGTAGTGGCGTCCAGTACTGGCGTCCACAAGTGGCGGCCACTGTACTGTCAAGACAGTAGCCGGTACAGACACGGGGACAGTACTGGCTGCCACAGAAACTGTTTTAGTGGCGGCCAGTGTGACACCACAGTGTTTTTGTTCAGTATCAAATGGATGAATTTGACGTGGAATACGAAAATGCAGTGGATGAAGTTGTTGAAGAAGTTGTCGATGAAGTAATTAATGTTTTGAGTGAAGAATTGGAAAATATAGTAAATACCCCCGCCATTGCAAACCTGCAGACAATAGGCAAATTTCCATTAGCCTGATTTGATTAGCTTACTATATAAATTACAAAATGAAACCTTGAGCAATACTTTACAAAACGTATACAACTTTAATTTCTTTAAAACCAAACATAACCCTCCTCAATCTACATAAAGCGTCACAAACATATTTTTTTTATAAAATAAACAAACATCAGTTCATTGTACTGACCAGCTGTTTCATTAACTAAATTAAATTAAATCATTTAAACTTTGGAAGCATGCCAGGCGTAGCCCTTTGGAAATCAGCCTGTGGGGCAGAGCCCTTAGGAAATTCGTCCATATCAATACTTTTCGGCAAATCTACACACTCTAAGCTTCATTTTGATGTGACATATGCCCATATTTTTATTTGGTAAATGACCTTACCTTAACCGTTTACATAAAATTTGATTGTATCACTTTAATAATATAATAGATTTCCAATTTAGTATCGTAGAGTAAAACGAGGTGGTGGTAGACAATAGGCCTATTTGGTTAAACGACGTTGTTACATCTTCTCATGAATTTGACAGAGGAGCATATAGGCCTAATTTAATTAGTAATTAATTTTTGTTGAAATGCACACAGCAATATTACTGCTAATCCTTTGGGATTTTATTGTCTAAGTTACACCATTTAGTTTTAAACCTTACCTGTAAACCAAGTGGTTGTGATTTCATTTCGTAAAATGATTTTGTATTTTTAGCTACAAGTACATTTTTTACAAATTTACTTGCAAATCAAGGGTGGTGTGATTTTTGTTTGTATAATTATGTTGTAGTGGTTTTTTTATGATCTCGTTTTATCTTCTCCTTCTCCGCGCAACATAGGCTTAGACCTAATTAGTTGACTATTCGTTGTTGTCAAAAGAACAGAACGATTATACAATTAAATATAAATGCCATAATATTAATCACTCAATACAGAACTGATTGTTAATCAATTCGTATTACATGCAATAGACTAATATGCTCTTTAGTATTCATCCGATTTTTTCTTTTGTACTGTATTTATAATGTGGTAGACTTTTTAGACTAACATATGTCGAGGCTCTTGTTTACTTTTTAGTGTTAACTCGAAAATAATGTCATGGCGACCAATTAACCCATAAGGCCCATATTAAATTTCGAAAAGTTTGCAATTATGTAGGGAAAAGTCCTATGGTCCGATTTGTACCATTTCAGATTTATACCTTCCCATGGTTGGGTACTATGACTGTGTTAAATTTCGTGCAGATCGCTTCAGCCGTTCAAGAGGAGTACAATTTGTAAAACAAAAGCAGGAGTGTAGTATAAGAGCTTCGCTCGCTCCGCTCAATAATCCGTTCAAAACTTAATGGTATTTTGTTCGCTTTCGATAATAAAAATTCATATAAAATTCTTTAACATAATCCGTAACCATTTCAAATTATTAACATACTGAATCCGAGTATGCGTATCTCAAACTTATAAAAGGCGTGTGTCCACTTTTGTCCTTTGATGAAATTTCAGACTCGTGACTGCTAAACAGTTTAAAAATACATGTTGCAGCTTAGGACCTGACGTTTTGTATGCAATAAGTGTGTTAAAAAACACCAAGTCCGAATGGTCAACGCCAGCCTTAGCTCTATGACTTCTCCACAATTTGGCAAAGTCCGAACAAATAAAATGATCGATAAAATGTTAATGTCAACCGTAATTTGAAATGCCTGAAACAATTTATAATGTTTAAAAGAAAAAGAGTGGTGCTCATCACTCTAGTCCACTATCCGCGACTCGCGATGAATGTAACCTGGATAACGAATTTTAAAAACAGATACAAACCCCCAAACAATGCCATAATGAAATATAAGACAACCTCGTGACAAATTTCCAAGTGCATCAGTGACTCCTACTTGAAAAAAAAATTAAGATGGGTTATTTTAATAACAATATTTCAATCCACAGTGATCAGGGAATGATAAAATATGGATAATCACCCGGGGAAAATTACTTCAACTAAATTAATTAAAAAGGAAAGCCAACGTGATTAGTTATTAACACTGTGCATGAGTGAGTGATATTGGCGTTGACTCGGTCGCGCCCCTATTCTAGTGCTTTCCGCAGCAGATGCTAGAACAGTTCGTCAAAAAGACGATGTGGTAGCGATTGAGACCAATGGAAAGTAGTGGGGGTGGAGGGGAAGCCTCGTTTTACCGTTAAACGGAACACGATTAGATTTGTTGAAAATGTGTACAGGACCTCTAATCGACCGTGGACAGTCACACGAAAATCAAGCTGTGTGTAGAAGGATCGACGCTAGCGCTCCAGCGGCCAATCGTCGACACTACCACGTTTACATTTCACTGCTATTCGAGGTCCTGATGAAACCCTATACAAAACATATATTTTTAGGATGCTCTCAGCCTGTTTAGTACGAATCTGAGGTCATTCGGATCCGAGGTCCTGACTTCAGGACCTCGAATTCTAAAAGACCTCAGATAACCGTGAGTGGACACACAAAAGACCTCGTATTGGTGCTTATGTACACCCACACACACATACACACACACACAGACATCACTTCAAAAACCACTTTTTTGGGTCCAGGGGGACCCAAAACGAATATATCCACTCAAAACTCAAACTCGAAAATTTTGACGAAAACAATACTTTCTCCATATACTATGGTATAGGGGGAGAAAGTAAAAATCTATACTAAAGGACCTATGCTGCGCTGCAGCGTTAAAATAAATATCATATCTTAGATTTTTGATTGTGTAATACAGTATCTTACACTTAACTGATTCAAACGATCAATAGCTCAAATTAAAGCCTATAATTGACTGATTATTTTGAGTCTAAAACATATAAAAAAACGTAAACAATACTGGAGCTATTGATATTCAATCATAGAAAAACCTTATAATTTTTTTTTATGTTGGATGTTCACCTTGCGTTTGCTTGAAAACCGTCCGATTTGAATAACTAATATCTTAAATGCAAGCCGGTATTTCACTGAAGGTTCTTAGACCAAAATATATAGGGTTATATAATTACAAATGGTAAAATACTGTACAATTTAAATTGAAATACCAATTAAAAAATATATCAAACCTATGTTTTTTGGTCGAGTAATAAAGTAGATAAATATAGGCCTACGATGATGCTTGATGTGAAATATATGTGTGCATACTACCAATTTAAGACCTCAATCATGATGATCGGACGTGTAGAAGAGCCAAAGAAACTCGGAAAAGAAAAAAAAAACAAATTTAACTCCCTTTAGAAATATATGGGGGGTAAATTTAATTTATGTATAAGCCGAGTGGAACTCTCGATAAATATATACTGATGCTTGATGTGAAATCTGTGCGTGCATACCTTCAATTTGAGACCTCAATAATGAAAATCGGGTGGGTAGAAGAGCCAAACTAACTCGGAAAAGAAAAACCAAATTTAACTCCCATAAGAAATACATGGGGAAAATGTTGTTTACGTATAAGCCGAGTGGGACTGTAGGCAACTATATGCCGATGCTTGATGTGAAATCTGTGCGTTAATACCTTCAATTTGAGACCTCAATCATGAAAATAGGTCGGGTTGTAGAGCCAAACGAACTCGCTAAAGAAAAACCATTTTTTTTAATATATATATTCATGATATTTTCGTGTTTTCCGGAACATGCTGTAATTTACAAGTGGCAAACACCTAAAACCTTAAAGTACATGTCAATACAAACCAAAAAAATGTATATGTCGAAAATTCCTACCGGGGGGGGAGGGGGGGTAAACGCCAGCCTCCACTCTATAAGGTTAACATGGGAAACTCCAGAGCCAACTGGGGCGGAGCCCGAGAGTCCGATCAGAATAAAAACTACTTAGTTTTCCTATTTAATGCCTAAAAAATCAGTGTACCAAATTTCAGCCTCCTAGGTAAATGGTGGGAAGTGGGAGAATTAGTGATGAGTGAGTGAGTGAGTCAGTCAGTCAGTCAGTCAGTCAGTGAGGGCTTTGCCTTTTATATATATAGATACATATATAAAAATTTGAACGAATGGTGTTTTTGGCCTCTGGGGACATTAAAATGAAAAAGTAAATCGGTCCCGGGCCTAAGTCTTACCATGAGTACCTATGGTAATAGCTACTTCCCTATAGGGAAATTCGCTAAAAAATAGTAAGACAAAGAATAAAATGTTTTGGTCCTTCACACAGGCCTAAATCGTCTTACTAATCTACACTCATTTTGTGAGTTAAGTTAAACTTTTATATCTAAAAGAACAACTTAAGGTTCTTATCATGATGAATTTATACACCCTTTTAATGCTAAATACAATTTTACAATAGTGAGGTACTAAAATCAAACAAATTTAAGGATAAAATCTTTACCAAATAATAAAAAATAAAAATTACTGTACCCTAAACTGTGCCCTCAAAGCACTATTGGCTGCAAAATCGTCCTTCCAAGCGGTGTGATTGCGGTTGATGAGTCTTCCTAGCGTAGGGTTCAACTTTTTGGCAGATCCTTCGTCACTGGTTCCGTGTTCCAGTTTGAACATAGCATCGTCAAACAGTCTCTTTGAAGTTTCCTTGTCCTCTGGTACAACTTGTCCATTCTGCGTCGGATCCCACCGGTTCTCCTGTCTTCTCGCCCCACTCACGATAACATAGTCTAGATTCTAGAAAAATATCTGTTATAAGTTTAGTTCCAATTAGTCCTTACTATTTATTTTTATGATTGTTGTGTATTAGGAAAGAACAGATAACATCCTAATGTAACCTAATGTTAAAAGGAAAGCCACATGAATAATTGTGCATTTGAGTCTTTAACAAAGTAAAATTCAGGTTGAGATTATACTATCCACAAATCATTATTATCGCTTTATTCTATGGCCTATACATAATACTTTCTTAATGAATAGAATTTACAAATAAAACAGGTTAGGCTGACTTTCTAAAAGTAATATTGTTATTAACCCTAGATATGTGACTTCACAGAGATTTCCTTAAAGTTTTTCCAGTTGTACGTATTTAAGTCACATTAACTCACCTATGTATTTCTAGGAATAGACAACCTCATTTTACTCTTCAAAATTCTCCCCCAAAAACCCCTTTTTTTATCCTAGGACACTGGGCACAAGCACAGGATTTTCCACATTATTTCAGGCTAGACCTAGGGTTGCAGCATTATCACTTAGACAAAATCCATCGGTGATTTGGCAGGATTTTAACTCGGGACCTCAGGGAACCCCCCCCCCCCTTTACTACCCCTTACATCCTAGTGAGAATATGAAGTGTCATGTAACACTGACTCTACCATGTATTTTGCCCTCTAAGTTTTTAGAGTTTAGTTTAATGTGTCCCCTCTTGTGTTTTGTTTTCTCTTATTATTTACATTCTTTTTATATACCAATAAGTGTTCAATCATATTTATCTAATTGATCTAAATGGCATGTGTATGTATTTTTTACGATTTATTATGCTTTCACATAGTTTGTCTATGATTTCATTGTCCAGAAAAAAACTGTGTGAGCGATCTTTTAGGCTTTATGATCAAATCACCCATGAAGGGTTGAATTTCAATAATTTGACAAAGGCTATGTGGCCACAGATGTAGGCTAATTTATTACAGTATTATTACATATAAGCTTGGTAACTGATGCAATATAAGTTACGCACAAATAAATATACCACATTAACTCTTCACTACTTACCCCTGGATCAGTCTTGATTTCAAAATGATTGTCGCACAGATGACATTTCATACGAAACTGGTATATTGGAGTAGAATAGTACATACCAATTTTTGTCTTCTCTGCATTATACCTGAAAGTACCAAGTGATTTCATGTCAATTCTACCGGTCCTCTTCTAAAATCTAGTATTCTCGATTGATGTTGTCATTTTCATTTAAAAAACTCATGATTAACAATAATATTAAGTAGGCTACATGGCACAGTCTGGCATGTTTTATACAAACCCTACAAAGCTGCCAAGTAGAGATTTTTATGAATTAGAAAATTATTCTTTCAGCTAATACAACAGTTGATTTTTCAAGCAGTGGTTTTCAAGAGATGTGGTGTATAGTCAATAATATTGGCAGGAAAAGAACAACAGACCTGGTCAAATTGTTTTATTCTTAAGCATGCCAATCCTAATAAAACTAATATTTACAAATTCAAACAAACCTGACTCCCATTCCAATGTGGTTTTTGCAGCCTTCGCACCAAATGTTGTAGGGCATTTCAAATCGGATGATAAGAATACCCATGTGCAGCTTCCGGGCTCGCTCTCGGAGAGCGTGAGTGCCCAGAAATTTGTTGAGGCCGCCAGCCTTCGGATCATAGTCTGGCGGATAATATTTATTTGTACCTTTCCGTTCACCCATTTTGGATCTTCCTTACTGATACCTGTACATATAGCAACCATCACATATGTATAGATTGAAAACAAACTAAATAACAAGATTTTAATGGTAAAAGTGATTTGCTTTATTGACTGTTCAAACTGAACAAATAACTTCACCAATTTACAAGATAAAGAATCTCCAAACATACAAGAAAAATTGAATAAGCCAACCAATATGTATGTACGCTTTGCCTTCTCTTGTCATCAGAGGCGAGAATGTTACTAATGGCGGACACGGAGGTTGTATCCTCGGCCTGGAAGGGGGCCTCATTTGGGCTCTCAAAGGATATTTTTTTTTATATATTTCACCGATAATATGTTAGGGGTTTTAATTTTTTCAGCAGAGCTTTTGATTTTTATGATTGCCATAAGCGTCTGCAAAGATTGTGCGATCGAGAATCATGAACTTACAGCAATCGTGGGACAAAGACTTTGCAGCTACAAAATATGTTTAAGATTTCTCTACAGTTACAGGAGATGTTCATAATTTCACTGTGACTGTAGGAGACGTTTATGATTCCTCCACAGTAACTGAAGATATCCTCAATTTCACCGCTACTAGAGGGGAGGCTCATGATTTTTTCATGACCGAGGACTATTTTGTTCATTGTCAATTTCACTCTGTATTAAAGTAGCCTATAACAATTAATAGGTATTAAAAATTAATACTTTCCAGCCCGATTTTGACCTGACCTCATTTTGGCATGAGACTTGAAGGTCAAAATCTTTGTCCCTACCCAAGCTAAACAAGTGTGGCTCTCAAACCCTAAATATTATTATAAAAAATTAAATGGAATTACGATGGCTATACAGGCAGTGACACATTTTTTGGCCTGGCGCTGCAGTTGTCATGGGTAGGGCCGCTATGCTATCTTGGCACCAGAATGTTCCTACAATCAGTACGCAGCCAGCTGCGGTAGGCCTAGCTAGACTAACAATACACAAATGCCCAACCTAAGTTGGAATACACTACAGAAGGTAGCAGTCAAAAAATATGCACTGTATAACAGTCGTCATGATATAACATGCAAATAATAACCAATCACAAAACACTATATAGTCTATAAAAGGTGTAGTGTGAACAGCTCACACAATGGAACACTAATAGCACCGTTCGCAATGACTCCACCAATGAGACTTATTTGCATGTTGAATCATGACTTGACTGTTATACAGTGCATATTTTTTGACTGCTACCTTCTGTAGTGTATTCCAACTTAGGTTGGGCATTTGTGTATCGTTCGTTGTAAAGTGCTTTGTATATAAATAGGTAGGCCTACCTCAAGTTTTTTATGACAGTTTAAGAATTAAAATTCATCCAGTTTCATAAATTCTAACTTGTTTCCATACAGGAAATTAAGGCATGGAATGAGAACTCTTAACTTATATTAAGATGTATGAATTTACGTAACATAGTTTTAAGGTTCTTTAACTGCCTAACTTATGTGTTCAAACGTCCAAAATTTTAGAATTTTCATAAATTCCCAATATTTGGGAATCTCTCGGTCCTACGCCAAAGAAATATTCACGGCAATATTCCCAGTTAATAAGTTCCCTCCCACTAGCAATATTCCCGACCCACATCACTAGACAGGGTGTCACTACTGGAACATGCCCTGCCAACTGTTGGTACATAGGCCAGAATTCTTTATTTTCTTAGAGTAGACAGGGGACTATGGGTAACTACTGGAACATACCAGTAACCTGTCAACTTTCGGTGCGTAGGCCTGAACTCTAATTTTCTCAGTAACTTAAAGATAATTTTGTAATCTATAATATTAAAACGAAACAGGGTTTTTTTATTTCACGATTCTGAATCAACCACTCGACGGATTTTCATGATTTTTGGGTTGAAAGAAAGATAATTTTGAGAACTAGGGAATGTAGAAGCCATAATTTTAGTTTAGGGTCCCAGTTATTTAGAAATTAAGTTTTAATTTTTGAAAAGTCTAGCAGCCGACGCTAAGATTCTAAACTAGCTTTTGGTGTAATATAATTTGTTTAACATAACAGCTGTAAACATTCAGCGTTTGTAACACAAATACAGCATTTGGATAAAATTAAAAGACATAAGGGTTGACTTATTTATACTATGTGTAATGCTAATCATTGATACGTTCAATCCTTCGATAAGACGATGACAGATTATTTAAATATACATAGGTAAAATACTAAGATGTTCAAATGATTTTTTAAATGAATCTTTGCAATCTTCGGTTTGTTTTAGTGCAACATAATTTTCTTTTAACTAACAACTGGTTAAATATAAAAATGCTCTGTAGAACTACGAGGTTATTTTATTTACTCTGATTAGTCATTGATTTTTAGGAAATAAGTAAGATTAGCAGACCACCGAGAAAAGTAACACCATCAATGTATACAAGTTGAGGCTCTGTACACGAGTCTTAAAAAAAGTGTTTGCAAATTATTATACTGCTCAACTTTTTTAGGAAAGGGTAGGAAAATCATTTTTTTACACGTTTTAATTCATCTTGGTTTGATTACAATCAATGTTTTTGAATGATTAAACTTTGTTTGGATTAGGCCCGGAAATATTGATGTCATAAAGAAGGAGACCAAGAACCCTCAATAATACGATTTTAAATTACCACCCCAACCCAGACGGGTTTTATCCAAAGATATACAGATATGAATGACATAGATTGAGCACAACGTAATCATTGACCTAGGATACTGCAATTAGACTAACTATCCTTTTATGAAATCTAAAAAGTTGTCTGGCGTGTGTTTAATTGTGATTACGTTTGGAGGCGCTGAATATTTTATAGTTTAAATAAATGAATATGGGGAATTACGGTGTACATTGATTCAATGAGGGCGGTTTAATTATTAAGGATATTAGAACTGATAACGGAACGGATAATAAACATAGACAATTAATAAACATAGTCACTAGCTTTACTAGCGTGTTTTACGTTTTAAATTCCTTCAAACATGCGACCAGTTCTTTTGTTCAAATGAATATTATTTTATTTTTGACTCAGCTGTTTACCAAAACAAACTATATGTTGTTGTTTTTACTTTTCTTTGTTTACACATATTTATTTAGCAATTGATGCAGTGAAATTGATATACAGGATATGTGTGGACGATTCGTTTAAAAATGTCAGGACAACAACGTTCTAATTATGTGTACTGTGAATTTTATTGGATGTTTTCGTTTAATTTTAGGGAGTTTCTATTCAGATCTACTGGAAATTGTGTATAGTATGAGTAATTGTATTGTGTTGATATTGATTATGGAAGAGGCAGGTATGCGATGGAATTGGAAGGTGATATCGTTGACTAGGCCTATACACTTTCTCAATTGATAATTACTCTTCCTACTGTAGGCTGCTATAAAATTTGTCTTTATACGTGTACGCTAGCTGTTCTGATTTGTACACAGTTTTAACTGACTACTCCCGTATGTAGGACGGGCTAACACCTCGTTTAAGTAACAACCAAACTAAACCCAAAAGAGCTAAATCATAGGCTATTGTTTGTATGATTTTACGTAATAAAATGCCACCTACAAAGGGGAGTATGCCGTTCAATAGCCAAGGTCAAATTACAAGGGCAGATGAAGACATGACAGTACCTAGGGAAAATATCAGTGGCTAGTGCCGTAAAACCAAATCAGATTATTTATTAATGTATACTTTCTAATAAATTTTATATGTTATGGTTTCTGTATCTAAAACTAAATATCTGGAAATATATTGTAGTCTTCATAAGAATGGTTAAAAGAATCAAAGTGTAAACTACTGGTACACTGGGTGTCAACTATATTGGTAAAATCCAAAAATCCATGTGTCAACTACTGGTAACTTACATGTGCAAATATTAAGAAAATCATTAGCTTACCGGTAACTTATTTATTTATTTGGTTAATCTAATTCAATAAAAAAATTAGGCCTATATATGTAAGTGTAATGTAGCCTAGGTACAAAGTCTAATGTTTATTTATCAGTAGGCCCAATTGTTTTCTAAATTACCTTGAAAATTTTGATTTGAGAATTTTATCATCCATTTCCATCCTAAAGGTGTCAACTACCTACAGGGACGTTTACCTTAACCTAACCTAACTAATGTAACCAAACTTGCTGATAATGAAAAAATCGCATGAAGGTTTACTAATCGAATCGATAGTTCTAATCGATTCAATGTAGGCCTAATGGGTTTCCCGTTGGAATAAATAAATAAATCGATATTACCATAGCCCAGTTAAGTTAAGACTGAGAGTGTACCCCCAAAACTACAATCACGATTGTTGTAGTGAGCTGCGAAACTCAGATAGGGGATCACTATTATGTCCATCTACCATAGGCCTATAATAGGCTTAAGGATAAACTCACGGCAAACGTACCCTAAACTTAAGTTAAATCCATTGAAATTTTTACAAAACAATCAATTGAGTGTTACTTAGGCCTATAAACCCTTAATATGTTAGGGTAATATTTCTAACCTAAAAAATTCCAAGAAACTTCTGTTCTGACAGAATAGATTTTTTTATCTAGTAATTTCTTTGAGCGAAATAATTGTGCTACTCACTTGGTGTCCTTATAAGTTAGTTAATCAAACTTAACATAAGTTCCTGAAGCAGTTGGGGGATAAGTTAGTTTGTGTTGTTTATGTTTGATATTGATTGCTTGCAAATGTTATTTTAAATTCAATGACAGATCGCATTCACAAACCCAGTCACATCGTCACATATCAACCAACACATCACATCACGTCGTAGTAATTACTAACACAAACACAAAAAAGAGGTGTTAATTGATAATGACGAATTTTTTTATAACTTGTAAGTTACCTAGTAAATGCTTGTAAAAAACTTATGACCTGTTCCTGTTCCTTAGTGGGTAAGTAACCACAACCTGTTACCAAGAACACGTTACTGTACTGGTTAGTGGTTATGGTTATGGTTACTCCCACTGTAGCTCAGTGCAGTGGTTACTCCATATTAATACGGTCACCGTGTTATTTTTGTAACGCTATCTGCTCCACGCTCATTGGCTTATGAACTGATTTCCTGTGCCGGTTCCGTCCGTCAGGATCAAAGACGAAAGCAACAAAACATATTGTTTAAAATAATAATACAACCCAACCCAGCAAACCTGCAGACTAAGCGAATTTCAACTTGTCTGATTACATTTTTACTAAAATATTTCCATAATAAGAGATATTTGTTCCCAATTTAAATAAGATTAGATTTAACGCGTGCTTAGGTTTGCTGTTACGGGGAAGGTAAAAATATGTTTGACCAAACGTCAATAGTATAGGATGAAATAAATCAATTTGCCAATTGTTTCAACATATATCCATAAACAAGTAAACTACAACAGTTTTCATTTTCTACATAAAGAATAACATGGGAATTTTAAATTTACATTTTTTTTCTCCGTAACCATTAGGCATACAACAATGCTTCAATATACTAAATTGTTTTTTTTTTTATTTAGCTCAACAAAATGGTTGGGAAAGAAAAATTTTATGTTTTTAGGGTCAAAAATTTAAAAACTCCATTTTTACCCCATAAGCCCCCATTCCCATGGTCCGATCATGCTATGGTTCGTGAACTCGTTTGAATAAATGTAGGTTTAACGTTATCAAATTTCATCAAAATCTGATAATATTTGTTCGAGTTATCGAGCTAACAGACATATATATATATATAAATATATATATCTATACAGGGTGATCAACTCAAGGAGGCCACCATTGGGACATCAGGGTAAGAATTAGAAAAAACTTTAAATGGGGGACATTCCTTTATTTTTTGTGGCAGTAAAAAAAATTATTTTATTTTTTCAAAATTCAGCCGCCATTTTCCAAAATGGCGACCAACTTTGAAATTTCTTATGGAACACCCTATATTTTATCATGTTTTCGGATAGAATATTCAATTTGAAAACTTTTTTATTCTTGACATTTGTTCGATAAACCCACTCGTTTAGGAGTTAGCCTATAGAAAAACGACTTCCAGTGAACATTTTACATCATGTAGCTCCTAAACATGTAGGTAATAGCGAAAATGCAAATAGTAAATAAGTCTTAAAACTGCATCCACATTCCATAAAGACCATAAAATACACATTTTTCCACTTTTCAAATTTGCCGCCATTTTGGAAAATGGCCGCAATTTTTTAAATAATAGAATTAATATTTTTAACGAATTTTATGGTCTTTATGGTCGAACGAGCTAACCTGAAGGCAAGTGAGCGTAGCGAACGAACTTCAACCAGGACGTGATTGAGCCATGCGAACGAGATCATCTTGAAAATTAAGAAGTTAAACGGGGCAAAGCCCGCGGGTTACAGCTAGTATATATATATATATGTGAATTTGAACGGATGGTGTTTTTGGCCTCTGGGGACCTCAAAACGAAAAAGTAAATCCGTCCCAGGTCCAGGTCTTATCACGAGACCTAAGGTAATAGCCTATTCCCTATATGGGAAATTCGCTAAAAGGTGAGGAAACGTTCCATTCCAGCCGGAATTAAACGTACACGAGAACTGTACGTAGCACGTAACATTAACACCAACAATACAACCATAAGCTACAAACAACAAAACAATTCATCTCAATGGGCTGATTGGCTAAACCCAAGCAATTGGCTAAAACAATATCTCCAAACCAGGAAACTTGACTATTTTCACCATTAATCATAGCTTGAAAAGAGGAAAATAAGTTAGTATTTATCTAGTATAAAAAAACCATTGATAGTGTTTCCAAATAACTTCAGAAAAAACAGCAAAACAGTGGCACTCTTTTCTCTTTAATGTTCAACAGAGAGTAGTGACTCCAGTTATAATCTATTCATCTCAATGGTGGTAGGGCATGATGGAAGTAAATATTACTTTAAAGTAAATTTATTTCCGCCATGGTGGTAGGGAGGTAACAGACTACTACAAAATTAACAGGTTACTGTAACCTGTTACTAAGTTGTAATGGGATGATTAGATTGTCGTCTATCCATCATAATGCCAGACTGCCAGTGTGTAGTGTGTGTCTCGTCCTCCTCGTTAAGACGAGCCAACTCAACTAGTCTCAGTATTTCCCTGCTAACGCAAAAATACATTTTAGCACTGCCTAGCTAACGCCATTGACTTTAGATAAACTATACAGTAGTCAATTTCTATGACATAGTTCATCAATATATTCATGTACCAAAGATAAACTACTAAGTAGTGAATATTCAATTATTTGTATAGGTAATGTGTGTCCAATTTCAGAATAAAAAGAACTTAGCTTGTGTACTTTATATCTTATCTTTTAATAAATAATCATTTATCCATAGTCAAAGATGGTGATGTTGTCTATCATTCAACCCGACCATGACACCATAAACTATGTGTACCGGTACTTAAATGTTTAGTAAATGAGACATCAACAGTCTTAGTGCTGGTGGTGCAAGATACTGTAAGAAGACCCACTGAAGATAACACAAATGGTAGTAAAATGTAAGGTGCATAAATGTACGTTTCAGTTTACTAAATCCTTAAAACTTCCTCCAGAGAAGTTTCATATCATAACATCAGTGCAATTTTTTCCCCTTCCCTTGTCAAACTAAGTTCTTGTGATCTTTTAGCTAAGTTCATGATTGTACACATTCATGTATTTTAATTCCATCTCACTTTTGCAAGGAGGGTGAATAGGACAAAGCTGTTAAAGCAAGATTGTTTAAAGATATCAACAATTATAAATGACAAAAGTAATTGAAGAATGTTGTTCAAAATTTCAAATTAAAATGGTCAGAAATTAAGGAAAAACAGCTACTCCTATAACTCTTAAGACTGTTGACAAAATGGATGTTTAAGTATCCCGGATAAACAAAATGACATAAATTATAGGTCAGTAACCTGTCCAATCAATCCTATATTTGTAGAGGATGACTAGCTTCGGGATTAAAACCCGTTTTAAATCCTTTTTGTCAATTCTCAAACATAATTTTCTTGTACTTACGGTACAAATTTACATTTTAAATGGTTTATGTCTTATATGTGTCATGTTTTTATATTTTTGTAAAATTAAATGTTTCTTTATATGTGAAATGTGACAATGGCTAGTGCAAGAAAATTATGTTTGACGATTGACAAAAAAAATTTGAACATGGGATTTTAACCAGTAACCCCGAAACTAGTCATCCACGACAAATAATATAGGATTGATTGATGACGGATTAGTATTATTTTTGTCATTTAATCAATCCTGAAGGCAAATTATGAATAAACTAAATGATTTAGACAACTTGAAAGCATAAAGAATTCTTACAAGATTACAATAAACAAGCTTTTCCCCTAAGTGTTCACACATTATTCTTGTACACTAATAATTATATAAGACAGGGAACTTTGGTTATTTACCTTAGTCTTTTTACCTATAATGATGATTATTTGACTACCTACGATATTGATTAGTGTCCAATCTGTCTAGTTAAGTTGACACAAGGGTAAAAAATTTCTATGAAGTAGACAATTTAGTTCACCAGTAAAATTTCAACAGTAGATTGGGGAAAAAACTTGATTGCAGATTTAACTTTTATTTATACATATAAACCATAAATATAACAGTACTAATAAAACTCAGACACTTCATGGCCAAGAAGGAGCTTCCCCAGGAGCCAACTGTCGTCCGAAGAGAGAACTCTTGTCTCTGAACCTCGTCATTCTCAGAGTCTCCAGGTCATCTATATACTTGCCCAATAGAAGACCAGCCAGTGGGATGCCCAGCCAGACAAAGTCTTTAGTTATACCAAACAGTGCTCTGCCCATTCTGCAAGAAAGGCAAAATAGTTAATTTAAGGTCTATTTTATCTGTGCTACAGTTAACCCTCCAGTACACGCGCCGCGGACTCAGAGTCCGCACATTTGAAAGAAACATGCCGAAATAAGTGAATCCGCGAGTGAATGACATAGACACGCCATCTACATACGCCCACTACCTTTCTAAGGACAATGGTGGTGTTTTGACTGTCTTATTGTCAGTTGGCCCGGAGCTACGAGGATGTAAATTTAGGCGCGCCATGTTTAAAGAGGATGAAGAACAGGTCACATTTTCAATTTGAAATATTTGTAATTATTTTGAAATTTAACCATGTATATTTTCCCTATATTTTGATTATTTTAAATTTTGATGCTATATGTACTTTATTAGGTATATAAAAGAGCGTTTCCAGTAAGAAGTAAGACGCGGACTGTTAGTCCGCACACGTGTACTGGTGTTACTATTAGCCGCTTGTGTACTGGAGGGTTAATCTGTCCTTTGAAACTACCTGTTATGTACTCAAAAGATTCATCCTGACTCAAAATTGTCAGGCTAGTAAGTGGGTATTAAGTGGAAATCGTCATTAAGGTTTGGAAACGACAAAGTTAATAAAAACAACAACACGGAAATGAAAACCCATTTACACACATTTAACAACTATCTTAGCCAGGTAAAAACATTATTAAACACAATAAAACAACCTAAAATTTAGTTCTTGGTAAAATTTCTTTACAAACTTATTGAATTGGGAAATCAGCTATTAGTAAAACCGTAATACTTCCATAATTGTAATAATTTAAGTTGAATATGTGTCATTGAAAGACTAAGTAACCCCTTTGATATAAATCTACAGACTATGCAATTTATAGTTTGGGATATTAAGTTTTTACTAAAACAAGTTTAAAGTCAAACTAACTTTACGTTTAGATACCCAGTAAAAAGAACCTTTTGTACAAAGGTTTATAGCCGAGACAATCCCAAGGTTAGGACAATCTTAATTGAACATAAAAGAAGGTTGGATAGTTTAATAAGTATAAAAGAAGGACCAGGGGGGCAAATGTGACCCCCTCATTCCACATACAATAAAAAAAAGCCCCTGCAGAAGCTCCTTGTTACACTAAGAAAGTTGTGCGATAGTTGTGAGATAAACTTGATGCATGAAATGATAACACAGAAAGACTATGATCATATTTGAAAACCTAACTTTTCATGATGACGAGTGTACAGCTGGTACCAGAGGGAAAAACCATGTGAAAGGTCAGGAACAGTTGGTAATAATTCCAAGGTGTTAGAAATCTCTTGGGCCTTCTAATAGTGAAATATGAATTTACATGGAATCACAGTTATTACGACAGGACAAATAAATTATATGAAAAACTAGAACAAAGCTCTTAGAGATCTAACGTAAAAGCTAACTTAACAATTTAGTTAGTTACTCATGTCCTTGTCAAGTTTCAGAGTTGTCCACCAACAGATAAAATGACTATCTGTGGGTTAAAGAAAAAAGGACAGTGATGTCTTATTTGTACAAGTAACAAGTTGACACCAAATTTGTACATGGTCCAGGATTTAAACTATAAAACAAAATTCAGGGTTTTTTATGGTAATAAATATCAAATATTTTGTGACATTGATAAAAGTAATAGACAATAACAGTAGTTCACAAGGATCTAAGGCGAGATTCAGGCAGATTTGCGGCTACATCAATGCACAACAATATGGGTCTCAAATTAAATACACGCCAGCCAAATAGGATTATCTGATCTGATTTCTGACGAATGGTTTATGGACAAAACTGATGGACAAAATGGTTTATAATGAACTATATAATAATCTATTGAATTGTTAACAGAAAATCTTTGAAAAAAGAAGTAAAACTCTGAATGCATTAAAAACTAACTGAATATTTCAAAGTATCAAAGTACTTTTAGGCCTATCTGTATATTAATCGGCAGCATGTTTCTTTAAAACCTGTTTTCTAAGCTTGTGTGCATTACAGCCCTAACACGCATAGTGTTAGAAAGATATTTTCCTGTAGATGTGCAGAATCGCTTTATTAAGTAAAATAGGCTAAAAAATAAGCTGAAAAAAAGAATTTTAAATTTGAAAAAAAATAACATGGGCCTTATGGGTTGCCATGCTGGTGACAAAATAACAACAGAATATAAACAGAAAATCAAAGCGCCCTCTGGTGTTTGAAAATCAATGCGCCCAACGGAAGGTTAATGAAGAGTAACTAGCCAGGCCAATATTCTTTCTATAAATAAGGTAAGCTTTTCTAAGTTGATCCTCTTACTCTAACTACAGAGTATTTATTTGGGGGGATACTTACATTAGTTGTTGAGTGTATCCTTGTCCTTAGCTTCTTTCAGAGATAGCTTCCACTTTCTGGTGTGGTTCCAATCCAAGAAAATTGATGTAAAAGCAATAGAAGGAAAAATGATGCAAGCACTCCACCTACTTAGAAATCTCCGAACTTTCAATAAATCAAGCTCTGCCATCAACCTGAAAAATTTACAAGTTATAGAAATGTTTGCCTACATAAGTTACCACACCACAGATATAATATAACAAATTCTTTTGTTACAAATATCTACATAAGCACATGTCTCTTAAATTAAGTTATAATGGGGGTTAAAAATAAAATAGTGACACAAATCATGTAAACACTGCATTATTAGCCCTTGGATGAAAATTTATAAAGTTTAATTTTGATGTGCTGGTAGGATAAAAATAAATTTGCTAGGTAGCCTACTCAATAGGCTACATGTTTAGCCTAATCGCCACCTTAACTTCTAAGGTATGCACTATATCTCCAACAAAAAAACCACTTGACAGCTTTTCACAATAATTAAGAATATCGTTGAATCAAATTATTATCTAGTCAGTTCGGTTTATTCCCTCTTATCCTATGTGACAGCCAGAACCATCATGTAACAGGTCGTCACAATTTTCTCAACTCTGATTAATACATTGTTCTGCAGTAACATTTCAATTGAAAATGGGGTGTGGATTTCTTTTACTAAGCAGTGGCTTGTTGATTTTACTTTGACTATAGTTGAATTTATTAATTTAAACGTTTAAAAGTAGCCTAAATCAAGACTTACCTTGGACATAATTTTAAAATCTGTATTTATATCACAATCCACCTGCAACATGAACAAATATCAGGAAAAATTTAGTCCTAGGTTCAAATTATGATTTAGACATGAATAATAGATTTGCACTAACAAGATTGGACTACAACATTGCCTCCTCAGAGCATCTGCACAATTTCTATGATTACACTTGTTACTATTATTACCATGGCAACAGGCTGGCCCAACTTGGCTGGGGCAACTTTGCCACACACCAATACCGCGTCCTTGTATTAGAGGAGGCTATGCATGGGTACAGCTAAAGCATTGTAATTCTTAACTTGGACTCCCAGGTTGCGGGACAAGTTAAGTTAGTCATAGCATTCAACTGTTTACCTATGCCAAGTTATTTTTGCTTAAGTTAGATAGTTGTTGTAATTGAAAAAGTTTGGTGCCATAACTTCTTGATGGCCATTAATTGGCCTGGTTGTATATTTTTGTTCTTATTTCTTAAATTATAAGAATGAGATTTATCTTTTGGTTCCCCCTACTTCTAGTTTATTGCAATTATTATTGATTCATATATATATACTGCCCGTAAACAGTAAATATTCTTAGGTCCTTGAAATGTTCTTTAGCTGACTCGTCCCGCTGCAGCTTGAACATGATTCTAACCACTCTTATTTGCTTCTTTAAAATGCTATCTAGGTTACATTTTTTTGTTGAGCCGTATAGTGCCAAATGAGATATGTGAATGCACATGTGCAAAATATATATTTTTTAAAGTTTTCAAATCACAGTAAAAAGACATACCTAGCCTCCTTGATAAAGCATGAATTCCGGAATTAATTTTAATTGAAATTTGTGGACACGTTTATCCCAATTCAAGTGCTGATCTAGTATTAAACCCAAAAATTTTTACTAATTTCTTCATCAATATTTGGAAGTTATGGCTTATTGTTGTTGGCTCCTTCCGTCTGTTTTGCATCGTCATTTTAAATTTATAGTTTTTTGTAAATTCATCATCAAGTTGTGGCAAGGCCACACTAAAAAAGCAGGCCGTAACGCTCGCCAAGCATGACATCACGATAGAAGACGGCAATGACGTAATGTTTGCGGTTTGTGATCAGCTGCTTATTTTAATCTTTCCTTGGAAAATAAATAAATAAGTATCTACGTCATTGCCGTCTTCTATCGTGACGTCATGCTTGACGAGCATTACGGCCTGTTTTTTTAGTGTGGCCTTGGTTGTAGTTACTAAGTTAATTCCCAATACTTTCCAGTTCTACATAAGCGAACATTTCTGTTTGCTCAATTGAGTTTGATGATATGATCAAATTCGAGTCATCAGCATGCAGACATATTGTTCAATTTTTATTATTAAAGAATCTTTCATTCCAACATAGATAGCAAAAAAATAGCTAGAGGATGTTAATTAGGAGACTATCTACACAATACCTGACCCTGCAGATGCTTTTAGGATGTTGTCTGATCTTTTCCAAGAACAATTTGACTTTGTCTTTCTAATAATGAAGTAATGAAGAAAAACAGCAAGTTATGAAATCTAAAACCATCAACAAGAAAACCTAACATTTGGTATAGCCCAGAGTTGAGCAAGCTGCGGTCCCTGATGGTTTTAGTCCATGATCGCTACAAACTGACCCTTGACACTGCTCTGAAAATCAAATACCTCTCACTCTCACTCTATACCAAGATTAAAATACCCTCGCCGCAGCAAACCTGCAGACTAAGCGAATTTCCATTTGCCTGATTTGGTTTTCAATTAAATCTATTAAAATAACATTAGGTTTAACGAGTACCTAGGTTTGCTGCCTACAGGGCTAGTACTAAAGTGTGTTTTTTAGTAAAATATTAATTAGCTAAGTATAAAATAAATAGATTCGCCAGGTTTGATCCAAATATATCCATAAACAAGCAAACTACAACAGTTCACTTATTCCCCGTAAAATAAAATGGGAATTTTTAATTTATAATTTTCTCCGTAGCCAATAATCATACAGAAACACTTCAATATACTAAATTATTTGTTTATTTACGCTCTTTAAAATGGTCTAGAGAAAATTTGGGAAATTTTTTTGAGAGTCAAAAATGAGAAAACCCAATTTTTACCCTATAAATCCCCCCATAAAGTTCCCATGGTCCGATCATGCTAATATATATATATATATATATATGTGAATTTGAACGGATGGTATTTTTGGCCTCTGGGGACAACAAAATGAAAAAGTAAATCGGTCCCGGGTCCAAGTCTTACCATGAGACCAACGGTAATAGCTTATTCCCTATATCGGAAATTTGCTAAAAGACTACTTACAGTTCCAAAGTTAGGTAAGCTAAGGAAATTTCCAATGCACAGACCATCTTGAATGCTCCTAATTCATGTAAAGCCGCTTGGGACATCATTAACCAACATAGACCATCCACTCATGTACCATCATCTCCCGACGACTTTAATGACTACTTTTCTGAGGTATAGCTGATAATATAATCTCTGACCTACCTCTGTTACATCCTACCGCAGTTGACAACCTCTCGGATCTAACCCCATCTAACACCCTTAGAAATTGGAAAAAGGTGAGTGAGAAAGATCTGATCAAAATAGTAAGTACAAAATTTGGTAAAGATTCTTTTAGTCAAGATATAAATGGAGTTTCAAGTCATATTCTCAAATCTGTAGCCGTATTTAAATCTATTGCTGTTCCTCTTGCTTATTTAGTTAAAAGCTGCTTTACTGAAGGTGTATTTTTTGAAAACCTGAAGATAGCTAAAACAACTCCTATCTACAAGAAGGGTGACCCTGTACACTCCGCCAACTTTCGGCTGATATCAATTCTCCTTTTTTTAAGTTTTGGAAGCAGTTATGAAACAACAACTGGTGGCCTTTTTCGAGAACAATAACTTGTTCAAAGAATCCACAACCACTGCACTCCTTAGCCTAGTCAAGAACATCTCTGGATGCCTTTGAATCTAATGACTCTGTCCATCTCAAGTCTTTGTGATCTTAGCAAGGTGTTTGACGTGGTTTCTCATGATGTCCTCCTTGTCAAGCTTGTCAAATATGGCCTCACTGCAGTAGTTCACAAATCATTCAGCTACTTGGAAAAAAGGAAACAATTTGTTTCGCTCCAGGGAGCCTCCTCAAGTACCAGGCAAATGCACCATGGTGTGCCCCAAGGTTCGATTCTGGGCTCTGTCTTGTTCGTCATAATGATCAACGATCTGTTCCTTAACAGGCGAACGCTGCTCTTTGCAGACGACACTACTGATCAGGCACAGCAACCTGAACCACCTGAGAACAGAGGCAGCATTTCTGCTGGATGAAGCCAAAGAATACTTGTTTTAAATTGCCTCAAAATCAATGAATAAGACACAGTCCATCACGTGCACCCTCAAACCAGGGTATCAAAGACGAGGCGGTCAAACTGCTAGGACTCTGGGTTGATTGCAAACTTAACTGGCACCTCCATGTGGATAAGGTGTGCGTTAGGCTAAGTAGATTAAAAGCATGAGATCACAGGTCCTAATGTACCTACTCATAATGTACCACTACCACACATGTTATTCCATAGCCACATAAATTATGGACTGCTGGTAAGCCTATGGGGCCATAGCCACGCGACCCAGAGTGTAACGTTAGGTCAAAACCATAATACTAGAAACAATAAAGTATTTGCTTATACAAGCCACAATCTTAAATTATATGAAAAGAAACCTTCCTATGCAGGTATATGCTCTTTCGGTGGATTTAAGATCCACAGAAGATTTTAGTGTTTTTAAGAAAAAACTTAAAAGTTTAATGCTTTCCAAACCGTTGTACTCTCTAGATGAGTTTTTTTTATTAATCTAATGTCATAAACTTATGTCTAGGTCTAATTTCATGTACATAACAGTGAATTCATTAACTTATAATCTTTTGTAGTATATCGTAGTAAGTTAGTTAAAATTTAAAATTGACGCCATTCTATGTACCGGTACCTACGCATGTATAAAAAAATGAATAAAAAGTTATCTTGAATCTTGTACTATGGTAATTATTAAGTACGGTATAGGTGCTTCCAAATGAATTTTTAATTTCGATGTCTAACTTTACAGTTTTATAACTCCTGATCCAAATACACACCATTATTTTTCACCGCTGACGAATATTTTCTTAAGATATCGCCGTCAAAATAAACAACATTATCTACAATAAACAAGGTAGGATGGATGACATTTACAAGTGGAATGAACTGTGGGCGAGGCAGTGATGGGCGATACGGACGATACGTATCGGAAAAAAATATCGTATCACCGTATTGTATCGAGCATCTGAATCGCGATACGCGAATCGTATCGTCAAAAATATCGAAAAACGATACTATCGTATCGTTCCCCCCCTCCCCTACCTAACCTAGAAACGAAACGACCAATTATATATAATCAATAAGGAATGTCAAACTAACATAAAGCTAACTTGATATCTAGACACTAAAATGATATAAGGATGAAAAATCTAGCCTACATTAAACTCAATCTCTGGTTGACTCTTAAGTTATGATTTGAGAAATTACAGTACAGTAAGGAGCTTAATAGGCATATGAAATACTTGTGATATCTACTGTACCGGTACACTAAGAAATTACTTAAGCTCCACCCAGCCACTCTCTCCTCCATACAATCTTGGGCTTTACCCTTAATTACGTTAGGTTGGGTTATCATATTTACAAATTAAGTAAGTCGTTAAACTCTCTATTAAAATCATATTCTCACAACCCGACAACCCTGGTTTCCCAGCTCGTAGGAATTACAGGGGGATGGGACTGGTACATTATCAAGTAAAATCCAAAAATACAGACGTCACAAACTCCTATTTCAATCTACACATCCACAGAGTAGGGTACAGATTTTGCAGTTCGCTCGGCTTGCGCAAAAAAAGCTTTAACCCTCCGAGGGTCACGCGTCAAAAAATAGACGCACAACACACTTTGTGTAGGGTCACGCGTCTAGTTTAAGACGCACAAACATCGTTTACGGCGAAGGCTCTATGACTGACTGAATCGGATTGAACTGGATCGAGTTAGGTATCGTTCTTTTCATTAGATTCTAAGCTTTCTAAAGGTCTGTCTCTAAGCGCTGTTTGTTCTCTGAGCCGATCGTAATTGTTAGCAGACAGCTGACGTGCATATTAGTAAACAGGTTACTTAACCTCGGACCGATGACTGATGTGTTTTATTATGTTTATCATTGTTTTAGTGTTAAAAATCAAAAGTAGTGATATACGTGGTGCATTATAAGAAGATTTAAGTGGTTTTGAAGTGCTGGTTGATGATCCTGAAGAAGTAGGTAGTGATATTGATGTAAATTATCAGCCAGATTCCTAGCTATGGTTAGGCTATTCATTCTTAGCTAAACGCTAGGCCTATGTACTGAAATCCGTTTTTCGCTCATAACTTATTTATTTGATAACTTACCTCGCTATATGATTATATATTTGTAATCCTCATTAAATTTAGAACAAAGTGGCTATTTTCAAATATTTATAGGCCTATAATTTATACAATTTCATTGAGCGCGAACTTATTTTTTTTTTGAAAATTTTCGAAATTATATTTTTTTTACCTAAAAATTTTTTTTGGAAAAAATGTTCCTTATGTTTTATATATAATATTGAAGCCCATGATTTTCCAAACAAAATGGTATATAGAACATTAGAATTAACATTGTTTTAAGCTTCTCAGATCCGTTTTAATAAAACCTTGCAAAGGGGCCAAAAATAGGTGGACATTAAGGCCTAAACTATGGACCTTTGGAGGGTTAAAAAATATCGTTATGACATGAATCGTATCGCTCAATGTGCCTAGCCTATATAAATATAAATATCGTTTTAGGCGATACGATACGTATCGTTTTTTTAAATATCTTATCGTCCCTCACGTATTGCGATATTCCGATACGATACTATACATATCGCACATCACTATGGCGGTGAGGTATGCCAACAGCTGATTGTTTTCAATCATAGTCAAGCAAACCTTTAATTTATAAATGGGCTAATAATGTGTGTTAATTTCCCCATCGCTAACATCTCACAAGAGAAAAATTTAGTGCAAGAAGGTGTAGGCCTAGGCCTAAGCGACGATTCATATGACCGTAATCAATGATTTTGACTGTTCCAAAACAACTAGATAAGGCTTTTTCACCATTATTATGGTGAAGAATAAAGTTATATGCTTGTGTCGGAGACCTTTCCAAATTGTAAACAATAAAAATAACTTACGATTTTCAATGAAAATATATTGATGTCCTTCACCAGATGAAAAGCTCGACACTCGTCACTCACTACGGTGACGGTCACTCACTCGATCGACAGAAAAAAAACTAAAAACAAACGTAGTGACTTGACTAGCCTACTGACTAATTCAATTCGCACGTCAAAATGACGTCACAACCCGTTCCAGTTCCAGTTCCAGCGTTCCAGCATTGCCAATTAGGTACTTATTAGGACCCAGACCCTAGCTTAAAATGTTCTAAAATCACTTTTAAGCTATTCTAGGACATCAATACTACAACTTTATTAAAGCATTTTTTGGCGCCGAGACCTCCTTTTATTATTAATTAAATATATAAACAATAATCCCAACTCACTAGGGGGCCGGTGGGAATTTGGGGTTTTGGGTCCTAAATTTTTACCACCAATTAATGCAAAGGGAACAGTGACTTAAAAAAAAAAAAAAAAAAAAAAAGAGGTTGGCGGCTTCTTTTAACCTTGCATTTGCCCGTCCACATAGACTAAGCGCCCGTGCGTGGACCGTTTACAGCAAAGCAAGGAGTGAGCCGGTACAGTACGAAGGTGATCACTGTACTGATAAAATGTTATCAGCAGTGACCAGGATCCGAACCCACGACATCGCTGCCTAGGGCCCGAAGTCCGCGACGCTACCGACTGAGCCACCGACTCACTAAAATTCTAGAACCTAGAAGCCATTTTTAATAAATTACTCATTCACAATAAATTTCAATTTCGGCGAAGATGGAGGTTCCTTTCCTTTAAAATTTTGCAATTTTGAAGCGTTAATAATTTATTTAAAAAAAGACGAGCATAAGTGGATTGAACATTCTAGAACAGTCGATCAATGGAGCGCGAAAGCCATTTTTGCTATCAAAAGGAATTTTTGAAATTAATGTTACAAATACTTTGGTTAGGTGGTTAGTTTAGAACAGTCTCATTTCATAATAAATCAAATTAGTTGCGGGCAGATAACGTAAAGTTGATTCCATCCATTTCGGCTGATGAGGTAACTGCCGTTTCCTAATAGGTACCAGGTTTTCTTAGTGTACAACCTGTTCCCAAACTCAAAAAGGTAACTGGAAGGAACATAATGTGACGTCATTATTAACAGATCACACTAAAAATCCCCGAAAAAGGGTCTGACCAAGGCAAGGCCGCACTAGATATACCTATATATAGATATACCGCACTGTTCATACCTGCCAATTTGGCTATGGGTGAGATATTCACCTCGGATTTGCGTCATTGTTTTTCTTTAGAAAAAAAAACCCTTCGAAATGATGGGTCACTCAACAGGGTTGCTATTTGAAAAAAAATAAGTCACCCCCTACCTTGTTAGGGGGGTTAACAAATTTTTGAAGTAAAAAATTGCGAAACTGTTTGTTAGTAATTATTGCCACAAACAAAATATTTCTATCTATTTCGGTTTTAAAAATACAGATTTGTTTCCAGTCTTAATTTATACGCAGTAATTCCATAATAAAAACTATTACGGTATTTTTTATAGTTTATGACTAAGTAATTACTTGCATACTTACAAAATATTTTATTTAATTTAAAACCCTTCATTCTCATTAAAGTTGAATGTCAAATCGGTTTATCAACCAGTAGGCAAATAATATATTAAAATAGTTTTATCAAAAAAAGTTTGTAGCAAATTATGTAAAAAGTATTATAGTTGGATATATGTCTCCCCCACCGAAAACCCCGAATATCCACCGGTCCCCTAGTGAGTTTGGTTGATTGCTGACAGTTAATTCGTTAATACATTTTCGCTTATATTACATTGTCACAAACAACAAACAATTCTCACACATTCGTGATCTGCTTGTTATTCCGGTTAATTTGATTACCCACATGACGTGATTTTGAAAAAAGGGGGTTTTGTTCATTTCGGTAGTTTTTTTTGGGTTTATCGTCGTTTTCGACGGAAGAATTTTGACTATTTTGAGTAGAATAAAAAAGTCGGGTGCAGATCCTAAAAAGCATATCAACCAATTTGTTTAAAAAAATGTGTTTTAGTGGTTGGAAACTGGATCCAGCTTCCAAACAAATTATTGAGCTTTTGGTACAAGAATAGAGAAACGGGCTTATCAAAATATTTAGTTACAAAGCTCAACAAACAGGTCATCTCCTCGATTCAAAGTTCAAATGGTAATTTACAATAGGCCTACTTGAGAAAAGACAAAACTTATGATATCCGACTTTGGTTTGACTTCATTGTAATTTAATAATTATCAATTAATTAATTGCTACAGTCGGTGTAAGAGAATGGGATTTTATCAATTAGTTTGATAGTTTTATCATGGATAAAACCATAGATAAAAGTGTTGGTTAGTCTATGATAAAACGTGTTGGTTAGTCCATCGTTTATGCTTGGCAGTGCAATGAAGTCATCGAAATTTCGCAAATATTTAATCTATGTTGTCAATAACAATAAATTATTGTACTTGAATTAAACTTATTTATGCTTATTAATTCTAGCTTTATGCTTAATTTTGTCTAACATTGGCTGCATAATTACTTAGTGTGGTAATAATGGTACTAATCAGTAAATCAGCGCAATAACACATAATTAACTCGTTGAGGATGTATGAAATTTTGTACAGTATGTCTTTTAGATAACTTTTCCCACCAAAGGCTATTTTGTATTCACCAACTCAGCTGATCTTTACTAATTGGAATACAGACGACATATTCGCGATCGTGGGCATTCTCTTGAGGGAGGGAACGACGACTGTCAAAATAAGCTAGTTCTAACCTTATTCTAGTTTTGAATTGCCAGGCTAAGAGGCTATAGATAGGTTTTATTACTATTCAATATTCAAGGTGAACCAGGGTACCTGTAGTGTAGGATTTAGAGGACATCCTCTTTTGTAATAATGTTTTCTGTAGCCTCCTTCGCATTTTAATAGCGTACTTGAGAAATACTTCACTATGGATATTCTTAAACTATTTTCAGATTTTTTAAGTATTATCACAATTTCTTCATGCTTGATTATCAAGTTTCCACAGATACTTAGCATTCACAGATTAAAATCTGCTAGTGGTATAAACATTTATGGGTTACTTCTAGAATTAGCAAGGTTAGTATGGACCCAAATCATTTATCAAATTAATCAAACTAAATAGCAATACTGTAATATACCTACCTCTAGCCATGTTTAAATTCCACTTCTTAAAACTGTAATTACTTAGTTTTGTTGTCAGCTAGTTGATTATCAGCTAGGTAAGTGATATATTTTTTCATCCTACACTCATCCCCATTCCTACTTGGCTTAAGTAAAATATCTACCTTCGTATGGTTGTCGTTCATAAGAAACGTTCTATAAGACGTGTTTAAACTGTTCCTAGACACCAACACTACATCTTTCTTAGATTACTTTTTTGTCGCCGAGGCTTTCTGTAGACACCTCACCAAGATTACTAGACACCACACCAAGATTACTAGACACCATCCCATTACTAGACACCATTACCTTGATTAACTTAACCTAACTGTAATCTGGGTGTAGTGTCTAGTAATATAGGCTAGGTATGGTGTCTAGAAAATAAGGCTTGGTGTCTAGTAATCTGGGCGTGGTGTCTAGGCCTAGTAATCTTGTTTAGGTGTCTAGTATAGTAAACTGCCCTGTCACGATGTTTATGCAAGTTTTTCAGGGGTGTTGTCTAGTAATCTAAGTGTGATGTCTACAGGAAGTCTCGGCGACCAAAAAGTCATTTGAGAAAGTTGTAGTGTTGGTGTCTAGGAACAGTTTAAAAACGTCTTATAGGACGTTCTAGGTGAGTTGGGGAAAGTGAATTATAACCAAGTTACCCACTATGTAATCATTAATTATACAGTAACAATGTTGCACTACAACACATATATGCTTAAGTTATGACGTTACAGGGCGCAGCTCAGATCTGAGAAAACCCACAATGTTAATAATAGTTATTTTGTTTATATTTTTGTAAACTTCTGCAAATAATGTCCTGTTGTATTGAACAGACATAACTTAGACTAAATGTTGTACAACACCTTTGATAGTTTATATACTTTTTGCAACCTTACATTTTACAGGTTAAGTGTAAGAAAGGGCCATGTGGCCCTAACTTTTCCTGTGTAAATAAATGATTTTTCGTTTAATTTCAACCTTATTTAAGATTTTAAGTTATCTTCATAATAATTAAGATAGTTGTAAATCAAAAGATTATTTGATATGGTTTTAAATAATGGAAATAGAAATTTGATCATTTGCATTTCATTACCGTACCCTGTGTAACATAATGCCTCTCTTTACCTGTACTAAGTTATCTACTGGTATATTAGCAATTGAAAGATCATAACCAAGTTTTCATAACTCCAAGTACTTTTAAATACAACATTTCATAACTCCAAGTAAAATTATGTCCAAGTAAATTAAAACCAAAATATCATAAGACCAAGTTTCATAACTCCAAGCGTTCATAACTCCAAGATTCATAAGTCCAAGTTAAAATAAAACCAAGTAAATTAAAATACAAAATTTCATAACTCCAAACGTACAGATTTGCAAGGACCACAAGTCCAAGTTTCATAACTCCAAGGGTTCATAACACCAAGTTTCATAACTCCAAGTGACAATGGGTACAGTCTGTGCAGGAAGCGATAACGTACGCACACACACGCACCCATTACACACACACATGCTGGAAGAGAGTTTCCGATGTTGGCGAGATTATTCGAAGTGGTGCGTTCCCTGTCGCTTTGCACGTTCGTCTAAATTGTAATACAAATAGTGAGAGGATGAAATTTACATATTTAAATTCTGCGTAAACTGATGTTTAATACTATATAAATACAATTTAGTTCGTGCAGATGATTAATGTTTAATAATGGAAAATGTGAAAAGGTTGTTCAATGTAAACATGAAAAAGTAAGTGAGCGAGGATTTTTTTTATTTTTTGGTCAGATGAAAACTTTCAGCGAGAAAAGTATAGATAATAAGATGTTCTTCAATTTTTGTTCCAAACATTTTTTCGTAAGTCTTTTAGTTTGTCCAATAATCGACTTAGATGACCACCATGAGGTGAATGAATTAGTTTACGCGCACAGTATTTTAGCAATTGCCGTCTTCCAACAACAATATTAAGGAAATACAGTATTAGTTCACGTTTTAAAATGTATAAACTATGAAAAATATTTAGTCTTAACTTCTTAAGCTGTATGTACGAAATTTCGAAATTTTGTCTACATAATATTCGTGGTGCACAACGCAAATAAGTCGTAGGGCCTTTTTTTCCACTATTTTTCATCTCCTATTTTCGGAAAAAATTTAAACAGTATTAATCCAGGTTAAGGTTTCATCTTGTAGCATTCATTTGTAAATATAAAATTTGATTATAGTTACAATTACTTGTTCCCTCATAAATCTTTATTCCGTAACAAATATGAGAGTGTATGTTAGCAAAGTAAATTGTACGCAAAATGTCTGTAGTGCATAATGGGTGTAATAAAAAAATACCATATTAAAAATTTTAAAAATACTATCTAGACTTGTATGATCCAAACAAGCGGATATAATCTATAGATAGGTCTAAACATTTGGATTTCGTGACTAAATTATCATAGAAATAGGTTTTTGAGTAAATACATCTATACCTAATACCAGATTGTTTTATTTGAGTTAAATAGAAGGTATTTATCATTTAGGTATTATTGAAGTACCTTAATGAGTTAAGTACTTTAATATAAGAATTGATGTCGTCCAGTGGTCAAAACTCGACCACAATCCAAATAAAATATGAACTTATCTATATTCATCCCACGCTGAAAATCAAACATGTGATGATTGTGTACCAGTCTTCATATTTGTTTTGATTTTCTGTATATTTATCGTTGTTATTGCGTCACCAGAATTTTAACTCATAATCCAAATGTTAGTTTTTTGTTTGTGTTAAATTCGTTGTCGTACTTATTTTTCATCAAATTGTCTGTCACAATTTTATTTGTTCAATTGGTGTATTTTTTGTTTAGTTGCAATAACGTTAATTATATTTACCTGAGAAATGCAAAGTTAAAGACCTTCTGTTGTTCAGATGATTTTTGTTTCCCTTAGCATATGAATAATAATTAAAAGCCTTCAGTAAAATGTTGGTAAGGGGCTCTTGGATATTTTCATAGGCTATTATTAAAATTGCTTGACTTTTATGAAAACATAGATTAATGTCATTGACGTACCAGATTTATTTGGCTTTAGAGGGCTTTCCTCTGCAATGATTACAAAGTTAAGTCCATGTTTCCTAATAAAATTTGTAGCACTTCGGCTAACATCCTCGTTCATAGTTTGTAGGAATCTGAATCTTGTAGGTGTTCTTCATTATACAGGCTAATGACGATAGTTAATTCTTTAAAAAAATATTATCTCTATTTCTTCTACTAGGGGGCGTTCTATGACTTTTAATGTTTCAATAATTTGCAAATGGGTTCTTTCAATGATTTATTTTTCAAAGATTTAATTTTTGTAGGACGCTTTTCTTTGAAATGCAGTTTAAATATTGACAGCAATTAAATTATACAGCTGATCAAAATTTAAACAATTATGATCTTCATAAGGATAACATGGGAACCTTCAAAGCCACTGGGGTAGAGCCCAAGGGACTTTTTCAAATCCAGTTCAAGGCCAGTTTGCAAATCTACGAGACACGCTCTTTCCAATGATACGTCAATGGATAAAATCGGTTAAGAAATGACGGAGGAGTTCAACCGACAAACTTCGTGTTCGCGTATTAATTATATAGATATACGTATCACGTTTCGTTTAGCCTACAGGTAGGAAATGTCGCTCATTACGAAAATCTATATAATTAATACGCTACATGAAACTTTGTCGGTTGAACTCCTCCGCCATTTCTTAACCGATTTTATCCATTGACATCTCATTGGAAAGAACGTGTCGCGTAGATTTGCAAACTGGCCTTACATTTTTACTGGCTCTGCCCCAGTGGCTTTGAAAGTTCCCATGTTATCCTTATGATGAACATAATTGTTTACATTTTGGTCAGCTGTTTAATTTAATTGCTGTTATTTATTTTTCAATTCAATGAAACCCATCGAGTACATTTATTTACTATTTGAGTTTGTGTAAACATAACCTCCAAGACGGATTTTGTTAGTATGGTTGTACAGTATCTTAAATTTGTGTATTTATTTATCGTTGTTTTGTGTAGCTATGACGGATCGTGTTAGTACGATTGTAACATTTATCGTTGTTTTGTGTAGCTATCATTTGTTTATTTGTTGTTTTTTTTTCTTTTATATGCCTCCGACGTGACGACAACAACACATATAGACAGGAGGCGTAATCGTGATAACGACCGCAGCTCACAGAACAGTGGCGAGTATTTAGACTTAACTCATCACAGTCAGCACCTGACCCTGGACAATCTCAACTATTAGGTTACAAATGCCCCCACATTTCACACACACTACCCCAAAACGACTTTTCGTTCTCAATTGGCCCTCCATAAATGACCTGTGTTGCCTGTACAGCGAGGCATTTTGAGAAGGAGAAAACCGGCCCGAATGCTTTAGGTTTATCAATAACGAAGATAAACAAAGTCTGAGTTACACACCGGTAATCTTTGAGTTGACTCTTTTAAATTCGTTGTAAATATGACTGTTATTCGTTTTGAAATATCTTCTGTAATATTTGCAATTGCTCGAATTCGAGCAACATGTACACTAGTATTTATTAATTCTTTTAATAATGACTCTAGAGAAGAGTTAGAAAATTAAAAGGTGTAGAACAATACAGCTAACAAAAGTGGTCCTGTAACATTTGGTCATAACTTGAACCCATATGACATTATGGATCCTTTCATGTTCTGGAATTGATGGAGAGTTGCGTGGAGGGGCGAGCAGGGGCGTGTGGGACTTTTTTAGTATCCATACTGGCAACCTGCCTGCCGCTTACTTCGAATTGTCAATGTTACCAACATGACGTGGCTTCCGTGCCCCGTCTTCTGAACTGCCCGTTTAAAAAATGTAAATTTAAGTAAGAAAGGCCTATAAATATAAATATAATAAAAAAAATATAAATATAAATATAAATTAAAATATAAATATTGCATATAAATACAATCAAATTAAATGTAAACGGTTATGGCTTTACATTAAAGACTAAAAAGATAAACAAGAGTTGCCACATATGTTAGTCAAAGAATCGTTTAAAAAGTACATTACCGTATAGGACACAGAAAAAGGGAAGAACAATAAGATTAATATCATTGAGCATAATTTACTACAAAATGAAAACAACCAATAATTATGGTCGCCAGAATAAGGCTGAAACACCTTTGACTTTAAATAATCTAAATATCCATTACATTTTAACCAAATATAAGCCTACCATTGAGTTATATTTCCATTTAACTTGCAATTCCAAGTAGGCTTTCCATTTCAGTGAACTAGACTTACAATTAAATAATGCAGACTTTGAATAGGTACTGCAATAATTAGGACTTCCATTAATATGAACCGAAGATACCACTGAGTTTAGATGCTGCAAGTAGACATTCCATTGACGTGAACCAGACGTAACATTGACTTAATATACTGCGAATCGGCACTCCGTTTATGGGAATCAAATTAACCATTTCTTTGGATCCTGCAAGTAGACAATTTATTTATGTGAACGATATGTACCATTGAGTTTGTATACTTCAAGTAAACAATTCGTTTAAGTGAACCCGACGTATCATTGACTGAATGCTGCAAATAGGCATCTTATTTATGTGAACCAAATGGACCATTGAAATTGGATACTGCAAGTAAATTTCTCATTTTTGTGAAGCTGGCGTACTATTGATTTAGGATACTGCTACTGCAAATAGACATTTAATTTATGAGAACCAGATGACACATATATACTTTGAGGTAGACAATACATTTAATTGAACCAGACTTGTAATTGACTTTGAATAACGAAATTAGACATTGCATTCATTTGAAACAAAATATATACTAATGAGATTGGATACTGCAAGTATACATTTCATTTACGAGAAACATATGTAACATTGACTTTAGAAATTATTTGATTATTATGTCTGCTATCTGCTCAATGTTGCAAGCAGACAACTGCATTGTACACTTAGTGTAAATTACCTGAAATGTAAAGTTAAAACTGTGAAACACAGGAACGTTTCTCATCCAAAGTCCCCGTGCGATCTCTAGTGTTCACTTGGTAATACATGTGTATTACAAAGTATAGGGTGTTTTCAACTCCCCACGTGAGTGTTAACGTTTCGTAAAAAGTACAAGTTCCTGTATAAGGTAATGTTGTTCTTTTTGCGAAAGACTCTAAAAGTAATGAAAGGACATTTTTTATTTACATTTATTTCGATAACAAACAAGTGTTTTTGACATATAAATAAATTTGTTTGCACAAAACTTGTGTGTATTACGATCCCCCCCCTAAAAACTGCTTTTTTAGTAGTACATTTTAGGGAAAAATAATACCTTTACCATTCACAGACATATTATAATCTTTTAAAAATTATATATTTTCCGGGTAGTACATATGCTAGTTATTCAATATCAAACAGTTCAATGACAAAATACATATTTTTTAATACAACAAATGGTTTATATGCAAAACTTGACCAAATACACACACAAACTGCAGTTGGTAAAAGAAATATATTATTTACATTGTATAACTTAAAATAAATAACTCTTTCATATTGGAAACAGTATACAGTAAAATAAAAACAAGCCCATGGGGCGTAGCCCAAGGGAAATATGAAAATTAAATGATATTATATTGCATTGTCTTCCATTTGTGCATGTTTCAAGTTTCAAGTCTCTAGCTCATCGGGAAGTTAGTATAAAATTGATTGCAAAATTTGTACCGGACAAGAAAGCGAGCTAATAAAAACGTTTTAATAAACTTAAATAACAACAAAAAATGTTATTTACCAATTATTAGTGTTAATACAATTAATTATAACAAATATGTAATAACGGGGTGTCAAAAACACCCCACGCGAGTGCATACGTTAGTAAAACCCGCGCGAGTAGTTAAAGGTTAAAGCACCTTTAGCATAGAAGTAAGAAGTATATCAATTAATTAATCTGTAAGTATATAACAAAATTACATAATCGTTTGACAGGCGACGGTAGGTATATGGATACAATGATGCGGCAAAGGCTGCTGACAGTATTACAGCCGAGCGGACAGCGCAGGAACTTGTGGCGCTGACTGTACTACACATTCCACTTGGAGATATGAGACTCGACTCAACTTTTGGAGTTATGACACTCTGCTTTAATTTTTACTTGGACTTATGAAACTTTGGAGTTATGATATCTTGGACTTATGAAACTTTGGATTTATGATCACTTGCACTTATATTTTTCTTGGAGTAATGAAATTATCCCTTTTCGGGTACTTGTAGTTTTGAAACTTTGGATTAAATATAATTTGGAGTTATGATCTCTTGGACTTATGAAACTTTGGAGTTATGATCACTTGGAGTTATGAAACCTTGGAGTTATGAGATGATCCCATTTCAATTTCCCCCACCTTGAACTTACGGGTACTTACCAGATACGGGGAGTTTCATCGCATTAAAACGCACAAGAGAATTAAAGCTAATATACAAAGAAATAAATTACAGTACCGGTAGCCTAATTAGTTTTTTTAGACACAATTTATATTTCATGAACAGCTGTGTTATAAGGATTAGTAGTTAGTACAGTAATAGTATTGGATGATTTCAAAATGTATTGGTGAAAAAGTAAAGTGATGTTTGTTTAAATCAACTGCGGAACAATATTAATTGAATTAAGTCACATTGTTTGGCCTACATTCAAACTGATTTTCAAACATTTCTTTGACTTGGTTGATTGGTTTCATTTTCAATTCTGCTGTTTTGCTTTGGCTTTAATTAATACCAATAACGCTCTGAAATCAATCAGGTAATAATGTGTACCTACTTAAGTGCAATAGTAGAACAAATTTGATTGCCCAAGATGGTAGGTCATTAAGCAAGACACAGTCTTTGATCAATAACTGTTTTTGTGTTTTTTTTTATTAGTTAAGATTAGGATTTTTTTACAAGCAAATGTTACAGATTTAAGAATTATGTCTTATTTTCAGCTATACCACAACTACATGCTACAACTATGTGAACGAGTATGCTGTTTTGAATTACCTGGAGTACCCCATAATTATTGTTCAAGAATATATTTTAATATTTTTGGTTTTGAAGTACAAAAATTCTCTAAATTCTAGAACATATCTGCTGACATTTTTATACTTTGCTCTAACTCTAGGATTTACATCCAAAATTATCCCACCATCAGTGTTGACCTTTATCATTGTAAGTATTTTAAGTTCTAACCATTGTTGTTGTTATTTGGGTACTTTTAGCGAATTTAATATTATTTCATTGCTAATGTCACATCTTTCAGTAAAAAATATTCCGGAAGTAACTTATGGCATTTTCACCTATTTTAACTTTTTGAGAGAAAGACACTTAAGTTAGTAAGCGTTGTTTACAACTTCAAAGAGTTCAATTTTTACCAGATTGTAAAACAATAAAATAAAATGATATATTTTTTATTATTGATAAATTAATCAATGTTAATAAAAAAGTAATTATTATTACTTAATAAAGGGTAATTCCATATTCATTCAAGTCCCAATCAAAATATGTTTTGGGGTGTGCCCAGGTAAAATCCCACAGCACATTTAGTTGGGAACATTTTCTAGTCCTAACTTTGATAAAGACCGTTTTTATCTCATGTTCCCAAGACATTTGCAAAACTCTATTTCCGACAAAATTTGATTCCAAGCAAACATAATTCAAATGATTTATTTACGTTGCAGCCGCTGTGCACGCCGGTGTCACTGAGCAGCAAGGCCCTACAGTTATGGGAGATCCTCAGCACTCGTAACGCAGATTCTGTCAGTATAGTCACCTGGCTCATATCTGCATTCACCAACTTCAGTGAGTTTAAACTAGATTTTTTATTGCTAGATTTTTTTTATGCTAAGTTTGATAAATGGAATATGAAGCGTAATTATCATAAATATTGTAAACAAAGCATTAATACACTTCCCTCCTCGGCAAAAACCAATAAAACTGCTTTTAAATTGTTATTTGGCACTTAAGTAAGTATAAACACCTATGGTAATATGAGACATCATAAAGTTCCTATGATATTTCATATTAAACCGCAGTTTAACCATTGATAACAGGCCCTAATAATCTCTTCTTAAACTGTCAGCTATTACGTATGGCTAAAAACTATTACGTATGGCTAACTAACAGCTAAAACTATGGGTACGGTACAAGTCATTGCACTTATTTTTTGAAATGTCAATTTCTCTATTGAGTTGTTAGTTGTACCTTAAACAATATTTAGGCTAGTACACAGCACCAAAGTTTATTTTTGGAACATCATGTAAGTTGATATTTCAAAATATTTACTGTTCAAGAAAAAACATATGAAGAGGAGAGAATCTTCAAAAGGCAAAGTTTATTTCAAATAGTACACTAGCTCAACATTATTTCTGAATACCGTATTGTTAATGAAAGTACTATGTACACATAAACGTACAGAACAGAATGAGAATACAAAAGTAAATTAATTATCAGGATAGTTTATTGACTCTGTGATACTGATAAAGGCAATTTATGCCCTTATAATTTGAAATTTGTCGTTAATTATCTATGATTTTGCTTGATTTGTCATTTTGTAAGGGCATATTTTTATAGAAGTATTAAAATAAAGTTAAATCTGTATTTATCCAAGGGGACATCTTTAAATAGTAGTGTTGTAAAAAAATGCATTGAGAAGATCAATTACATCTCTTTCTTGGTAACTTGAGTTTTATTAGTATTAAATATTTTTTTAGATACAGGAATGGTAAAATTCATTGTGTAGCCCCTGAGCTGTTGATTAGACTATAATTTAAGGTACATACCTTCACGTCCACAGTTCATAAATGAATGGTCAAACCCACTACATGTTTCGCCTATACGTAGGCATTGTCAAGTGGTCCTTCAAGAACGTTTCGTCCATTGTAGACTCGTCAAAAAACATTTAAATACATACACAAAACACGATACATTGTACGAAACATTTAACACTTAGTACACTTTACCGCGACCGGTAAATAGTAGGCCTACTAAGTGTTAAATGTTTCGTACAATGTATCGTGTTTTGTGTATGTATTTAAATGTTTTTTGACGAGTCTACAATGGACGAAACGTTCTTGAAGGACCACTTGACAATGCCTACGTATAGGCGAAACATGTAGTGGGTTTGACCATTCATTTATGAACTGTGGACGTGAAGGTATGTACCTTAAATTATAGACAGGAATGGTGAAGATAATTTTCAAAACTTTCATCACATAGTCAATAACACCCATCTTGAATAGTAGTTTTGTCAATTAAATGAATTTAAATCTATAATTTCTCCGAACAATTTAATTTTTATGAACATTCACTGAAGTTTAACCGTGTCATGCCTGTGAAAACATATGTGTGATTATGGAAACAGATGACTAGCAGACAAATACTCTTATTTTATCTGCAATAAAATACTACAGTACCTACCGTACTATACATAAGTTATGGTATGTATTTGGTTTAATGAGGCGGATACCTATTTCCTAATAGTTTCAAATTAATTGACCCTTTCCACCTACAAGATGGTAAGTCAGGGGTGCCCATCCCCCCCTAGACTCATGACGCACCCCCCCCCCATTGAGCAACAACCCCCCCCCCACCATAAATGATGTACACAACAAATGAGAAGAAGTTTTATAATTTTTTTTATATATTTAAAATTCAAACCAATCTATATACAGGGTGTCCCGGAACTCTCTACCAATATTTTAGGGCATTGCTCCTGGGTAAGAAACATACCTAAATATCATATTTAAATTGTCCGGAAGTCCTTAGTTACTCACACAGCCGCCATTTTGTTTTTTTCAGTTATTAATTTTTTTTAAAGAAAGGTTAAACATACGAAATGGAAACTTTGCACAAACATTTATGACAACTAGACAAAGCTACCAAAAAATTATGAAGATTTTTCAAGTTCATAAAACAAAATGGCGGCCGTTTAAAACTTTTGTAAAATCAACGGTTTTCTAGTTATTTAAGAAACAAAATTTTAAACGGCCGCCATTTTGTTTTATGAATTTGAAAAATCTTCAAAATTGTTTGGTAGCTTAACGAATTGTCAGCGTCTTTCTCTTGATATAACGATCCCCTCTCCCTCCCTTTAAAAACATCACAGCTCCTTTGATGAAAATAAAATGGAAACAACGCTTGCGCCAACAATCGTCTGCTCCGTTTTACACTTCTGTCTGCTGTGCGCTATGTTACAACAGATTTCAGATACTGTACAACAGCTGGGGAATGATGACAATATAATGCTTAGTAAACTGTGATTGATTGATTAGTAACCATGGTAACTTTAGTAAGGCTGTGATTGGCCAATGAGTAGGCCTATGGCACTTGTTGAATTTGTGTATGAATTGAAGAGAAACCTATTAAAGAGGGTCTGACTTAGGGGAGGTACGAATGAGGCATTTAGTTCAAAATTCCTCCGTGAACAGCGCTGTAGTAGAGAGCACTTTGGCAATGAAGGTTTACTAATCGCAAAAATAGTTTGTTCTGGTCATAAAATAAAATTATAAATGCCTCAAATTAAATTTTATTATTTTTTAATTGTAAAATTAAACTATCATAACCTAACCAAACTAACCAAACTTGCTGATAATGAAATAATATAACAAAAGTTTAGTGATAGAAAAAATAATTCTGTTTATTAAATAAAACTAGAAATTGCTCAATTAAAATTTTATAATGACTTAATAATAAAATTAAACTGTCATAACCGAACCAAACCAACCAAACTTGCTGATAATAAAAAAAATCTTGGACAAATAGTAAATGCTACCAGCGGGATTCGAACCCGGGACCTTCAGTATATCAGCCCGCCACGCTAACGGTTGGACCATCGAGGCCGATGCCTACAAATCGTTTTGTTACGGTAATGGCGTTCTTTCAGCTAATAAGAATCCCACAGCTGTCATCGTAGCCTCTTCTATACCTCCCCTGAGTAAATACCTATTAAAGAACAGAAGAACAAAGAAAAAGAATAACAAGATTGTTCTCGTTACATTCTTTTTTAAGAGTGTTTTAGTTATCTCTAAATACAATTTTACACTTTTTTATCAGGCCTTATCTATCAATTTCTATGTTGTGATACAGCACCTCGGTAGCCTATATGTCCATCATGAGCAGTACCTTATAACACTTTCTAAAGGTTCCTTTAATATTTACGTTATTTATAGCAATGCAGTGTTCTGCTAGTTATTAGTTGAGTTTGAGATAGCTATAATTTTAAACGTTGTCGTTTGTACAACTGAACCAAGATAAATGATTTGAAAATTTTTAAAATAATAATGTTATTGCACAATAATAATGATTGTGCAAAATTGAATTTCGTTTATAAGAATGCAAATCGTAACGTTAATGGCTGTTTACAGCGTTTTAACGGGTTTGTCATCATTCTGTTTTTATACTATATACTATATTGTTTTAACCGTATTTTTCATTACTTCCCCTCACTATTAACTCAGGTAATCTAGTATCTACACAGTAGTGCAAAGTATTGTAGCTTTTTTTTACTAGCTTTATGTCAACAAAGCGTTCTGGGCTAAGTCGCGGTGTAGCTGGACGTGTCTGTACCATGCGTTATCTTTATCACAGCAGTTGAGCCATTCAGTGCGCTCCCTCTTAGATCTCACGTCTTGCTAATCTTGAATAATAACTTTCTACACGAATCCTAAACTATCCTAAAATCCTATTTTAACTAATTGAATTCAATAATATAACTATTGTCATTAATTAATCCACTTTCTATCCGGCGACTTCGTAATATATTTTGGATTGTCGTCACGTTGAACACTGTTGCAATTAGCTTTAGCCACCCCCCCCCCCCCAATTTGAATTTTTTGAGCCCCCCCCCCAAGAATTTCAATGACGCAGTCTGCGTCACAGCCCCCCCTTGTGGGCACCCCTGGGTAAGTTTAAAAGTAGGCTACAGTGAAACTCCAATCATTCAAATCAATCGGGACTGTACCGCATTTAAATATAACTAGGCTAATAAAATAAACGGTATCAGCATTCTGACACATACTTTCTCCCATAAGCTTGTCAACAACCTTTATCATGTGTAAGCGGTGAGAGTAAATATACGGAAATTGGATTTGTACAATTTTCTTCAGAATTTAAAGGACTATAACATACTAAATTTTTATCAAAATCGTTCGAGCCAATTTTGGAAAAATCTGATTTTCCGTTATTTTATGGGGTTTTATGGGGAAATAACATAATTTACAATAACTTTTGAACCGTAATTTTTACAGAAATGGGATTTGTACAATTTTCTTCAGAATATAAAGGACTATAACATACTAAATTTTTATCAAAATTGTTCAGGCCATTTTTGGGAAAATCCTATTTTTCCGTTATTTTATGGGGTTTTATGGGAAAATCCCCATTAAAAATAAAAATTTCTAAAAAATGAAAAAAAACTATCACAATTGTAAGGACCATAACATACAATGTTAAATCAAAACCGGATTTTTGTCTAAAATCCTATTTTTTGTTATTTTATGGGGTTTTTATGGGAAAATAACATAATTTACATTTTTGGGAAAATCCTATTTTTCCGTTATTTTATGGGGTTTTATGGGAAAATCCCCATTAAAAATAAAAATTTCTAAAAAATGAAAAAAAACTATCACAATTGTAAGGACCATAACATACAATGTTAAATCAAAACCGGATTTTTGTCTAAAATCCTATTTTTTGTTATTTTATGGGGTTTTTATGGGAAAATAACATAATTTACCATAACTTTTGAACCGTAATTTTTACAGAAATGGGATTTGTACCATTTTGTTCAGAATTTAAAGGGCTACAACATACTAAATTTGTATCAAAATCGTTCGGGCCATTTTTGAGAAAATCCGATTTTTCCGGTTTTTCATGGGTTTTTATGGAAAAATCCCCATTAAAAATCAAAATTTCAAAAAAATGAAAAAAACGCCTGGAGATACCATGGATTAGAACCTACATACCAAATTTCATCGAAATCGGACCACAGGTGTAGTCTCTAGCTCTGTACACATCCAGACACACAGACACACACACACACACACACACACACACACACACACACACACAGACATCACTTCGAAGACCACTTTTTTGGGTCCAGGGGGACCCAAAACGAATATATCCACTCAAAACTCAAACTCAAAAATTTTGACGAAAACAATACTTTCTCCATATACTATGGTATAGGGGGAGAAAGTAAAAATTCATACAGTTGAATTGTTGCTAGAACCAGGGGTACTTTATAGAAATACTTCACTCTTTTGTAGGCATACTCTATGCATTTTCAATTAATAATAAATAAATAGAGAAAATTTGTTTTCGATTAAATTCCCTATACTATGTGTTCTACTGTATATAAGTTGTGTAGTAGAAGTATGTGATCGGATCGGTTTTAAAGTTATGCCGAGCCTAGCCCATAAGATTGAGTAATCAGGTATTAAGTAAAAAATCGAGCCCAAGAATGCCAGCATCACGATCGCAGAAGACCACTGAAAAGATTTTGCGATGGAAAAATTAATGTTTTTGTCACAATTCCAGAGAAAGATGCTTAAGTTTTTATTACCGCAAGAGATTTTGCATTATGGTTATGTCTACAAGATCGCATAGGATGTTCAAGATTTTGTCTATGATACACCTTCTGCCTTAAACTTAAATAATGATTTTGTGTAATTTTACAAATCTTTTTTTTGTAGATTTATGTTTTTAACACGTTGAGGTCAAATTTTTTCCATTTTTCGGCAAGTATAGTTTGCCATTTGAGCAGTCAGGAAAATGGCAACCGGCAACCTATACTCGCCATTCAACCGCAAAGGGTTAAATTTTTTTTAGCTAATTGGTAATTGGGATAGTTTGAATGAATGATTAGCGTTCTACTGTACCCTGTAATATTTTTGATAAATATGTTGGGTTTACATTTCAATAAATACTTACAAATTAAACTGAAAAATAAACAAAATCTGTGACATCAAAATTTAAGGAAGCATCCTGTAATTTCTGTGGGATAATTTCTGTGGAATAATACCTGGGAAACGTGTCAAGTCAAGGTTACGTTCTGAGATCCTTGTAGAAAGTGTGTAGGAACGCTTGATTAAAGTGTTTACATAATGTTTCAATTTGACTTGCTTAAGGCATCCCAAGTTTTATATCACAAGTATGTTTAAAGTGAAAGACCTAGGAATCAACTTAGCCTACAAAAAGATCCTTTGCTTTTGTATTGTGGAGCATGGACTTGAAACTAGTATACCGTAGGTATGAAATTTATTTTACCGTCTTGAAACAAGCTATAAAGTTGAGGTAAATTTTGAATGTTCTTAACACTCTTTTTTATCATTCCAGCTCGTGTTTTTACCATTTCCATGGACTCCGCTGACAAAATTCTGCTGACTAACTTCATCTTGTCAGGAGCTTTGAGTTCCTGTATAGCTCTGGCTACAAAGTATTTCCAAAACCAAACAAAAAAACAAGACTAAGGCGAGAAATACCAGTTGAAAAATGGGAACAGGTGGGATTGATGTTTCCTTAAAGGTGCCCTATTTTTTTATCGAAAACTGGCAAAATAATTTCTATAAAAGTAATTTATTAATTTGTATATAATATAGTAGGCCTACTATACATTTTGAAGTTTATTGTGATACATAGGCCTAACATGATTAATCAAAAGTTTCCGGGAGTCAATTATTTTTTGCTTGCATTAAAATGATTCTATCTATGTATCTTTGTAAATCATACTACTGTACCTGTTGCTCGAATTTGAGCAATTGCGAAGTATTACAGGCGTTATTTTAAAACGAATAACAGTCATAATTTCAGATGACTTTAAAAGAGTTGACTCAAAGATTATAGAAATACTCACAATGTACTTATCAGTTCGATGTAATCAATATTTATTGTAAAGCCCCCCACACACTACCGACCAGACCGTCTGGTCTGGCGTCTGGCACTTGTCTTATCGTGTGTGGGGCTGTCTGCAGACCGATTTTCTCGGACCAGACTGTCTGCGTGTCTGATGGTTGCAACCCTCAGACCACAGACGGTCTGAGGTTCCCCCACCACTATTTTTGTCTGGTCTGTGAGTGTGTAGCGCTGTCTGTCAGATGGCCGACCATCGAGACAGTCTTCATCCATTTGTTGGAGTTCTCAACACAGTGTCTCAATTACGAATGTTGGAATGTCTGGTCTGGGAGTGTGTAGAGCCGTCCAAGACGGTCTGTTTGCAGCCAGACGGTCTGGTCTGGTAGTGTGTGGGGGGCTTAAATATCTTATCATTTTTCAAAAGCTGATCTTAATGTTTTTTAGTGTTTTCTACAAATGTTCCCCACTCATAGCTGAATTAGGTTGTCCATAATAACGATTATAAATTCTGAAAACAACATTATTTCTATTTCTTCTACTTGGTGGTGTTCTATGACTTTCCCATGTTTCCATAGTTTGCAAATCGGCTCTTTCAATTCTTGGTCAAGAAATGCAGCACATTGTTAATTCAGTTTTTTTTTTGTTTATAATTATTAATTTTTAGTATATAGTAAATTGTCCAGGCTTAATCGCTTTTGTCCATTGTAATATTTACGTCAACCCAAATTCAAATAGTAAATATTCCATTTGAACCAAGTCAGTAAATGTTCGTAGGACACGTTTCTTTAAATTAATGCAACTAAAATATTAACAGCAATTAAATTGTCCAGCTGATCATAATATATACAAATATGTTCTTCATAAAGATAACATGGGAACTTTAAAAGCCCCTGGGGTAGAGCCCAAGGGACTTTTTCAAAAATTTAAGGTCAGTTTGCAAATCTGCACACCTAGACGAACATTTTGGTATAAAATATGTGGGGTTAAATGTTTAATGTAGCGTATTAATAATATAAAAAGATGTTATTAGAAAAGAATTGTCTCAGACCAAACTTAAAATTTCATATTATATGTTTGTCAAAGACAAATACAAAATGTTGTACTGATAGAAAAAACCTTTGGCAGTCAAAATTGGTATCTCAGTAATTTTTGAAACTAATTTGTTGAGGGCTAATTTTTTTATATTGAAATTTTGAAAAATATTGGTAAAGGTTGGATCATTTGTTAATTCAGATAAAGGCATTCAGATATTTGAATAACTTAACTAAAACAGCAAAGCGTGTCAATTTATCCTAACTCCTTAATACAGTGTTCTAAAAAGTTTACAAATAAAAAAAAGCTTATTCGCTATTTGGGAAATTTGCTAAAATCAATTGCCTTGAGTAGTTCTAATTGTGCAGTATAAAGGCATAAATATCTGTATCAAAGGCACTCATTAAAGTTAACTTCTAAAGGCTTTTTCAAAAAAAAGATTAGGATGAAATTTGAAATTAAGTATATGTGAGGAGTAGCAGTTAATGCATGAACCACCACGTAAAAATTGTCCAGAATTTGTAAAGCAAAATTTAAATGCTTTCTTTAAACTAACCAGGAGGATTAGATGATGTCCATGAAAGATCACCAGCTATTAACTCCTTAATAATGAGCCGTTTAAAATGGCTTTTATAATACTAAACTTCAACTAATAAATTAACCATCTAAATTTTTCATGTTTTGTGAAATTGAAATTCAGAATGATCTGACAACCTCCAGACTGAAAATAAAATTAAACATCTAAAGCATTTGCATTGCTGTAATGTACAATTTTATGGAATATTGTGCTTTTCAAAAGTGTAATTTTAAAAAATTTAAGGGTGTGGTAAGGAATTGTTCATTTTCTTACTGTAAAATGTATTTTGTAGTATTATGAGAGGAATCTGTCACAATTATTACCATTCGAATTTTAGAATTTGAAAAGCCATTTCAAATTTGTGTTTTAGTTTCTCAATAGTATGAGTGTAATGTGTTAAAAGGAAATCCCAGAAAAACCTTATCAATGTTTACAGGGTTGCTTAGAATGGTATTATTTAATTTATTTTTTATTAATATTCAATGTTTTCTGTTATGTGTTTGTACCAGTGTACTTGTCCATAGCTTTCTTGGTTTTATTTCATCCATAAAATATAAAAGCTATTTTATTTATTGATTATGTTGTCATTGTGTCTGCAGCTATTTTATATTATTTGTCTTTAAATTATATGTTTTAATGTTTTTGTTATAATATTGTTATTGTACAAGCTGTGCAAATAAACCACTTTTCCAAACTAAATCAAACATGTTTTGAATCCTGATTATGAAATGATAGTTATTATTCTACTTGATGTCAATCATTTTAACATCCTCAATAAGTATGTATATCCACATGTATTCTACAGTTAATATTTTGCAACCAGATGTGGAGGTAAAAATACTGCAAGTAAACACTAGGTCCATAGTACGAACACTATTTTTCACCACACTACTACTATTCACAATAATAATAATGAAAACTGATAGTCAACACAACTTTAAGGTTAATGTGAAGAAGTAATTTCAGGAATCAGCTAAAATAATAATAAACAGTGGCAACGGTGAAAATAAAACAATTCTATTTCAATGCTATAATGGATACTGTTTGTGTAATTTATATGCAGGCGGACAGCTGACTTTGCGGCCCCGGGATGTAAAAACCTGCTCGGTCCCCAAATTACAATGACAGCTGGCATGACCAGCAAAACGTAACTTTCAGCCACCAATTAACGTGTAATACAGCCAAAAACATCATAGTGTGGCGAAAAAACAATTATTTTATCATTTAGTCATTAACATACAATAAAATTTAAAGGCAGTTTATATAGACTAAAAAAATTAATTAGATTGAGAAATACAACCATCAAACAGTAATTGAATAACAGGAATGTTTGATGAGGTATAAAAGACAGATTAGAACATGGAAACTGCTGAAACTAAGAAACAATTAGTAATAAATCATCACAAAAAGTCGTAAAGGATGGAATTGCGCATGTAAATTAGGAGAAATGCTCCATAAAAGTGAGATGGATCTATCTAGCAACCCAAAGTGGAGTTTAAGGTATACCAGAAATCGGATAAGATCTATATGTGGAGCATTGTATCAGAGAAGTTTGGAAGTACAGAAATGGAGTCAGCTAGAACACCTGGTAGGAGAAAGAAGACAATTTGGGATGGAAGCCAAACGAGATATATCAAGGCCTGAAGAAAAATAAGAAAAGATAAATAGCTTTAAGTTACAATGTATCAATCTAATCTAGGATTAAGTAACTTATGTATAATAGTGGACGGATTGGAATGCGGCGAAGACACACAAACCTCCAAGGTAAATGCTGAGCTCTCACTAAAGCAATGAAATACAAGTCGGTTATGGGTGCGGATCAATGCATCGTCCGTCTAATTCTAGTGTCAATGGGTTAATAGTAATAATACATTTATTTTAATGTAGCCTAAGCACACGTATAATATTACAGCTACAACTCTTTGCGGCATGGAATGCAGCTAAATTTATGATTTCAACAATCAACTATTTCATCAAAATGGATTACCAGACGAAGTTGCTATGTTCTAATTAAGTTTTTCTTTTACAGTATTTTTGTTTCCACGCTGTTGGTATTTTTTACATTTTTTGTATGAGGTAACAGTTTATATCATCGTCTTGTTACTATTTAACTTCGACCTTTTTTTTGATCGCATTGTTATTTGATAGCCTAATGGCATCTGGGTTTAGATAAAAGATAAAATATTTCTTGTATGTCAAGTATGCTTAAATTGAAAAACAAACATACACACTTTCAGGCCAATATTATTTATTGAATAAACAAACTATGATAATCAATTAAAGTGATTAAGGTGTTGCAAAAAGATAAACTAAATAAAGCAAATAATAATAAGGTAATAGGGTAAGAAAGGAGATAAAAAACTAAGTTTAATAACTTCAAAAATTTAGGAAAGTCTAGAGGTTTATATTACTTTCCTACATAATATATCAAGTATCTCGTAATAATAAAAAAGGGTAATTGCGTCATAAGGTAATGAACGCCAAGATTATTTACAATTCAGAGGATTATTCAAAAGACACATATTAGGATGATTGGATGAACAAACAATGTAGTTAGGTTCTAAATCATCCGCACTTTGAAGCATTGCAATATCGTTGCTAACAATAAAAAATACTTAATTCAGGCAGATATTTAATAAGGTTAGTTCAGCTTAAAAAGTTTCACACAACAAATTTTTGCGTCGGTGAGATAGTAAATATATGAAAGGTTACATGATTTTAAAATTTGACCTCACAACAGATGAAAGGGCAAATAAATCTGACTGTATCTGTAGATTTTATATTTTCTGAATATTCATTCCCCCATCGCAACATTTCCTCAGGTTCTGAAGTCAGCAAACATGTTCTTTCTCTCTTGAGTGTGATGTTTATATTGTGGGACAGACAGACTGAGTGACATTGCCGTACGTAGGCAGTCGGTTGAGAGCCTCTTGCCGTCCGTTGATCTCCAAATTGCGTATACACCCGACGTACTGAGCGTTGGTCAACAACCCACGCAGTCCTTTGCTCTTGATCGGATGCCCTCCGATGTACAGCGGATGTTTAGTATCCGTTGAACTTGATGTTCCAATACCAGGTTCCACAAAGGTCTTGTCAACTGATAAACTAACAACGTTCTTTGACTTCACAGCTGCAACAAACCATTTTTCCATAAACATTTTGAAGAACATGTTTTAAAATTATACCATGTGTTTGTGTTAAGATTTTATGGTCATCTGTTTTGATATAAGATATAATTTGAAAATGTTATTTCAAAAACTTCCAACCAAACCACTATAATTCAAGGTGGATATTATAGCTGGGTTACTGAGTATTCTAAATGTTGTTACAACTCACCCTGTATATTGTGCCATTGCCCATCACAGAAGTAGTGAGGGGTAGGTGGCTTGTACGCTGCCCAGATCTCCCCTTTGCCGTTGTCCACACTGAAGCGTATTGTCCCATCAATCATCTGCAGCAACAGGTAGTCCTTTTTGGAATGCACAGAGACTAACATTCCAGACAGGTCACGAGGTTTGATCTCAAGCTTGATGTCAATCTCCACTCCAACTCGGAACTTGTCAGCTGGAATGGTAACACCAATGTAAAGCAGGAAAAAAGTAGACAAGACTTTGTTATTTTGTTTACAAAAAGTGATGAAAACTTACAGAATTTGATGTAGCCACCCTCGGGTGAGAAGAAGGCTCCCACCTCAACATTGTCCGAGCAGGGGATGACTCCGATGGGTTTGGACGGAGATGTAATTGGTTTGTCGTTTAAGCTGAAGTCCTTCAAGCAACCTTCAAATGTATGGTTCAGACCCTGTAATCATCAAATGTTAACTAAGACAACGTGAAACAATAGGGCACATCATTACAGAGTGCCCAGCCTACAATAGGATGAGACAATGCATTTACGCAAAAATAAAGAAAGCCAATTGGAAATCACCACCAACTGTCCAAACGCTCCTAGTGGAAAAAATTGCAAGCTATGGCCACCATTACTAAAATTGTTAAAAGTAACACAGAAATCCAACTTTGAGATAATATTTAACTTGAACTTTAAATAACTAAATAAGACATTCAAACTGAAAAATAGGGGTGTGCGAGTACTCGAATCTTCGAGCTTTTTGGTCGAGCTTTTCATTATTCGGCTCGGCTCGAGGCATTTTGAAAAAGCTCGAAGTTCGAGCCGAGCTTTTAATACTGTCAAAACTAAAAAAAAACACTTAATTTGGGTCGTAATTGAAAACAATGTTATCACAATTCTACGTTGTTCATGCATTCGAGGTTTGATAAGCACGAACCTCAGCTCAATCAAGACGCAATGATTATCGATCGTAATTTTGAGGAGATAGGAAACAGGAAAGAGACAAACTACCACCTATCGCGGTGTCTTTCTAACACAGCTGACAGCTATTCGTATCGTAATATACAACGCAGTGCGAGTGCGTGATTGGCTCGTCGCTATGACGACATACGGTTACCGTGGCAACCTACAGTGCGCACTGAGCACTGCGCCTTTGCCTTGTGTGGGAGGGGAGATTATACCAACAAACTATTTCAGGAATTCTATTTTGGGACGGATGAAAGATAAGGAAGAAACAAAATGTGGTCACAAGTGCAAATGTAGTGGGCGACACAATAAGGCTGTAAACGAGTATCGTCGTGCCGTTGTTCCTTGTTTGTTTACTTTTTCAGATTCCTTATCAAAAGCCCCTATCTGCTATCTCTCTTTCTCTCTCTCTCCCCCTCTCTCCCTCTCTCTGCTCTCTCTCTCTCTCTCTCTAACAACGTACTGATTAAACAGATTGTGGTTGACGACTTTTCTACTTATAAGTTTCCCTGCGGTTATTTTAGTTCAATCAATCCCATAACCTTTCTTATGTTTATCAAAATAATTAATTAATCTGTTTTGTATTTTATTTCCTTTAAACCAACCCCTATTTACCATCTATATTTTATAGAATAAAATTTTTGTTTATAAAGTTTGACTGGCCACACAATTTTGTACCTATTTTATTTTGTACAAAATAACAGTTACTTTGATGATTATATATATATCAATAAGTGGTGCGTGCTGTAATGAATGCTGTGTATTATCAAAATAATTAATGAATTATTAATTTTTGATAATTCATGGATCATTGAATATCATAATGTGATGTAGTTTCCTATTTGTAACTTGCAAATAATAATAATTGATAGTTAATTCTGGAAAATGAAAAATAGTGATCGCATTCATAAACCTGTTGTCAAAACAGCAACGCGGGCGGGTGTAAGGGTTTATTGTTTCAGAGGCTAGGGTGTTTCAAGGACAAAGTGTTGGGCCTCCCGGCTTAGGGGGGGAGGGGGGCGGTGAGACTGTGTGAAGGGGAGGAAACTGGTTTTTGCTATTTATTGATTAGTTCGCCGACCCTTCTAGATAACAAAATTTAGTGACAGTATTAAATCATCGTGTTCTTTATTTCATTTCTTGTTTACTTTGTGTGTTATTCTATTAATTTTAGTGTTTTGGTCTATTTTCTCTATATGTCAATTATATTTTTTAAATATATAAGTTTACTTTTTACTTGTCTCTCCACCTTTTTGGATCCAAACCAACCATGTTTTTTTTATTAATACAATTCATGAAACAAAAATATTTTGTGCAATGAAAACAACAAGAATAATCATGTGTTTTTCAATTTATTTTGTATTTATTTATACAAAATAGAATTAGATATTCATAGTAGTTACAAATATACATTATGTAATCGACTTGCTAGTTGTTTTGTCGTCATTCAATGTCGCGTTGCTGCTCTGTTATGAAAGACAATCTGATTGTCTCTGTCTGCACTGCATATCTCTTCAGCCCTTCAATCGATATCCTTTTATTGTTTTATTTCTTGCATCTTAATTTAGTTCAGTTCAGTTCTTATCGTGATTATCTACTATTTGATGTCTTGACAATTCTCAATGTTTTTAAACATATTAAAATAACATTGTGTTTATTTAAAAATTGACTGAACATTATTATTATTATTATGCACTGTTTTAAGAAAAAAAGTTTAATAATTTAGATAAGGTGACGCTAGGAAAAGCTCGGCTCGAAAAAGCTCGAGCTCGAAAATTTTTTAAAAAGCTCGGCTCGGCTCGGCTCGAGGTTGAAAATCACTATTCGCACACCCCTACTGAAAAACATCTAACCACACCAAGTTTAAGCTATGAACCTCGGTAAACTCGATTTATTAGAAAAACAAAAATCATTTCCTAACAAACATCATCTGCATTTAGAACCGACCTGCTTAAATTGTGCATAAATTGTATTGTAAGGAACTCGCCTTGTTTCTGTAAATCCTCTAGTCTCAGACACTTTACCTTAAGGTTAGTCTTGGTGTTATCAGAGATCTTGGGGTCAATGCCTCCTAGATAGACGGGAGGAAGGACGTTGATAGTCTTTGTGCTTCCCTTGGACTCTCCCTCGCGTACAAGGAAGTCGTCGATGTACAGCTTGCCATTGGTTTGCGTGCGTGAGATGCGTATCGAGTGCCATTCTCCGTCATTGACAGGGTTGTCGCTCTCAAGCAGCGCTGCGCCGGACCCACAGTTGTAGCCGTAGTGGACCTGAGTGACAGGAAGAAAAATTGAAATCTTTAAGATTAGCATAAACTCTGTGAAATATAGGAGTATATTACGTCAGTGCACTAAACTAGAACTAGGATACAGTTGAAACTCCAAAGAATCAGTTTGGTAAAGGACTTGGAAATTGAAATGCCACACTTAAAATTGGACTGTACTTGAAACACATTTATTCAATTAACTTATAGGTTTATTTTTATGGTCTCTGTTACTTTTTCAGCAAGAGCCAAAGCTAAGTAGGTTGGCTTTTATGATAAAATTTTTGCTTGATTTTACAAATGTAAACAATTTCCAAACTTCAACAAAAAATGTTCAACTAAAACAATGACATCAGCGATCTTAGGATATCGAGAGATATTCTCTATAAATAATTAACTTGTGTAAATAATAATATGTAGGGTTGAATCTTAAAACAAAAAATCCTTATTGTTTAAAAAGTTTCATGTTGCATATCAATAATATAGATTAACTATATTAACTTTCTCCTTACAAGCTTACCCTTCCATCCTTAAGGTACAGTGCTATGAAATCAATGTGTTTCTGATCATGGACATATAGTATGATGCCTTCTGTGGAAACAGTTTTTATTTTGACGGAAAAGTCAAATTTGTTTCTCAGTCGACCTGGTAGAGGATCATATTCTACTCTGCTTCCAAACTTGGTGCCTAAAAATAAAGATATAGAGAGAAAAAAAATATATATATGCACTGTATCAATGGTTGGAAGCTTATATATATGTTATTTATATGGCAGTAGGAATACACATACTCTTCCAAATCTAATTAAAAAAAACTTAATACATTCTAATGGTTTCTTGAACCATTTTAGTAAAAAAAAAACATTTCACATCATATTAAGAAATAATCATATTCTAATATTTCTGCAAAGTTATGGAGAAGTGTTTTACAACAAGTGTAATAAATTCTGCTCTATCTTTTGATACATAACTTGGATCATTGGATCATTTTTGCTTGAGTTATCATGCTAACGGACATATATATATGAATTTGAACGGATGGTGTTTTTGGCTTCTAGGGACATCAAAATGGAAAAGTAAATCAGTCACGGGTCCAAGTCTTACCATGAGACCTACGGTAATAGCTTATTCCCTATATGGGAAATTCACTAAAATTAATAATGCCCAAAAAATTTCAGTATGTAACTGGAATCAAAATACTCTCAAAGTATTAATAACAACAGATAATTAAATATAATTCCAATAAGTAATATTTTTCAAATAGATTGAGCAAGTTTGGTGAAATCATTGAATAGTCAAAGGTATAATAAAGGGAACTAAAAAACAGGTGATCATACAAGTGTTAATAATCCAAACAATTGATAAGGTTTATACCACGAATACTAGAAAGACCCGGTATGGATCATAAACATAAACAAATGACGTTTTTGGCCCGAAAGTAAACAATACCAAATGTTAATTAATGCTATTAGTATAGGGGTTTTGTTTACTTTCGCGCCAAAAAGTCATTTGTTTATGTTTATGATCCATCATACCAGTATTTTTCTAGTATTCGTGGTTTATACCTATAGTTAGAATGCAACAACAGACAGCCACATTGGTTATTGTTTCATTGAATTGACCTTTAATAAGTTTTACTGAAATGAGTAGACAATGGAACAACAAACAAGAAGAGGAAATTAAGAGTACTGAACATTGTGTAATGCTGCACTGTTTCAAGTGCCAAGAATGAAGAAGTTTTACTAAAAATAGAAGCAAGTTCCTGACAAGATTTGCACAGCCTTGATTGGGGGTTCTCAAAATGGAAACTAAACTGGGATACAAAGAGTGTACACAAACTAACAACTCTATAAACATTATGATTAAACATGTTCTACACTTGTGCAATTGGTTAAAATATGTCATGCTTCATGAGTCACTCTGTGACTGTCAAGATGAAAACAAACAGAAGGGAAAGTACTGATAAAAAATTGACTCATTCATAATCTTTTGAATGACTGTGAAACGTTTGAACTGATTTCTCTTAAGTAATAACGTCACTCAGTTAGTTGAGTGTGACCTAACTAAATATTTCAAAACTCAAATAGACCTACCTAGGATTATGAATTTGGGAAGTAAATGCATCCAAAGAGTCCTGAAAACCCTAATCTTCCTGCAATGTAAGGTGTTAAAGAACACAATAATTCTTCAATTGTTATTATTACTACTAAAAATATATACTTAAGTAATTTTTACAACAATCCACCTAACTAAATTTGGTGATTGTGGAAATGAAATGAAATATAATTTTTCTATAGTTCCTTTTTCAAAGACTTCCATACAAAAAAGTGCAAATCATTGTCAAAATAAATTAAATTTTCATCATCCTTATTGTTTTCGTTTTGACATATTTCTTTGCTTGGATAGATAACTCACCAAATCTAACCCCACTTTGAGGTCCAACCGCAGAGTCTGTGGCAGGGTACAGGGGTAATTTGCAGTTCGGCACCGGGGTAGGAGCTGGCGTTGGCGGCTCCGTGGATGGAGCGGGGGGCCCAAACCTGTCCACTTCAACTGAAACTAAATAAATACATGGAGAAACAAAAGTTAGAAAGAAAACAATCAGTTTAGATCATTGGGTTTAGATTCAACCGTCATGGGCCTGTACATCTATGAAATGGTTAAACTACTAAATAACAATCTAAGGCTAGAGCGCTCAAAAATATTTAATTTAGACATCATTATTCCACACATAAAAAACTACCGTTATATCAACCACAGTTACATCCCTCTACATATTCAATCTTTTTATTGATACATTATGAAAATCTATACTATTATAAAAAAGAGGTGGTTGCTGTATGTGTGTATGTGTGTATGGGAAAAGTAAACTCGAAAAATACTGGTCGGATTGGGCTGAAATTTGGCATGATGATAGCTCACATTCCCGATTAACATATAGGCATATTCTTATTTCAAAAATCCTTTCGGGCTCCACCCCAGTGGCTCTGGAGTTTCCCATGTTAACCTTATGAGAAATGGAATTATTGAATCTTAACAGCTGTTTCAATTAAACAAGTTGGTTCTGTTCTATGATTATGAAAATAATTAAATAAATATTTACAAAAAAAAAATCACTATCACTCAAAAAATATACTTGTAAAAAACTACATAAGTTATTGATTTAAAATGCATAAAAAAGAAGGTATTTAGGCCTACTCTGTTTCTTTTTCAAATGAACAAGAGTTATTTTAAAAATTGAAATCATTTGTGAACAGTAGAAGTTAACTAATTTTATTTGATTTTTTATGGTAACTTTTACTTTATGAATTCAGAAATAATTTTAGCATTGTGATTTATTAATTATAGCTATGTTATTACTTTGACAAAACTCCCATCATTTGTACTTTGTACTCTTCAATATGTTATGTTTGAATAAAGAATTTAAATTTCAAATGTTTTATGTTAAGATTACTACTTCAGGTTTATGTCCTTAAAAAAATTATATTCATAAATTTTTTTTACATAGCATAGTTACAATAGATTTTTAGGACACAATGGAGGTAGGCTAATAAAATAATAAAAATATGGTCTACAGTCTAGGCATTTCAAACATACCTATTTAAAGTAAGACATTACCTGAGTTATCTTTGTAATTCATTTAAAATATGAAGACTTTATAAAAGGAGTTGTTAATAATTTTGTCTTTGTATAAAGTGATTCTAAGTACTAAATTAAATCCTCAAAAATTGCAAAGTACACAAACTATAAAACAATAATCTTAAGGCCTTCTTTAAACACAAGACACACTTAAACAAAAAACCATTTACATAAAAGTACACTAAAAATTTGTCACATTTAATTGAAATCGTCACCAGCACAAACTTTTAACACACTATCCTGTCCTGCAGCACTTTCATCCAACTTTTGGAAATTAGGATAGAGCGTGTGTCCCAGAGTTTTTTCAACTGTCGCTTTCAGGCCAATTCCCACGAGACCAACAGTTTTACCGAGTGCCTCTTTCGCAGTCATCGCTCTTGTTTTTCTCATCGTATCCAGAAACTGCAAGTCCGCTGTTTCAATTTCCTCCACGCTCTTCTTCAGATCATGCGTTTGCCTGTAGTCGTCAACGGCTTTGTCGTAAGCCTCGTCGTGCTTCTTTGCAATCTCGTCGATAGTGTTGGTCGGAGGTCCATTGTCCTTGGAGCTACTGGGGCCGAGGTAATGGAAGCCAGGGAGAGTAAAGTCAGCCAGTCTAGGCAACAAACTGAACCTCCTCTTGTTGTCTTCTTCTCTCCTGCAGCGCTTGGCCAGGCAGGGATTGTTGACTGACCGCTTCTTCCTCTTGCCAGCCATGTTGCTCTCCAAACACACACTGAGAGACTGCCAAGTCTACTTGTTCTTGAAATACAACGACCTTGACTCTGCCATCAGCTGATTGGCAAACTTTTAGTCAGCAATCATGCAACAGCTCTTAGAGGAAAAGTGTTAATGTTTATCACTTCTTATCTAGTCCTGTCATTGACATCTGTTTAAAAACAGATTGCAAAGATGATTTTTTAAATAAGTTACATATTTTTTTAAATAAAATATTGGTGGGTTAATTTGTATTTATATTGGTAGTAAAGCAAACCCATACAGTAGGCTATAGTGTTCTTTTTTTAATTTTAAAAAAGCTACTACTTTTTATATCAAAATTACAGTAGCCTGAATACAGTAGTTAACCGTACTTTAAAATCTCAGTTATACGTTTTTCCAGGTGTTTTGAGTTTTTTGATAGGGTATTAAAGTAATAATTATTATTAATTGGCTTAAACATATTTTATTTGTTTAACTAAGGCTCAATAATTCATAAAACATTATTTAACCTCTAATACCACTTAAATATTTAATTCAGTACAAAGTATGGGTCTCGCAGTTGAAGTCTACAACTTGGAACTATATCATTAAAATTTATTCATCCAAGCAAACCTCAGGAAATTATAGCAAAATAAATTGAATAAAAAATTAACATTCCTAATCTAGTTTTAGTGTTTGACAATTTAAATGTTTTACCATACATACATATCCAAATTTTTTTTTATTTAACACATAACTTAACTTATTTTAAAGAAATAACTTTATGATAGAGATTATCTTTCATAGTTTGAAATTTCATTTTTAAAAGACAAACGTAGTTTAGATAATTGCAAGAATTGTTATAGGTATACATCTTTTTTATATGTTATCTTAATACTATTGTGTTCTTGAAACAACATTGATGACCTCTATATCACTGCCCTCAATGCTGCTATCAGTGTACCATTGTATCAAATACTGATTTTACATCCTAATTAGTTGACCTTAATGTGTTAACTGTAATTTGATATTGTAATACTTTACTAAATATAGACAAACACACACTGAAAGCCTATCAAAAAAGCCTACCCACAGCCACATTTTTTCTTAGGATAATTCAGAAAACTAGAAATAATCTAAAAACTCATAAGCAAATCATGCATATTAAAAAACAAATAATTATGGGTTTATAGGGCACATCTAGTCAAACTAACACGTTTTATATTATACATAACATCAGTTACCAAAGTCCCTTATAAACACATTGTGAAGATTTTCAGTTGAAAATGTTAACATTGTACAGTTCCATGCCAACAAATTGGCATTTATGGTTAAAGGTGATGTTTACATGCTCATTGAAAATCAATGATGCCATATTAATAACACAATATTTAAAAAGATACAAAACCGGTGATTTGAAATCTTTAATTTATTTCCACAGTGCTGTATGTGGAATCAAAAACATACAACATAGTAGACTACAGGACAATTTGCTATTTGTTGTGATTATTGTAAGCAAATATTGCTATTTTGAATAAGTCAATTGACGATTTAATGTAATGATCAGAGTGACAACTTATCAAGTAAAAACTGTGAGATCATTCTTCACAGTGTTAAGTAAATTTATGTTTGGCAATAATTGCCAAACATAACTTTACTTAATACTGTAAATATCCCATTTCTTTTTTGTTAGTAGTTAAACAATACAATCCTAGAGTAATATTTTTGCTTCAAATGTCTGAACTTTTAACTTAATTATTTACTCTGATCCCATACAGTGGACCATTGTTTTACTTGGCCTATGGCCCAGCTCATTTTTGGCACAGTATGCCAAATATAAAACCTGCAGATTATTAAACATTTTCATGTTGTCAAATTAAAGATAACTTTAGACAAACATAACTGACATTTTAACTAAATTTTTCCAAGATTTACAAATGAACTAACAAAATATTGTAGTTATTTTTTAATGTCACTCTTTCAATTGATACTCCTAAATTCATGTTTTGTATTTTATTACTAAATCAGTATTTGAGTTATAATTATGTTATATACTTTACGCCACACTACACTATTTTGACGAACTTCCCACACAAGGATTTAGTCCAGAAAACAGCTGTTTGCCACCGGCTTAATCAAATGGGGTTTCATTGCGTACTACTGTACTGAAATGAGTTTTACCGGACACCAATCAGCTGATTATACTGTATTTGGGTGGCAATGAGTAACTTAGTTATAAACAAAAACATAACCTCTCTTAGAGGTTTTGACTATTTATTGTTAGTCCTTTAGTTGGTAGTAATAATATAATTATAAGGATTTGTACAGATTTAGTAGTATGGCGTAAACTATCGTACGTCACTCGTCCAAAATGTGTTTACCGGACTCGTATGGTGATCCCCGGCAAACACTTATTTTGAGGACTAGTAACGTACTATACTATTCTGAAGAGTGAGAAACTATAATCTAACTTTACGGATCATAGTTAGTTTCTGTTACAACTATTGAAATATCACTGCCCAGAAAACTTATGAAAAATCTCTTAAAAGTCTTAAAAAACCAAAAAAAACATATTTTGAGATGCAATTTATATCGAGCAACAAGGCAGATGAAATAGGTACTTAGATAATCTTTGAAAGTTAGTGAATGGGGCTCAACTAAACTCACACCTTCAAAAGATTCTGAATCAGTTTGACGTTTTTATGTCTTTAAGAATTAATATAAAATGTGAATATATTTAAATGGCTAAGTCACATCCGTCTGCAAAATGACTTGTTTTAAAAACTGTCTGTAAAAAATTTCAAACTATGATGCCTACCACATCTCTGCTAAAAATCATACAATCTACACTTTCAACCTTTAACACACATAAACAGACAAATGTACCATTCATGTTAGGCTGCTATTAGCCGTGAGCAACCGGTGGTGCAACTAGTGGAGACACTGGTGTCCCACAGCTTTTTGGAACCTGGATACTAGTGGCACAACTTCTCATACCTCGCTCAAACTGCAGAATTTATATTATAGTACAGATATAAAATATAAATTATAAAATTAAAATTTATTTTATTGTACAAAGAGGGCAAAATCACTCCCGGCAGCTTCACGGACCAATTTTTTCGGTGGCACCACCGATCACCCCACGGCTAATAGGCACCATTTGAGTCAATGCCCCTCTACACGTCGGCCACCGGTGTCGCCACTAGTTGTGCCACTGATTGCTCACGGCTAATAGCGGCCTTAGGTTAGCCGATTTCAAGTAACCCTCTCGTATTAGTGAAGTAATTGAGTGAAGATTATCCGACCCCTTCAAAGCAAGATACATACTAACTATAGCTGTAAGGTACTTGTATTTCTTTTGTTCTATTTTCCCTAAATTTCACAGTCTAAGCCTATTTTTTCTTCATCACAACTAATTGCTCAGTGCTAAGTTCTTCTTTATGCACTCTTATAAAAACTTGGTGTGAAATACACTTAAGCCTTTTACCTGGCGAGTCCGACACTTCCTCAGGTGGTTCTTCAGGACTGATGTCATCCTCTTCTTCAGGACCCTTCACTGCTCCACCAATGTCCTCCGGCCCTGGCAGCTCTCCGGAGATTGGTAGCTCTGGCCCTGCACAAACCAAGGATCACAACCAATTTTACAAGTATATTTTACCTAAAATGTTTGACATACATGATGTTTTTTATCCATTGAAATAAATTGTTTGTTTGATGTTAATTTGATTTAAATGTCATTTGATTTAAACTTTTTGGGATAGTAAGTTTAAAAATGTATTCATCCACTTTTTTTAGTTTCCGACATGACAGGACACAGGATTTTTATTTTATTGTTGAACAGGAACAGAACATGATTTTTCTTTCTGTACAAAAAGGGAAACTTGAGTTATGGCTCAGAAATTAGGGTACCAAGCAAATAAAAGAGAACAACGCCTAACATTTTTGAAAAAGATGTAGAGTTCTAACTCTCTACATCAAATTCTACATACAACCATTGGCTACAACTCTATGTAGAGTTGTATTTAGACCTGGACATTGTGGCTGAGGTAAGAAGCAGGAGAATGAGATGGGCTGGACAATGGATACATGAAGTAAAAAAAGTCAAAAGATGCTAAGTCAAAAGAATATCTCTGAATAATCCGATGGAAAACGAACAGAAAGGCCAAAGCTGAGATGGCGAGACAAGATAAGAAAACGCATGAGAGGACTGGGAGGAAGGGAAGTGGAGGTAGTGTGTTGGTGAGGCAAAGTACCAAGTACCATCTTGGGCACCAAGAGCAACAGCAGAATGCAATACTCACGTCCAGGTGGGATGGAGAACGGTGGTTTGATCTCCTCATCCCACAAACACTTTCCGACAATGGCTTGACTAGTGTCCGTGAGGTTTGCGAAGTTTACTACGACACCGTTGAGTGTCGCGTCTCCGATGCACCCTGAGAACTGTGGCTGCAATGCGAGTGCTGCGTCCACTCGTGATGGTACACCACCAAAGTACAGGTTGCTGTAGAGCAGCCTCATTGCTACAGCAGTGTCGGGTGATCTGAACAACAGAGAGGATACTTAGTATGTTAATATTTGGCAATAGTTAGCAACAGAGTAAATGTTAATTTTTTTAAAACACTTTTGCCTCATGTCATTTTTTTGCTTTGTATACTCAGTTATTTTTAGGAAACCATTCTTTTAAGAAGCAACATAGTTGTTTTATTGTATGTAGCTTGTTTGTAGGAGTAAAAATATTTAAAATAGGGTATGCTAAACTAAAATATCAGTGATGTACTTGCATTGACTGGGAGTTTTTGCTAATTATTTTATTCTTTTTTTCGCACCTAGTAGATCCTCTCTTGACCCGCTCTTATCAGGTATAAATAGTGGTTAGTATGGAGAATTATAAAAAAAGTTAGTTTAACCAATCTTTTTTAAGGTATCTACAGTTTCTTTATCGGAGTTAAACAATAGATTTGTGTCCTTGCAAGTCTAGATTTGTTATAAAACCTTTCAGATGATCCAACCAAGGTCCCGTCTTGGCCAGTTAAGAGAGGGGGTACAGTAGAGTCCCGTTAGTCCGAAATGGTTGGGACCGGGCCCATTTCGAATTTTTCGGATAAAACATTTTTTTTTTAATTTTGAAAAAAAATTTTAATTTTTTGAATTTTTTGTTTTGTTTTAGGACGCAGGCACGAGCCCGGGATTGTTTTTGACATTACTTAAGGCTATACCTAGTGGCTGCAGCATTATCACTTAATAAAATCCATTTGTGATTTGGTGGGATGGGATTGGAACCCGGGATGAAAATAAAAAATGTTAATAACAAAAATGGTGAAATATTTACTAAAATACTCTACAAAAAAAGTCAATCTCATCCGGACGCTACAGAACTCTTTGACGAGGTACAGCTAACTGTGTTAAAAGCTTAATAAAAAAAATTTTCAAAAAAAATTAAAAAAGTTTTATTTTTATAAAAAAAATATTTAAGATATATTTTTTGGTTTTGGATTAAGCAGACTTTTGGATTACCGAAGTTCGGATTATTGGGACTCCACTTTAATTTATAACGAGTCATAGTGATCCAAGTTTATACATGCAGTTAATCAAACGTTGTCTGAAATATGCATAACATGTGATTAGTGGTAATGCAAAAGCAAAGGTATTTGAAAACAAAGCTTGCTATCAAAACAAAAGCAATTCATTATCATATTTTTTATACAATGTTGCACACATGTGTGTATTTCAAGGTGTATATGAATGCAATGTAGAATGGAATGAGATGACTGGGATAGTGGCGTCGTCCTGTAATCCAGCTACTAGGAGGTCACGAATTGTGGATATTTATAGACATGCACTGTGGTAGCGATATTCCCTGGTGTGGATTAACGTCTGCACTAGTGAGTACTACAACTATCCGCAGTACTATCCTGATAATTAGACCAATTTGTTAATACCAAGACAAAAATGTGATTTGGATTCCACTATAAACTGTGGTCCCTTAGTTGCCATTAGCTGTATGGGCTATTAATTAACAGCTGTGTGTAAGGAGTATGTCGGCCTTAGTCACTAACAAGACTACAAGATCGCACCACTCATCCTACATTCATCTCCATTCATACTTGGCTTAAAATACCTACTTTGTATGGTAACCATTTCAATGAAAAATATAAAACATAAAAGTATTAAAGATCTTTGTAGTTTTGTTAACTTCCTCAACCCTTTGATTGTTACGTGAGAACTACAACAGCTTCCCAGCCAGTTAATAAGGTGACTTGATATTGGGGGTCATGTTATAGAGGTTCCACTAAGGTGAACTCACTTGAAGTTGTCGTAGTCATCGATGTCCAGCAGCAGAGGTTCCCCGGTCTGAGAAGTAGCCACTATCACGTGCCAGTGGCCGTCGTTGTACTTGGTAGCTGGGCTGCTAGATACCTCCTACACCACACAACAGGTCAATTTGTTTACATTTTTCATCTCTAGATATCAAAGATTTTTGTTAGGATAAAAAGCTAATCTGAATTGGAAAGAATGTAGATTTTCACAAGAAACTCACAAAAAATTTAATATTTCACCTTCACTACCAATGGATCTGGAGACTTTCCTCTCTATAACTCACACTTTCTTTGTTATAAAACTATGTAAGTGAGGGAGGAAATATTCTAGTTTATGTGTACCTCTTAGTTTAAAGATTTTGTTTTACTTGAGCTATGGTGGACACTTTGCCATTTGTGTGAGCCTCTATCCAAACATAAATCCTTCAAACTTAGGCCCTTTGTGCTCCATGTTCATTCTTTATCTGTACACCAGATTTTTTTACTTTCTCCCATCCATACATAGAGTGAAAATGACTGATGAAGTTATGACCGACGCTCATATTTGACTGGACTTATGCTTAATATTTTTACAAATTTGAAAATCAGCTGTATTTTAATTGTATAATTTTGACAGTTGATTTATGTTTACTTTTTGTAAGTTTTCTAGAATAAAAATAATGATGAAATTTCTACATTTAAAAAAGAATTGATTTTTTCTGTAATTTAGTTCAAACGGTCTAATTTAAACAAAAGTTGAACCGTACAATGTTTAATTGTTTCTAAGTTTGATTTGTTTCAGTAATTAATCTGTTTACAGGAATTGAGAACAATTCTAATTTTATTATAACCAGAAGAATTGTAAAACATGGCGACCGTGACAGGACCAGAAATTATAGAAATAAATCGACTTAAGAAACAGAGAACGGTAATTCGGAGATCGTTTACAACTCTTTCGCAAAGTATCTTGGACAGATTGAATTCTAACAACCATGATTACCCTGAAATCGAAGCAAGTATGAAACTGTTAGAGAAAAAGAACGACCAACTTAACGAACTCAATGATAAGCTACTGGAAAAACTTCTCGAATCAGACTGTACGGAGGAGCAACTCACCGAAGAACTCAGCGGATCGGATGAGTATTTAAATAAGTTCTTTCTGATAAAAGCTAAATTTGACAGTTTGACTTTGAAATCTATTGAGGATGTAGCTTCAAGTTGTAGTAAATCATGTTCAAGTAAACCGAATACCTCAAAAGCTAGAATAAAACTTCCTAAAATCAAGTTTGTTAAATTTGATGGAAATTTGAAAAATTGGCTACACTTTTGGAGCCAATTCCAAAAGATTCATTTAGACTCTGACCTTAAAGATGAAGATAAATTTCAATATCTTATTCTAGCTACTGAACCCAAATCTAGGGCTGGGGAAATAGTCACTATTTTTCCCCCTATAGCTGACAATTACCCCAAAGTAATTGAATGTCTGAAGTCCAGGTTTAGGAATTCACAAACTAAATGCATAAAATGACAGAAAAATCTTATTTAAAATTTTTATCAAAGATGATGTATTTGATGTTCCTTTAAACAATAAACCAAATGGCACAACCCCTAATGCTGTTAACATTCTGGTTCATTTATTGCAGTTTTTGTGATTTTCTCCATAAAATATCATAGATACTCCCATTGCTTACCCATTAAAAGGGTTGTTGACAAGCTAATGGGAGAAAGTACGTGTCAGTTTGCTGATACCTTTTATTTATTTACTAAAATTCACAAATTTATTTACTTAATGTACAAGCCTTTCAAGACCAATGGTTAAATACTCCTAAAAAATGTTCTTGTTGCAACTAATCAATTACAATTATTAAAATAAAAACCTTACCTGTCCTCCACTTTTGAAGACAATGTTTCCATCAACCAGTTGCAGTGAGGAGGAAGCACTGCCGTCTACAGCATAGGCAATGAGACCGTTCGGGTTGGTAGTCTTGATCTTGAGGATCAGCTGTACAATGTTGTCTCTTGCAGTGGCATTGCCCCACCTGGCATAGCCTCGGGCTCCCTCTTCAAATGAGATCACCCCAGCAAACTGACAAAGACGTGGGAATTACAACAACTCCACAGTACCACAGTCAACCTAACCTGATTTTAATACCAAAGAACTAAGAACAGGTGTTTGTAATGGTCAAAACTAGAAATTTGTAATTTCACAACTGAAATTGAAACTTTAAAAATAAAATTTTAACACACAAAATTGGATTCCTCATTCTTTTCTGGATATGGTTTTTGAAAACTCATTATACAGTATAAAGATTCCTTACATTATTTCTTTGTTTATCTTTCTCTTCTTTTAAAATGTATTTCTAAAAATGAGTCTGTAACAGTACATTACAAAATTCTCGCAATGTTGGATCAGACAAAATAATAAATTAAAACTATTACCTTGACAGGACAGCCGGGGGAAACTCCAAAGACATTGATGTTATTGCTGAGGTCGATACTTGTTTGTCCGACTTGGACCTCGTCTATGCAGCCGTCAAAGCCGATGTTCGTTACCCCCTCCACAGCCACATCTCTTGGTGTTCCTCCAAAGTAGAACGTCTTTTGTACCTGCAGTTAAGATATCAGAAATATCAGCTTAATTACTTAACATTACAATCTGGAATGTTCTCATGGCAGTGTCTCATTGCCAAAGAATATTTGTAGACCTCATTCAGTCTACGAGCACCTTACTCGATTTGCATTTGAATGATAGTTTTTTTTGCTATAAAATTTATGTATTTGAACTGAAGGAGCTAAACATTTATTATCGGTTGATTCTAGGAAAGCTGTAGGTACAATATGCAGAATCCGGAAACAGTGATTTATTTCTTTAACCATTAAGGATAGTGGAAAGAAGCTTTACACAATACTACTACTAAAACATTTACTTTTTGAAGTGAATATAACTTTTTCCCACCATCCGGTCCACAGGATGTCAGAAGGAAATCCTAAACGAGAACATAGGTTGAGTAGTACATTAAATTAAAGATCTCTAAAGCACACTGCCGCAAATCTGACCACAAAAGATTCATTGTAGCAATTTCAATGTAGTGAATGGTGGCAATTTAAAAATACTAATTTGATCTTGTTGAACAAAGCTAAGATGCTATTCAAACTAGTTTTAAATTGTCGCCATTTTAGCTAGGAAAACCCTTTTTGGGTTGGATTTGCAACACTGTGTTTTCCTAATGGAGACCGTTGATTTAATTCAGAAACAGTTCCACATTATTTTATGTATAGCAACAAAATCTGTGATGCACACAATTCATTCCTGTAACAAAATAACACCAATATAAAATTGGTTAATCATTCAAGAACAAGATTAAGTCGTAAAATACTCTGGACTAACAAATGAGCATCGATTGCTTGATAATATTTTTAAACTTATTTACTGACCAGCAGGTCTTCGCCCTGGGTGCTAGAAGGTCTGTATTGCTTGGCCTCGTCCTGTCTGTTGTCCATTACCAGAGAGCCGGCCAGTCCCTTGCGAGCAGCAGACACCGAGTGCCACTGGCCGTCGTTGTAACTCCTGTCTGTCTGTAGCAACACATGCTCTGTCCCCATGTAGTACTGCCAACATAACAGGATTTGAAAACTATAATATTGTTTGTGCCATGCTCATACTGATCGATTTGTTGTATAATAAGTGGTGCAGGTGAGTAAGAAATATATTTTTTTGTTTTTACGGATTATAGTTGACTCTTGACAATCTACAGGTAAAGTCAAGTCAGGTATTAAGTTCAATTGATAAATAATTGAAAATACAGTAATTACAAATTCACTACACAATTTATAACTGCATTTGTAATGTATGTGTTGCTAACATAGTTTGGGTTATTGTAAGTGTATGATTGTTATGTTCAAAACATGTATTTATTCTGTTATAAATAACATTAAATGTTCAAAACTCAAAAGACTTTCTATACCAACAGGAACTGTGCCAGATTTACCACCAGGCTTACTAGGCTGCGACAAATTTTTTGTACAAAAAGTAAATTTTGCATTTACTAGAAATAATAGTTTGCAGCAATCGCAAGTGACGGCGATGATGTCTTAGTGATCATGGAAGATGTTCTTGATTTCACCGTGATCCACCAAATGGGCAGGGGCGGCTCTTGTCATTTTGGGTAGAGCTGTAAGTGCCTTATATGACTTACAGAAATTAAACTGTAACACTGTACTGTTTCACTGTAATTTCACTGAACAGAAATTAAATTCCAATATATCGTACATATATTGGCTGATGACTCAATTATCACAGTACTGGATTGCAAAGTGTGTCTTACCATTAAATGCAGGTTATTAAAGTAAACTGTGATTTTAGTGATAAATTGAGATGCCCTAAAATATGTTGCAGTGTTTTTCAGGGATAAGAAATTACATAAAGAAAAAGGTAACAAAGTATAAACATTTCAATTGAAGTTCAGATTTTGAAATTCACATCAACATTGTGACTTTCACCAAATTATTTGAGTAGAACATTTTACTGGACAAATTGGCTGAAATAGAATTACCATGACACACAATTTATACCTGATAGATAATCTTTCCTCCTCTCATTTCAATGGACATCATATGGTTGTCCTCAGCCTGTCTCTTGTTCCTGGGCTGTTTACCGTAGGTCAAAAACAAGAGTCCATCTTCTGCAAAGGTCTTAAACGACATCTTGATGTCTGAGCGTTTCTTGACCCCGTAGGTTTGGCCATCAATCACAGCATATCCTTCCCCATTGAAGCGGTAACCAGTGCTCATGGATACATTGAGGAGTTTATCTCTAAAAAAAGAGAGAACTTTGTTTTATTTCATATTTTTCTTGAATTTTTATTTGAAAACTTGACTGTATGTAAACTTAACTCTGTTATTATGGTCTGGCACATAGCTTTTATTTTACTTATTATATGCGTAAACAACAAATTTACCTCTCGATAGAGCCTTTGTTGAGGTTAGCGGCATCTTCAAAGTTCCAAAGTCCAACTTGGGAGTCACCTATAACAAGCTCTTCAATGTGGCCTTCAAAAGAGGACTTAAGCGAAGGTTGTACGTCGAACGTGACTGGGAAACCTCCCACAAACAGTTTAGAGAGATCCTTGTCCAGGTTAAGCAAAGTAGATGTTCCCTTGAGAACGTGTTCCACTGGGTGTTCTCTGATGTATTCTGGTGTGATTTCCTCTCTTATCTTGAACTGAACGCTCTTACCAGTCCTGTGGAAAAAAGGTTCTTTAATTATTAAAAGACTAATTTTGTATACATAACAGCCAGAAATCAACTGACTATCTGTTCTTCTGATTATCTATAACTTACTATCTGTTCTTCACAATACTAATTAGATAACAACCGAACAGTTACACATAAAGCACAAAAAAGTAACACTCAAATCAAAATCACATGCGTAGAGAGATTGAGTGTGTCCGTTTACCTGTCCACAACTGCCTGGTACCACTTGTCGTCGGACACATACTTGTTGTTGTTGATCTGCTCAGGACCCGAGCCCAGGTCAATGGTCAACACGGGGTAACCATTCTCCAGTTGGAGAGCCATAAAATCATCCTACAAGAGAGCAAAAGTTAATACAAATTTATAATTAAATAATGCAATAAAAAATATGTAAACTAAAAGTTATTGCTTGGTTTCCAATCAAAGGGTTAATGAGACAACTTCAAACATAGGACCCAAGGCAGTCACTAATACTAACAAACTGCAAACTTGGTTTTCAGGTTCCAATTGTTTCAGTGAATTACACTTTAAATAGAAAAACGTTTCAGCCTTGTTCAAGGCTGTAACAAGGGCAAAACGTCAGCTCTTAGTTATTTAGTTCTGTATCATGGTCTAATCTACAACATTTCAATGTTAACCTTCCTGGAAGGATATTTTTGAACTTTGAATTTTTGGGTGCATTCAACTTTTAAAAGTTGGAAAATCCAAACCATTTTAACTTACAGAATTAGATCTTCTCATCTTGCGACTTGTGCCTTTCTCATTTCCGAGGTAGATGATCAGACCGTTGGGCTCTGGAGTCTTGAAATACACAGAGACATGGGAGTTCAAACCCTGGTGAGTAATGCTGTCTGGGTTTCTCAGTTCCAAAGTTGTGTTGCGGAAGAAAGTAGCTCCAACTTTGATTCTGAAGTGGAAAAATGTTTTAGTTTATGTTTAATATTATTATTATATAGTTCCTCCATGCAGTGCACGGGTCTATGCAGAAAGTGTGTACATTAAGATTGAACTGTGAAGCTGTGAGGAGCTCAATTAGAAAAGAAGGACACACTTGGGCAATATGTCAAGAAGTAGTCACCTGCCTTAGAAAATGTTGATTGGTAGACTGCATGCATTCATGAGATTTCAGTACACGGATGGCCTCTGAGTACATCAACCGATTGTTGAGAGAAATTTTTCAATCTTGTATGAAGCGCAAAGGGTCTTGGTCTGTCTTTCAAGATTTTATGATGATCTATCAACGAGATAAAGGTGATAATATTTGTATATTATATTGCAAAATCAACACTTTTAAGACATTAAAACTTGCAATGGTTTGAAATAAGAATTTGTGAATTTCATAAGCCAATAAAATAGTAGTTTTTAAACTTCATGACTATAATATTAGTTACTAACAATAATGGTTTTCTCATTAGGTCTACTATATGGATCCAATTTAGTTTGAGATAGGTATAACTGTCTGACCATCTGACAACAAATGTGTAAAAAGGGTCTACATAAAAAAGGAAAATTAATATCAAAATACTGATAAAAACATACCTGTTAGCTAAGTCCCTAGCCATCTTTACTTTTTGCTTTAGATCTTCTAGGTCATCTTTTATTGTCTCAGCCATCTTCTTCAGCTCTTGAGGTTTCTCTTTTAGCTGTTCAACGAGTTCTATCATGTCAGGTAGAATACTGTTGACTTTGTCCACTGGAACAGACAAATTTAATTTTTTTTTCAATATGAGAAATCCAATACAATTCAAACATAACAGTTATCAGCCATATCAAAAGTCAATTGTTTAACAAAACAGCACTCAAAAAAAGTGTATTACAATAAGAATAAACACTGTGTTCCTTTTGTACTGAATTGAACTAATTTAAAGAGTCTAATTAACTCTCACTAAAGATTGATTATCACTGACTGAGAGAAGCGGTAGGTTTTAGAGTGATAAAATCTTTAGGAGGTTCAGGTAAAATCACGAAGTAAACAATTGATTAAAATATTTCAAGTTTACAGTGTATTTCTAATAGTTTTTATGTTGTTTTGAAGATAATTTAGGCCGCATGGAAATTTACAATAGTCTATGGTAAGTTCATACAACTCACACTCGTTGTTTGCAATCTTGACGTTATCTAGAGCATGTTGGTTATCCTTGTGCAGCTGTTTGACAGTCTGAAGTTTCTGCGGAATGTCAGCAGCATTCTGGTTAATCTGGTCTAGAGCTCTGCGGGCAGAATCTGTCACTGCGTCCAGGTTTCCAGAGTCGTAAACACCCGTCAACTCCAACTGAGGAATGTTCTCAAGCCCTCTGCAAAAGGATACAGTTGTGTAGGGAGTAAAACGTAATTGGTACAGCTGGTAAATAGATGGAAAATTTGGCACAGCTGTCCTCCGTGGATGATTCTGGCTAAAGAGGCAGTTGATCAACGCTTAAGACACATCTAAGTGTTTGTCACTGTTTTGAAAAATTGATAAAATTCTCAGTATAAAGGTTGCATGTGGAATTATGTTCTAGAGACTTGGCATACCAATAAACATTGTTTTTGCCACTACAAATTATCAATTATCAATCATTAATGTTTCAAGAAATGCAAGAGTAGGGCAGGCAGGTAATCTTAAAGTGGATGATCTTGAATTTGAAAGAGTTAAATATTTTAAATACCTTGGTGTAACAATAACAAATTACAAGCCGAGGCTTCGATGGAAGAGCCAGGTGCTGAGGGACCTAGCAGTATTGGGAACCACCCCGGAGGCAGCTGAATATAGAGATCAGTGGAGAGGAATCATTGGCCAAAAACCTTTTTAGGTTTCAGTGGCCAAGGGGGTAAGAAAAGTAAGGTAAATCATAATGAAGTAAACTATGTGTACGAATTTGATTATTGTGATATTGTTCATTTTGTAGATCATATTGGGAACCACCCCCCAGACAGGTGAAGATAGAGAGCAGTGGAAAGGCATCGTTGGCGTGGCCAAAAACCTTTTTAGGTTCCAGTGGATAAGGGGGTAAGTAAGGTAAGGTAAATCATAATGAAGTGAACTACGTGTAGCAGTTTGATTATTGTGATATTTTTCATTTTGTAAATCATTGTTTTTAGGCATCCAATTAGTTGCCTTGTGCATCGATCAATTCACAAGTGGTCAAGATTAAGACCACTGGTTGTGCGCATTGCTGGCGCATCTTCCGCTAATTATATCTCATCATATCAAAAAAGTTTGTTAAATTCAGACTTTTTAAGTTGTACCTCTTGACTTGGTTGTAGGTGTTGTTGATGTGATTGTTCATCCGTTTCACGTGGCTCAGGTCGTCTTTGGTTGCTTCCAGTTGCTTACTCGGGCCGTCCGCAGCTCTAAGAGCATCTTCCATCTCGTAAATCTTCTTCAGCAGCTCGTCATTCTTCTCCTTCACTCCATTGCTGTTGCTGACAATGTTTTCCGACTGAAATAAGTCACATTTGGTTAGCTCATGTTACAGTGACGTTTCAAACTGTTGAGTACACTTGTAGAAGAATCATGAGCCGAAATATGCCTGTTTATAAATTATCCAAAGGAGCACTAAATTTGGTTTCATAAGGGTTCGACCGAGAAATATAGAAAAATATGTTCTATAAGCTTGCTGGTTTCTGTTTACCTGATTATTAACACTATAAGGTTAAAGAAAATTTCGATCCATGGCTTGTACTACCTGATACCATCATTAGACCAGTATAAAAAATTAATGAATATCAACAAGTGACCAACAATAAGGCATACCTTGACCTCTAGTTTTCACCAAAAATGATCACTGATCAAGCTTTCCAAAATTACTATAGGAGGGGAAGTCTATTTGTGGCATCTAGGTCCGTGGACTAAAGGTCCGTACATAAATATGTTTGATTTACCTTGCTGGTGGTGTCATCTGCCGCCTTGATAGCGTCCTCGGCTGCCTGGCTGGCATTGCCGATGGCGGTGACAATATCCGCATACGCATTGGCCGCCTTGATCGCACTGTCTGCACTGTCTCGTGTGTCCGTCAGTAGATGGTCCAGCTGCTGTGCACGAGCCGTTAGCTCATTAGCGTGTGTTGTTGCCGCTGACACAACTTCGTTAACTTTATTCAGCCCGTCACTCTGATCCTGCGTCTTCTGCTCCAGTTCTGTTTTGGCTATCTCCAGCTGTGATCGCTGGTCGGCTGCAAACATGAAGATATTAAATTTTGCTGGAAGCCATTGACCAGTTTAGACACTTTCTGATTATTTGGTATGAAATGGGACAGTCTTCAATAGTAGTATAGTGCATTTAGACCAACACCTCAACAAACAAAATTAAAGTTTACCTCTCACTCCTAATTGTTCAACATAGTCCATGAACTGTTTGGTAAAAGGTTACACCAAATTTAATATTCTTTTAAACAGTTTAAGAGAGTAGCAGAGTTTTACACAGGGCTTATGAACTTAATGGTTTAACGAGCTTAGACCAGTCATCTGGTGTTCATTTAATTTAGTTTAATTTATTTACAGATACACCAATTATTACATAAATCACAGAGAAATTACAATACCGGTACTTATTTGTTGAATTAACAAAGAAAAAAAGGCACAAAACAACTAAATATGAAATGATAAATAATTAAACAACAACAATAATTACCCTTTAATTGTGAATGTAACTTGGAAAGTTGTTTTATAGGCTAATAAAAATTTATATATGAAATATCATCATCAATAGTGTTTTGGGGAAGCAAAATAGTTTTTCTTTGTTGTAAGTCCTTTGCATAAAAAATACTATCATGAGGCTAAATGACAAAACAAATTTAGTTCATAAGATTGCTCAGTAAAATTTGAACTACAAGAATGGAAAGGAAGAATAATTGTGAATATTAATAATACAGGGAGCGTCAGAAATATCTGACGGTTTTCAAGCGAGTACAGTCCGGCAGCGGAGTGGAGGGGGGTGGCGGGGAGCGGCTCATTCTCAAGGCCAAGTGACCCCATTTCAGTCGCCATGGAGCAGTGGACCGGTATACATCGCGCGTTTGTCGTTGAGGCGTATTTTAAAAGTGGCGATTCTGTTGTTGATACGCAACGTAAGTTTTGTAGGCATTTTAATGTGGCTCGTGGAGAACCTATCCCATCCCGAAACACCATCAAATTGTGGGCGGATACCTTTAGATCCACAGGATCAACTGCAAAACGTAGGCCTACAGGCCGTCCAAGGTCAGTGAGGACGCTGAAGAACGTGGAGCGAGTGCGACAAGCTGTGCTAACGAGCCTGCATCGCCCAAGCTGCTGCTCTTGGCATGTCTGATCGCTCTATTCGACGAATTTTGCACTCAGACCTTCACTTTCACCCGACGATTGCTATTTTATATGGGTGAAAGTGAAGGTCTGAGTGCAAAATTTGTCGAATAGAGCGATCAGACATGCCAAGAGCAGCAGCTTGTCTACGCGCCGTGCGATGCAGGCTCGTTAGCACAGTTTGTCGCACTCGCTCCACGTTCTCCGGCGTCCTCACTGACCTTGGACAGCCTGTAGGCCTACGTTTTGCAGTTGATCCTGTGGATCTAAAGGTATCCACCCACAATTTGATGGTGTTTCGGGATGGGATAGGTTCCCCACGAGCCACATTAAAATGCCTACGATACTTGCGTTGCAAATCAACAACAGAATCGCCACTTTTAAAATACGCCTCAACGACAACCGTGCGATGTATACCGGTCCACTGCTCCATGGCGACTGAAATGGGGTCACTTGGCCTTGAGAATGAGCCGCTCTCCACCACCCCCCTCCACTCGGCTGCCGGACTGTACTCGCTTGAAAACCGTCAGATATTTCTGCCGCTCCCTGTATAAAAAATTTAAAAAGTATTACCTTAAAACTGTGAGCAAAAATATTAAATAAAAGGGAAATGATGCCTAGTCTTCCAGTGCTAACGTGAGAGGAGCCTTGGTGAGAGGAGGGTTGTGATGGTAGGCCAGTCTATGAGTGTCGGTTAGGATAAAAGAAAGGAGACTGCAAAAAGGAACCAAGAAAATTGTTTACATAAGTAACTTGATGACTAAGTCTCTAACATAAACCATGGGTGGAGAACAGACTGCAAGCATTATTATTTTTTTAAATAGAGTTCCCTTGTCATTGTATTATCCCTCACAGTGGTTCTCAAAAGCTTTTACATGCTGACAATTGTACAGCTATAGCTAACCAACTTACTCAAATCACTCAAAGCAGCCTTGGCACTATTCAGAAGTGCTGAAGCGTTCTTGACAAGTTCTCTAGAGTCGCTCAAGGTGAGGTTGCCATCCTTGGTCAGATACTTGACTGTGTTAACATGCCCTGTTAAACTTGAGTTTCTGCAACAAGGAAATTTGGGTGCGTTGAGTATAGTGGATAGCTTCTTGGACTTTGGTGCGAGAGGGACGAGTTCAACCCATGGCACAACCACAACGGCTTTGAGAGGTTTGGATCACTTTCCATTGTGTGTTCTTTACATACAAATCACCTGGTTTAGCAAAAAAAAACCCAGGCTGATAAATTTTACCTCGTTTTATATATTCTCAAATATTGTTTTGTTTTAATGCATATTGGGCAGTGGTTTTTTTGTTGTTTAAAGGACTTAAATGTTACAACCAATAATTTAGTATCACATTAGTGTCAATGTCAAAGTTTGCACATAGTGTGCAAAGTTTTTTTTTCATAAGTAGACTATTTTTTTGTTCAGGTAAGCTTGTATTATAACAAAATTCCTACAAGAGAGTATATGTTTGATTGTTTGTTTAGTGACACAGGAGTAGAGTTTTACCTATTCTTGGCATTGAGTGCCTCAACCTTCCTAGCGTTGTCCTGTGCCACTTGTGTGTGGTTGAGAAGATCGTTTAGTTTTGTGTCAACTTGGAAGATGCGGTCGCGCAGAGACTCCAACGCTTCAGTCATGTTGTCCGGAGGCCCCGCAAATGCTCTCATCTTATCAAGTAAATCTGCCGCCTTGTCTTTACCCTGTGATAAAAAATTTGAACATATGTTCATGAACATATGTTGCTACCTACCTAAATGTATATGTATAAACCTAAGCTATCAAAGCATTAAGACTAGTGATAAAAAAGCACAAACTATACCAATCAAAAGATACTGGTCAGTTTGTGAACAGCAGATACCAATTATTACAACAAAGGCAAATACAAATTAACACTACAGTAAACTTTGATCATAAAACAAAACCATTGCGGAGAGCTTTTGCAATTCAATTCAATGAATTAACCATTAATCATGATATGCCCATTTAAATGTAGACACAAATATGTGTATAATAACTAATATTGAAAATCTGTATTGAATCCACAGTAATGAAATATCAAGAATCGACATATCTTCAATACTACTATCAAGTTTTCAAGTATTGATAATCGGTTAAGCCCACCCCAATATCCATTACCTATCCAAGTCCAATTTCCAATCACAATTCTGAATTCTATCTAAACATAACGGAACAGTAACTCTGACAATAGTATTACCAAATCATATTCAAATATACTGTTATCATTATAACAAAAAATTTACTATTTTACTGATCAAAGTTTAAATTGGTTCCAGAAATCCTCGGAGGTTTGGACTATTGTACACCACATTATAATTACCTGCATAGCTTCTTGCTCTGTATTACTGAAGTCAACTTCATTGATCTTTTCCAAGATATGTTTCGCCTCGTCCAGAGCATGGTCAATTTGAGGTCCTGATAAACAAAATATTTATTTTAATCTAAATAATACTCTATTTGGTTTTTATTTTTTATCAACAAAATTTAAAACTTTCAGAGTTCCTTAACTGTAGTTCTTGTTATTGATAAGTTACCTGAACTTGTTTCCAAGCTGAGCGCCAAGTCTTGAATCTCCCTGACTGTGTCCTGAGATGTCCTGACTGTCGCCAACACCAAGGACTCCACCTCCCTGGCATCGTCCTTCAGCTTGCCACCTCCAGACACCTTGGCTGCTTCTACCTTGTACTCAGCCTGTCATACATCAAACCAGCAAAATCATCAACCTTGGCTGCTAATAATGTACAGCAATTTGGTGTACTGAAATAAATTCACAACCAAGTACCAAAATATTACTTGGCTAGGAGCAACAACTTGGTGTTAATGATGTTTCACCAGCAACAAGTTGAGTCTATACTCCACTTCCACCAGCTTGGAGGATTGTAAAATCAGCTGATTCTCAATGGTTAGTATCAAGCTCCTTTGCCATGCATTATGTGTGTGTTTGTAAATTTATTTTCTTTTACTTTTGAACAGTTACAGTCTCCAGAGGATAGTATAAGTACAGGGTGTTTACAAAAGAATGCCAGGATTTTAAACGGTCGTTGCTTGTTGACTAATAAAGATAATTAAACGATTTAAACGTCAAATTGAAGGGAAAAGAGCAAAATTTGTTTCTCATACCTTGATGAAATTCGGAAAAATTTAATATAATAAAGATTTTCATCAATTTCATATGAGCGTAAAACTGGCAAAGTCTGTACGCTTAGAGCAATCGGCGGGTTTATCTGATGTCTTAACTGAATTTTGTTGTAGGCACAGACTTAATCTTATAAGGATAACTTCATGTAGTGTCGATTTAGGTGTGTGTTACACGGGAAACAAAACTTAGTTGTTTTAGTTTTAATTTGAGGTATAAAACGTTTAGTTACCTTGAATAGTACCCAAGCAATTATCATTTAAAATCCTGGAATTCTTTTGTAATTCATGTATATTTCCATGTACATACAGCTAAATAAATGTAAGGATTAAATAACTTTGGTGCTGAAACTAACACCTCTATTTTTTAAATATGGGACACAGTAGGCCTACCCGCTTTTCCAAAAAGCGTTATCTCCATCAAAATGGCCACAGGCGTAGCCTAGAAAAAAACCAAAAAGCGTGGTGAATTGGTAACTTAGTTGCTAGCTTGATTGACTGTGAAACTACGGCAGCAAAGTTGTGGGTTTAAGCTTTGTCTATTTCATGTACCGGTAAGAGGGTTTCAAAGTTTCATCATAACGTTGACAGGAGCAAGTATGTGAGAAGTGCAAAATAAAGAAAGCCTGAGTTTTGGACAAGGTCTGGGGGACAGAACAGGTCAACTGCTATAAAAACTTCAATGGTCTATTCTACTGTTTTGGTTTGTGAAGAAAGAGTATAGTAGGGTGATGCTCAACTACGGTATTTAATGAGTTGTGTTTAGTAGACTTTTGGACTATTTTAACTCTGAAAACTGATGAGAGGAAATTATTCCTCCCAACCAGTAACTTGCAACTAACCTTGAAAATTATTTATTAAAGAGAGGTAAATTATTTACTCAAACATATCACCCTCTATACATTTAGACATGAATCATCTGACATAAATATTTTACAATGGTAATGGAAAGTGTACTTTGCGTTTCTAAGAAATTTTCTCTACTCTTATCCACTTATCACTACTGACCTTTCTGTTAAGTCCCCGAGCATCAGACTCGATGTCGTTGACCTTGTTGTTGTAAGGAGAGATGTCCACTTTATTGGAAGGCAACGCATCGACATCAGGCCTCAGCTTGACAACGCTGTCGTTGAAATATTTGAGTCTCTGGTTGGTGAAGTAACTGGCTGCAACCGTCTGTATAATAATCAGATTTTATAGTAAAATTACAAATAAAGGTCATATTATGATTTTTTAACAACTGCTGTTTAGAAACTAAGATATCTAACCTGATGAGTACACAAGATGAAGGTTTAATGCAACAGGATGACTAACAACAATAAAAATTGGTGACTCACAAGTAATTTTTTGTGACAGTTGAGAACATTTTATCACATCCTTTCTATACTCTAAGTCACTGTACTACTACTTTTCGCGACCAACATGACCAAAATCAAAGTCCTAACCTCGAACTCGCCGCTGATGGGGGCCAGTTTGCGGTGGAGGTCGTCGGTGACGTCGAGCAGTGCGTGGTGACAGGTCTCGCACTGAAAGCAGCCCTGGTCGGGGATGAGGACCCAGCGTGGAGGACATCGGTCACACTTCTCTCCCACCACTCCAGGCAAACACTCACACTGACCAGTGCTGGCGTTGCAGCTGGCTCCTATACTGTATTCTGTGTTGCAGCCACATGCTGTACAGAGCAATCATAAATACTCCTTAGTTTGTAGATAAAGCAGTATAAGTACAATCTTGTAGAAGAAATCAAAGCTTTAAGGGTCTAATAGTAATTGTTTTCTTGCACTAAACTATACATTATTTCATAAATTGCCCTATAAGGTCGTAATTGCTTTCCAAAGGGAACTTTCCATATACCTAATGTTAAAAATACCTCAGCTGTATTTGTATGTTATTCTTTCAATTTATTACCTTATTAATATGAGGTGTGATTTTTTGTTTGTATTACTGTATTCTGTTTTTGTTTATTTCAGCTTAACTTAACCAATCAATAGTTTTATTAATAGGTACTTAATAGGTAATGAAGTGAAACAGGGTGAAGCCCGTGGGTAACAGCTAGTTCCTTTTAAATATGAATACTCATAATGTTAACATGGGGAACTACAGAGCCACTGGGGTGGAGCGCGAAAGGATTTTTGAGATAAAGATAAAATAACAATAGTCTTCATGATATGAACTAAACTGAGCGTGGTCGGTTAAGCTAAAAGATCGTATAAACCAAAAATAAACTATACTAAAATCATGAATATAATATATTTTTTCCACTGTCACACAAACAATCGGTTTTAAGTTTGTCTTTCATTAAAATCACTTAGGCTTTGTTTAGAAGCTAAAATAAAAAAAAAACTGACAAAATAAAAACACTGTAACTGAAATAAGAGGTAAAGATAAAGTGAAGCTAGTCCACTCAGCCATAGACTCCATTCATACCAATATGACTTGAGGAGGGCAGGTGTGAGAAATTGATGTACTGTGTGGTATGCAGGGTTATGAATCAATAGAGTAGAGTAAGGTGCAGGACTGACACATATGTTCTGACTTTCTGAGTAAAGACAGGGGTGACAACATGGCTTGTCTTGACATAACTGCTGACGTGTACTGTCATACGATATAAATAACACTTGATTTCTTAGTATTCTGTCATCCACTGGTCAGATAACGGAGGTTGGATAAACAAGACTATGAATCGCCTACTAAAATAAGTGTGAAACATGTGTGTCACTCACAGACACAGCCTTGCGCGCTGTATTGCCAGTAGCCAGTGGCGCATCGGTCACAGTTTAGCCCCATTACTCCTGGTTTGCAGCGACACTGCCCAGAGATATCGTCACACTGCAAACTCTCCGACGCAAGCTGGCAGTCGCAGGCCTTGCAACCCTGTTGACACATTCAGCCAGGATTAGAATGATTTTTCCCAAGTGGCTTGTACAATACATGTTTTTTTCAACCCTACCACTCTATAAAACACTACCTTAAGCTAATGGTTTCTGCTGATGATTCTGACGCTGACACCAGATAATCATAAATCATCAGTAAAAATTTGGTTTAAGACTTTAAGAGCCAAGATAGACTCCTTGTAGGATCAATATACACTAAACACAGTAAAGCGTTAAAAGCTAGCTGATACAAACTAGACCACAGGAGAGTACAGGCAACAGTAGATATTAATAGCAAGATGCTATTAAATAAAGAGAAGCTTGGAGGAGGGATGTCAGCTGAAGGAAAAGCAGGAGGAATAAAATTAAATACAGACCTCCAAAAAAATGACAAATCAGAAGAGTTCTTAATTCTTATATTAGGATTGCTTCATATAACTGCTTGACGGATACCAACCTGACAAGCAGAGAAGCCGTAGTGTTTGTCATCACAGCGGTCGCACTTCTCCCCGACCACGTTGGGTAGACATTGGCAGCGTCCAGTCGCATGATCACACTCCTGGGTCCCACAACGATCACAAACACAACCTGAAGATGGGAATTGATTGAATGATTAAGTAAAACCAGTTAGCAAAATGGTGCAAACAGTTAAAACCACCAAACAATATGGTGGCATTTTGAAACCATAATACTAGAGGTGTCCAAGCAGCTTGAAGCACCAAGCTCAAATTTAAAAGAATACCGTTCAGCTAATTTCCGATGCTTTTATCATGTAAAATAATTTACTACCTGTCTTAAGATGATATAACTAAATATTACATGCCTCATAACACTACTTGTTCCCACCAACAGTTGATAGCAGACAATTTATAAAGATACAAGGTCATACTATCCAGAGACAAGTCAGTAAAATTTTTTCCCTTTTCAGCTTAGTACGTGTAAAAAAATTAATGATATGAAGGTTTCACTCAATTTACTATTAAAGCTATTTAATTAAATAGCTTCATTTAAATACCAAAACCTAGTAGAACTAAATTCACCTAGTAATTATTGACAATACTATAATGGGTTAAATTTTTCAAATCGTTTTGTAATCTTAAAATTTGTAAGATAAAAAACTACAACATACTCTGGCAGTCACGCAGCTTGGCGTCACCGAAGTAGCCGGGCGCGCAGAGTTGGCAAGCACCACCAAATGTGTTGTGCAGACAGTTGGTACAGTTACCCGTCACTGTGTCACAGGAACGAGGGTCCGATGGATCTATGTTGCCAGAACAGTCACACGGCTTGCAGTAATCCCCTGTGAAAGATATACAATGTAGTTAAGTATATTGTTTTTTTTTTATTAATTAACAACTGGAATATGTGTGTTTCAATAACTAGGCTATTTTTATGGTTTAAGAACTTAGAGTAAAATAGTAAGGTCTAGAGCAAGCAGTGGTCATTTTAGCCCTGGGTAGAAAGGTCAGAGGACCCACAGTTTTAAAGGCTCCCTCTAAATAAATATACCCACTGCAGCAAACCTGCCAACTAAGCGAATTTCCTTTTTCCCTGGATTAATAAAACCCCGTTCCCATTGTCCGACCATGCATAGAGAAATATATATACAGGGTGTTTCAGTAAAGCGTAGCGGGCTATGCAGATTCGGATTTTACATGCAAAAATAAGTCGAAAATGTAGAATAACTTTTTTTTTTTCGGCTTAGTTTAGCCGTAATCTGCCATTTTGTATTTTTTTTTATAGTTTATAACACAAAAGCCCTTGAAGACATTTTTATGAAACTTGATATTAACTTTAATTCTACAGCTATAAACATTCTCCAAAAATATCTTTGATCAGGCTCATTGATATTTCAAAATGTCAGCCATTTAAAACTTTTAAAGTCAAATTCCATGAAAACCAGCAAATAAAACGAAATTTCGCAACACATTTTTCAATTCCTTTTTAATACAAATCGAATGATTTTCGGAATTAAAAGTCATTCGATTTGTAATTTAGAATAAGAATAATTGTAAATAAAAAGAACTTTAAATAATGTGTTGCAAAATTTTGTTTTATTTGCTGGTTTTCATGGAATTTGACTTTAAAAGTTTTAAATGGCCGCCATTTTGAAATTCGATGAGCCTGATCAAAGATATTTTTGGAGAATGTTTATAGCTGTAGAATTAAAGTTTATACCAAGTTTCATAAAAAATATCTCCAAGGGCTTTTGAGTTAGAAATTATTTTCAACAAAATACAAAATGGCAGATTACGGCTAAACTAAGCCGAAATCGAAAAAAAGTTATTCTACATTTTTGACTTGTTTTTGCATATAGAATCTGTATCTGCATAGCCCGCTACGCTTTACTGAAACACCCTGTATACATATAGAAAAATTTGAAGGAATAGTGTTTTTGGCTTCTGGGGACATCAAAATGAAAAAGTAAATCGGTCCCGGGCCTAGGTCTTACCATGAGACCTACGGTAATAGCTACTTCCCTATAGGGAAATTCGCCAAAAGGCAACACTAAATATAGTGGGAAGGTTATGTGTGTGTGTGTGTGTGTGTGTTGTGTGTTGTATCTTTCAATATATTTTAAAATTTGTTAATTCTGAAATAACGTTATCCCTGGTTTTATATAGTACATTGCAGAATTAACTGGCAAATAAGTAATCCAAATGTTAACATTGCGTACTGGCTTAATGATAAATCACGATCAGCTGTATTGAAGTAAACAAAAATCAGCAGTAAATGGCTTGTAATGCTATTCTTACGGAGAACATTTTACGTTATATCTCGTTTTTCTGATAACTTTATGGGAATTCTGCTACTTTTCCCGAGTCCCTGGGGTCAAGACTTTTAATTTAAGACCCCTCCCACTTTTCTGCGACTTACCAGACGCCCACAATTTTCTGGTACACATTTTGTCTTACAGAATTATATATAAGGATTTTTTAATTCTGAATGTTGGAAATAAATGCCTAATAGGTTTCTCAACATAATGAGTATGTGATATGTTCAGCTATAAAAGTGACTAGCTTCCTGATTAGAAAGATATTTTGTAGTTAGTAAGAGGCTCTACAGAAACTAATATTGTCTTGCTACCCTGTAGTATTTGTTTTGATAGAAGCATTTGGCAACATTTTTTGTTTTACATTTGCAGTATATTGAATAAAGCTATTTTTAACTAACTTTTAATCCATTCCACAGTCCATTTCTCTTTTATACAGTTTCTATCTTCAGGAATTTAATTGGTCTAAGATTTAAGAATCAAAATGCTTGCTCAAACCTAAATCTCTGTTCATGTTCACTAAAATTTGCTCAGGTGAATGCTAAATCCTAAAGTTTTCATGGTTTAAAACACCCTTGAATGTCTACCTGGTTGTTCAGGTCTCCCGTAGAATCCGGCAGCGCAAGACTCGCATCGTGCACCGAAATATCCTGGAGAGCACTGACAGCTGATCTTGTCTCCATCCTCACTTAACTCACAAGATGTAGCAAAACTGTAACATAGGGGGAAAATGTCTGCATTCGAATCCATACTTAAATCACCTACAATACATGTTATTACCATAAATTATAGTGATATGAACTTAGGAAACCTTTGGTCAATCAAATATGGCTTTCAGTCATTTTCGTTGAGTTATACTAGCATAGATATTTTATAAGTGGAATTTAGCTCATGTAGTTTTAAATACAATATCAACTGTATAATATTTTAAATATAATTCAACTGTATAATATTGGAGCTCAAAAGGTTCAAAGAATGCCAATTGGGTTTTACCCCTTCTTCTAACAATCTTAATTCTCACGTGTATACCAGAGTTCACAATTAGCTGATAGTTAATGAATGTTTACTTACTTGTTGGATGGGATGGGGAGGGGGCAGGCACATATGAGGCAGTCGTAGGGGGTGCCTGTGGTTGCGTTGCCATGGTAACCAACAACACAGTTCTCACAGTGTTCTCCAGTCGTGTTGTGCTTGCAATCCTGCAATTGACAAAAATCTCAATGAAACTGGCAAATAATTACTTACATAAAGAAAAGTATTTCACCTCACCCACAAACTGCCCTCACTTCTTCCAATTCTAACGAGAAGAAGAAAAACTATTTTCCATTTGAGGCGTCGAGAGGCCAAGGGAGATATGTGACTTTAAAAAAATGTTGTCATGGTAACGGGTTTTGTTAAAAAATGGTGGAATTTCAAAAAATAATTCACTTATATCCCTTGGCCTCCAAACTAAACACCTAAGAGTTGGAAGCCAAGGGGTATAAGTGAATTTATTTTTATTTTTATTTTATTTTTTATGACTATGAAAAAAATACAATGACATTTTTTAAAAAGTCACATATCTCCCTTGGCCTCTCGACGCCTCATTTGTTTTATGTTCTTGTTATAAATTATTGGATTTTTGACTAATTATTTATTCCACAAAGTTTAGTTATTTTTCTTCAATAAGATATTTTCATCAAATAATAAGAAATCATTTAGGTTTATTTCTTTATTTTTATTTAAAATAAATTAGGAGATTGATTTTACAAGCATTCCAAAACTAATATTTCCTCTTAGGGAAATATTATGTGTTTTTTAAAAGTCCTACAGAAAAAATGTCTTAATACGGATGTATATTGTCATAACAAATGTTTTCAGTAAAAATCCAAACAGTGGAGATTAAATTTGAGCACTTTCAATCTTACAGAAAATATTAAATACTATTTTCTAAAATATTTTGAAAGTGTTTTTAACATCGAAGCTGAAGGTAGTTTAAGAGGGCTCACAAACTGCATCTTTCATTTTGAACATGCCTCATCGTCAGAAAACATTGGATGGAAAATTGTTAAATGAATCTCGTTGGTGTCGTGAAAATGCTTGATTGTCATCCTTGGTGTGTTCTAGCAATCAAAATATTGTGATTGGAGCTCATGGCTTTAGCTTGTGTGACCTAATTTTGTTTTTGTACTTGGGTAATTGCTGACTGAATGTGTAAGTCTGTTTGTTAATTTTATAGGTGGAAATGTTTTTTTTTTTTCGAACTTATGGATATAGATTCAGTGGAATAAAGAACCATGTGGCTCTTTGTTCGTCAGTTAAAATAAAGAATTTTCATGGCCTTACTGTTTTGATCAATTATCTCAATTGCAAATTTTCTTCAAAGAGGGAATTTCAATCTACCAATAAGCTCTACAACATGTTGAACTCACAATGCAGACGCCAGTGATCTTATCGCAGGTGGTGGCATGGCCGTGGCATTGACAAGGGACACAGAAGCCTCCGTAGGGTCCTGTGGCCGCGCGGTAGTAGCCGTCCGCACACTCCTCACAGGACAGTCCTGTGTACGCTGCGGGACAGTGACATTGCTCCACAGACAGAGCAAACCCAGCCACCGGGTCGTAGCGGTCAGACGCAGAGTCTAGGCTGAACCTCATCAACCTGTAGCAAGCAGTAGGTAACTTTACTATGAGAAAAAATTACACACTATTTAATCAGGGAGTAATTTTGTAAGATGGTTCAGTATTGAGTGTTTGGGTTTCAGGGTCCAATTAATGGAACTGGAGTCAACGTTATTGTTATAAACGCTTTTGAGACAGCAACACCCTTTTATGTGCGTATTTTATGCTGAATGCAAGATAAGAATAGAATTGAGATGGATGATCTGTTTAGATTTGTTACTACCTAAGATCAACATATTCTTTAGTCAGGACCATTTATTGAAATGCCCAATGATTGGGGACAATGTTGTTCAGTTTTCGAACCATCAAAAAGGTACTAACATTTTTCAAGATCTAACCAACAACTTTTTGATTGTCAGGCGAGTATTATAAACCCAGCTGTCTGGTGTTGCATCTAGGTCATGTGTAATGTTAAAAACTCTTTTGAATTGGAATTTAAAAAGTTGATTTATTACATTTTCAAAGCTTTAGATACTCAACCCATTTGTTTTTCAATATAAAAATATTGAAAAACAAAAGGGTTGAGTTTATTATTTGTTTTTTGACCTAAATTTCAGATTAATAATTTAGTTTGTTTTATAGTTTAATTCCTGGTCTACGTTGTCCTTGTAATGTGGGCAACCATCATTGCCACTTTCAAAGTTCTTCCAAAATTACTTTGAATAAAGAACCCGGGAATTAAAATTAAACTAAAAATTATCGTAAAAAAGAAATTTATTTTTAACCCAAAGTGTGGGCAAGAGAAACATACTTGTATCAAAGGCCAGTCTCCAGTTCTGCTGATCAAACCCTGGCTCATTAATCCCCCATAAAACCACATCTTGTTGTATTACCTTTAAGATTAAATACACCGACTCGATAAAAACAACAAAGCAACAATTTGTAGGACGGCAAACATTTTTATTTTTTAAATATGCTGGTGTCTTGATTACAATGTAATTAATTTGTATATACACATAGGTGTCTGACCTGTGAGTGGAACATATCAAGCAAAGCACAGAGATGAGACAGTACTAATTGGTAGTGAGTGACTCTGGACGGGAACCCATGACATTGGACCCGCTGCCTTGGATTTGTAGTCTGTTGCGCTATTGACTAAACCCCCAACTCACCTAAAGTTGTTGTCTTACAGTACTGTAAATCCAACTTAGTTGCATAAAATTGTCAACCCCTTCCTCTTTCAATATAAGCCTCCACTATACTATAACAGAAAAGTACCTCGTAGTGACACTGTCTTCCCAGTAAGTAGCTCTGATGTACAAGCCCTGCACTCGTTCCAACACTTGCATCATCTGTTCCCGAGTAGTTGGTAGTCCTGATGGTAACACAAAGTTGCTCTCTACCAGGTCAAGTGTTGCTGGGTATGTCTCAGTCGCAGCTGGCTGCTCGAGCGCAAAGTGTAGCAGGTAGATATCAGCTCCTCGGATGATTACATCAGGCCCACCCATAGCTGAGCCTATTTAAAAACGTCTCATTTGAATTATTATACATAATAAAAGATCATAAAAATAAGGAAAAACTAAGAGAATAAACTAAAGATTTAATTATTTTTTTGAAATGTAGAGAAAAGAGTAAAGTAGAAGTAAGGCTAAGGACCAACAGTACTTACTTCAGTCATAACCATTGTTATCTTAACCTTAACAGGTAATGAAGAAACCACTATTTTTAACTTAAGGAGTAAAGAAAAAATTCCAAGAATCATGTGTCTAAACTGTAATTGAATGAATTTCATAGTTTATAGAAATAATACATATTGCATTAATGTTATTCTCATTACAATTTTTTTTTAATTTATTAGCGTACTTGGCCAGCATGATGCTGAGGCTTGATAAATAAATTAAATCATAGTCTTATAAATCAAAATGGCGACATGCTATTAGCTATTATACATTACATATAATCACTTTTATACCATATTTGCAAAATAAAATCTACAATAAGACAATATATTGCCACTACTACATGGGTTTTGGATAGTAAATTGTAACAAAGGAGGCAAGGGAAAAATAAAAATATATCCTTTGTGATTACACCCTAATATCTGTATGCATCAAAAACAGCTGATCACTCACCAAATGGTCCAGGAGTGTAGAATATAGAGTAGTTGAGAGCTCCACCGTACGACGTCAGTCTCTTGCCAAGGTAAGCGGCCGGGGCTGAGAAGTACACTGTTTGGTTCTGGAATACTTCCTTAGTCAAGTCTGCACCGAGGTTGTCCGGACTAATCATCTCCACACTCACATCCGTGTCTTCCAAACTGATCACCTTCCCGAGGTTGGCCACTGACAACTTCCAACCCTCTCCGTCTCTAATCTGGAAAAATATGTGAAAATTAACATTACATTTATGAGAAAAGTAAGTTTTTAATTCTGTTATTAAATTTATTAAATTTTCATATTGTACATACATAATCAATCATGCCGAGGAAAACAAGCAAGTAGGCCTAAGCAAATTTTTGTGCTGTTTTGGTTGTTTTGTATTAAGGTCCCAAATTGGACCTGGATTAAAATTTAAATTATAGCGGAAAATGTTACCGGCAGTGTCCACCTGCCAGCGTCTTATTGAAAAAGGGTAGGGGTAGATGGAGTGTTCTCCAAGACCCACGATCAACCGTCATTCGATTGGCCGGCAAGTAGCTGGTCACTTCTCTCTCTTACCTTCTGAATTTAATAAACCCGCTCTAGTTTAACAAACCCACTGGTACATTAAAATTAGTCTTCGTCCTCATTCTGGGATAGAAACAGTAAGTATAGTCCGATATTAAACATATATATTTTAAATTTACAATTTTTACTGTAGCTGTTTTTGTTATTAATTTTTGATGGAAATTATAGGCTATCATTCAAGATAGTGTCGAAATTTGATTATATTTATGATCCATACAGTTTCTGTTCGAATATCTGTGGAATATTGCTATCAGCTATTTCTTGATCTACTGCATTCAAAAGCCAACAGCTGATCTTATGCCTTTGTTTATGTGTCAAATACTGCTTCTATAAGGATTACATTGAAACTTAGAGACCCCGTGGGATGGATTCCTGAGAGATTTTTTTAACGCCATATTGATGTTGGCACTCACCCATATAGTCTTTATCACCATGCAAAATTTGAAAACGATTGCTTCAGCCGTCTAGGAGGAGTTTGCATATTACGAAATGCATAAGAGTCGACTTATAAGAGCTTCGCTCAATAAATGAACATGACTATTGATATAATTTTTCATAATATATTTTTAATCAGAACAATTTTTTCAATAAAATCAGAGATCAGCTGATTCTTTTAAACCTAGTTATAAAACAGATATAATAATTCCACACTAATATGCTGAAAACAGCCATAAAACTACATTTCATAGGGACTTTCTGTTTGTATCTCACCTGATCCTTGTAGAGGCTGGAGCTTGTACACCTCGAGGTCTTACCAAAGCAGAAACACTCTGTGCAGCCTTTTTCAGTCTTCTGTTGAATGTTGAAGCTTCCTTCTTTGCATAGATCACAAGCTTGACCATAAACGTTCGCTTTACAGAAACACTCTGCAGTCACCTAAACAGCATTCAGTTACTTAAAGGGTGATAGAAATATATAGTAAAACACGTCTTCCAACCCTATTCAACATATTTTTACTTTTGATAGGAAGGGTGTTTTCTGAAAGTTCCCCGAATTTCCCCCCCTTGCTTCCCCTTAACCCCCTCCCCTCTCCCCAAACATCAGGTTGAAAGTGTAGTGTTTTACTAAATCACCTAGTTTGGAGGGAGCACTATTATTTACAAGGTAATCAAACTATTTTTAAAATGTTACAATTACAATGAGGATCGATTTTTGTCGGTCAGACCATTCATCACTTGGCCCAAATGGAGAGTCTCTGATTTTAAATTGTACCTCACCAAAAAAGTAATAATAACAATTTAAGCTCTTGAGTATCCCAAACTTTCCCATTATACATTCAACAACAAACTCGTTATAGAGTATATCAATAGAAGTTAATTGCTAGAAGATTAGAGAGTTCTTAGAGTGTTCTCTTATACAAATCAATCATGTTAGCCTACTTGAAATTAAAAAAAAATACTTGAAATAAATGTTACATAAAAAATAAAAACTAAAAAGTTATATACTTCTTTTTTACTGAACTGGCTACAAATTCTAAAATTGTTTGACAATAGAGTAGGGTCTGAGGTAATGATTGTAGTTAATTTACTTGATCACAGATAGCATCTGTAGTCCCTCGCAAGTCACAGTCACAGTTCTGGCAATACGGGAACTGCCAAAAGCCAGCCTGGCATCTGTCACATGTTCTCCCTACAACATTGGGTTTGCATCTGGAAAAAAAAATTACATTCAAAATTTTTCAGTTCAATTTAAACTTCCGATCAATTATAAAATTCCTCCATGGAGATGGTTTATATAGCTAGAGATTCTGATGTGAAGATTGGCTCCACTTTCGAGAAAAAAAAAACAGCTAAAGTCAATTTACATATTTTTTATATCACATAAAATGTAGTTGACAAATAATAGTCACTCACCCACAGACTCCGGTCAACAAGTCACATTGCAGGCTGTTCTCCACGCCGAGGCGGTTACAGTTGCACTCAGAGCAACCAATCACTGAGTCGTAGCCGTAAGTGTACGCCTCACATTGATCGCACCTCTCTCCAACCACGTGCATCGGACAGACACATTCACCTATGGGAACAGAAATCATCATTTCACTATCACTATATCAAATGGTATCAACATAACACTATTTTGGGGGAACTGGTCAGGTGGTAGAGTGCAAGGCTTTGGTCTAAGTGTCCCAGGTTCGAAACCTGTCAATCACCAATGGCTGTTAGCTATGTGAAAATAATCAATATTTTAGTGTGTGACCGGTGTGTTTTTATTTTTTATTTTTCTTACTATTATCAGCTGTTTCTTTATACAGGAACATTTGTTAAAAGCCCAAAATTCTAACAACTTCCAATTACTTTACTTTCCTTTACTTACCTTTACTTTATTACTTTACTTTCTGATCAAGGACAGTGGGGATGTACAATAAGCTGAAAGTAGCTCAGTTGCTATATAATGGGAAACAAGCCTGGCCGGATCTAAAAGAATGGAAGAGCTGTGTCAAGTTATCAACCATAAAAAAGTAATTGTGTTTTCTCCTGATGAAATCAGCGACCTTTTGATTGTTAGGTCAGAACTATAACCACTCAGCTACCCAGCTGTAAAGAATTGTAACTTTTTTCATTACTTAAATCACATGTAGAATTCTTACTAACTACACTGAGATATGTCAAAAATATGATTTTTTACAACATGCTACAAGAATGCAGCAGTTTTTTACAAATACCAAACAAATTTTCTGAATCTGAAACCAAACAAATATCAGACGCAAAGCCTTAGAAATCAAGATTTCAGTAGCCAGAAGTACATAATTACAAAATTAAATCGTTTAATTCATCAAACTGCTTTTCTTGAGATTATTTGATGCAACAATATTCAAGAAAAGTTTTTCACTTACCAGTAGGAGTACACACAGCATCAGAAGGACAGTTACAAGATTTGCAGTCGGGAAACCCGAAGTACCCAGTCTTGCAGGCCTCACACTTGCGACCGATCACATTGGGCTTGCAGGGACACTGACCACCAAACTGTTCACACTCAAAACTGAGTGATCCGTCAAAGTCACACTGGCACGGCAAGGCTCCGTTATTGTAGGCTGATGTGATGGAGAACACAGCATCTCGGCAGAAACCTGTCAATAAAGCACAAAAGTTGTATGTAGTTGGGATAGCACTACTAAATAATATCCCAAAGAGTAAAGTTCCCAATTGTACAATTTATTTATAAGAATCTACTGAACTGTGTCATTCACGGGGTTTTGCACTCAGCAGAGGCGGTGTTTAGGGGGGGCCAGGGGGGGCAGTTGCCCCCCCACTTTCCCAAGGAATATTTATCAAATTATAACATAGGCCATAGGCCTATTTTTTTAAACTAATTAGTAGTTTTAACTTGAAGTAAGTAACTAAATTGACTAGCTACCCTCATACAAATGCCTAACAAAATTAACAATAAATAACGTCTAGTATAGTATTACAGAATATTAACAAAACGTTGAGTGCGGCATACATTCAAACAGGCACTCGCCAATGGCGGCGAGGTTCGGGCAAAGCCCCGGTGCGCCACCGAATCAGAGAACGTAATTGCCAATCAAATATTTCAGTTTGACGAATAACAAAAGAGCAGCGGCGATTGTGCTGCGTTGCCCTGAGAGTGGACGTAGTTCACTGAAACACCCAAAGGTAGCAGCACTACCTGGATCCGTAGCCAGCGTCTTTGTAATTAGGCTTGAAACCGGGACAAAAGCATCGCCAGACGGATACTGGACTAAATGTAGTTGGAGTGGAGTGGCGAGACTACATCTAAGTCGTACTCAACAAGTTAATAGTTAAGTTTAGTAAATACAACTGCCACTGTATTTATAAAAGGGTATTTTATTTTGTGAAGCAGATTGTTTGGTACTGACTGATGTTCAAAGCGACTTTACAAGTGGCCGACGACAGACGACACGTTGCAAAACATAACCTCTTTATGCAACTTCTGTCGTTCTAGTCGCCTGTTAGAAAAAGATAATGAATAGTGAAGACAGTTGATGTTTTATGTTTTTTTTTGTGTCTCTTTTCTCATAATGAAGCGTTCCTCGGGCAAAACATTATTTGACTTTTTTGGGAAAAAACGGAAAGAAGAGTCCGAAGTACAGCCCCAGTCATCTCTAGGTATTGCCATATCCAATGATAGAGATAATAATAATAGTGAAGTGTCAAATACACCAACCACAGATGATCCTCAACCTCAGACAATTTTGTCAGTGATCAATGTGACAGAAAAACCATTTGAAGAAGAAGACCTACGTTCACCAGTGGCTAGTACTAGTGAGTACAGTAAATGCTTGTTTTCAAATACATGTACCGAGTCTCATAACACCTTAAAATTGCAATCTGAACCTAGGGATCCAATTCATGGTAGACAAGCAGCAACACAATTTTTTACAAATGGTCCTTTTCAACCTCTTGTTAATAAATATCCAGAAACTAAGGGTAGAAAGTTTAGAAGTACTTGGTACACAGATTATAAGTGGTTAGAATATAGTGTTGCAGCCGACAAAGCTTTTTGTTTTGCTTGTCGTTTGTTTGGTAGCACCGGATGTTTTGACGAGACATTCATATCCAATGGTTTTCAAAACTGGAAGAAAGCAGTTCAACGTTTTAAAGAACACGAGAAAACATCTTCGCATCTTAACGCTGTTCAGCGATGGCAAGAAGGTCTTAAAGCGAAAGAACGTGTTGCTAGCAAAATATCTACACAGCACCAAGAAGAAGTAAAGACAAATCGTGCTTACTTAACAATGTTATTTCAGTCTCTGCTTTTTTTGGCCAAGCAAGGTATCGCCATTCGGGGCCATCGAGAAAGTGAAAATTCTGACAACAGGGGAAATTACATTGAATTATTAAAGTTAAAATCAACGGACAGTAGCATATTAAAACAAAAGTTTTTAGATAGGGAAAAGTTTTTCAATTATGTCCATCACGATATTCAAAATGAAATGATTGACATTATGGCCAATTTAACCAGGCAACACATAATTGATGATGCTAAAAAGTACCAGCATTTGGCCTTAATGGTTGATGAAACTCCTGATGTTTCACATAATGAACAATTGACTCTTGTTATAAGATACGTAACAGATAAACTTGAAATTAGGGAGAGCTTTCTTGGTTTTTACAAAACCGATCTGACAGATGGAGAAACATTGTACAAACTACTACTTTCAATTTTGGCAGAATTTGGGATAGAACCAAAAAATGTAATTGCTCAGTGTTATGATGGGGCAGGAAACATGAGTGGCGCCTACAAAGGCGTTGCAGCCAGAATGAGAGAGCAAAACCCTAACATTATGTATGTGCATTGCTATATGCATTCATTGAATCTTGCACTTGTTGATGCATGTAAAAGCATACCTTTGGTTCGCAATGTGTTAAGTACTGTGCAACAAGTATACAATTTTATCGAGGCCTCTCCTAAACGACATGCAGTATTTACAACGGTGAAAAGCTCAGCTTGTTCATCCAAAGATGGGAAAAATAAGGAATTGTCGTTAAAATCATTAAGTGACACAAGATTTAGCAGCAGATATGAAAGCTTGCGAGCTATTCAATATCACTTAATAGATATTGTACAAACCTTGGAAAATATCGAAGCTTCTGATTCAAAAATTGGTGGTGAAGCCCACGGACTGGTTTTGTGCATCACCAAATTTGAGTTTATTTTTGCACTAAATGTTATGAAGTCGTTGTTTGAAAAAACTAACATCCTTTCAAAATACATCCAGAACTATGATGTCTCCATTAATGAGGTAGTCCAGACAGCTGACAGTGTAGTAATGGCAATTGATAATGCAAGGAACGAAACAGAGTTCAAAAAGTTTTTTTTCTGATGCACTCTCTTTTTGTGAAAGTCATGGCTTTGAAGGACCTACTGTTTCACGCAAAAGAAAACTCCCACAAAAACTAGGAGGAGGTGATATTCACCCTGAAAACGATTCTCCCCAAACCTTTTTCCTGAGAACATTTTACTATCCTCTGCTAGATAATCTCAGCCAGAACATCAAGACACGCTTTGAGAAAAACCAGCTTGCACTACTCTTCCATATGGAACTTTTACTGGCTTTTACTTTTTTGTGACTCTCGTATCAAAGAAGCATGCTCTGCTGTGAGTGACGCGTTTGGTTTAGAAAGTGACACTTTAGCCTCTGAAATTGGTGTGTTTTCCAGAAAAACCCCTAACTTAGACCAACCTAATGAGCTTGTGTCAAATTTGGTACGACAATTTACAATTTGGACGAAAACGTTCACAATAAGTTAATTTTTCCAAACCTCTTTAAGCTTCTGCAATTGTTTTTGACTGTCCCAGTGTCTACTGCAACCGCTGAACGGTCATTTAGTGTCTTAAAACGGATCAAAAACTATTTAAGAAACTCAATGCTCCAGGACCGTTTATCAAATTTAGCTATACTGGCTATAGAAAAAGAGACCTCCAACAAAATAAAACTTGAAGAATGTGTTGAAGTATTTGCTAGGCGTAAACCCAGACATTTAACACTTTTCTAAAGTAGGTTAAGAATTTGTCTTGAAAACAAAGCACTATCATGTATGTGTTGTGTAGGTCTAATAATGTCATGTCAATATTACCATTATCACAAAATTTCACTGTTTATATTTTGTAACAGTTTTATTTACTTTTTCTATAATATAATAAATACGTTTGTGGCAATCATTCTTTCAGTCTACTTTAATTTTTCTCAGTAGGTCTACACTATTGAAGGTCTTGTTTTTGTTCGTTTCCAAACCATAACTGGATTATGATGTGAACTTATTGGATTTTATATAGTACCATACCGCTGATTCAGCATATCCTATAGCCTACCTACAGATAGTTTCTTACAGGCCACTATTAACTACCATTGAGTATTAGTGTATACTCAATGCTACTACTGTACTTATTGATGTCTCAAAAACTGAGTTAGCCTACGTTTTAAGACTATTTTATTGAGGGCCTTGCCTTAGAGGATTAGTTGTTATGTTTTGCAATATCTATTCATATTTATTATAGGCCTAGTTCTATTAGGATAATAAATCTGATCCATTAAATAAATTGGTAAAAACTATTTAAAAAATATACTTTACTCTACTCTACTTATGTCTACTTTCTCATGACAAACAACAGGTGAAATGGGAGTTTTTGGACTATTATTGGACACAGTTTTAGGCGTTAAAAACTGCTTTAGAAAGTCATCAAACGGCTTTAGAAATGTAAAATTTCTACATAGAAACTAAAATTTCCCGGACCCCCCTTTTCTGTTGGGGGGTGCTCCACACCCCCCAAACCCCCCAGAAGCCCCCCCCCCTTGACAAGGTCCTAGAGCTGCCACTGATTTTTCGCCCCCCCACCTCTCAAGCCCAATCGCCGCCACTGGCACTCAGTAGCTATTGGGTTGAATAAATAGGCCACCTGAGGTAGAGAAAGGGGTCTGTCGCACAGGGCAGGGTGCCCAGAAGAGTTGGGTGAGTACTGGTTGCTCATCTTAGGGTTAGGCCCTTTAGTCGCGAGTTTGTAAGGGGAAGTTTAGTTTTACTGGGATTATAAGTTAGTTAGGATTTGTGATTTTTGATAAGGGAAATTATTTTGTGTAGGATATTTTGTTTGATTAGATTACGATGAAGTAGATTAATTTTTGGGGATTTTCTAAACTCAGAGTTCTAGCTGCCTCTAGGACGTTTCCGACTAGCCATTCATTAGTGGGTTTGTTGTTTATAACTGTTTTATTGTTGTATACGATATAGTTTATTGATTTAAGATAATAAAAAGGTTCAGTATATTGAATTTAATCTGGTCCTCTCATTTAACAGCCACCCAGCTCATAACTAGAGTTATATAAGGTTAAAGATCCGGGTTTCACTAAAGCTACGCTCCCATGTGTATATGCAGGATAACCTGTGAAGTGTTAGGGAGTTTTCTGCATATTACAATACATTGACTATACATAGCACTGATTATTATAACTAGTACTCTGTGGAAATTGTATCTAAACTCTTTCTAATCAGGTACTATCAACATTTGCTGGTAACCAGACGGTTGCTGGTTACAAATTCTTTAACAACAAAACCACCTTAAAATATGCACCGGTGTTTTGGGGGTTTAGTGTAATCTTATATCTTTAGAGATATTAGACTAAGGATATCAATCAGATATAAAAACACTTCAGTGAAATGCCTACTTTATTTCATAGACAACATAAAACTGAAACTATATTATATCAATAACACATTATTATAGGTACCTCTGGAGTGTTGGTCGATGTAGTAGCTGTCTTTGCCACACTGAGATATAAACTCTGCCGTCTGATCTAGAGCCTCCTCAGGCATCACTCTCTCTACGTTGGTGTCTAGAGGAAGTATCAGCACATAGTCAAGCCACACCTTCTTGAACGGCGGTGACTGAAATTGAATGGGAAAACCTAAATAAAGTATACTTTCCTTAACACTTAGCACTGAACACAAGTCCCATCTGTTGTGGTTAGACTGGTTACTGGTTAGACTTATTTGAACCATCTAACAGTCTGAAAGTGGCTTTCGTTGAAGGTTATATTGTGCACTAGGGATGGACGGGTCCCGAAATTTCGGGAATTTTTCGGGAAAAAAATATTCCCGATTATCGGGACGGGATTACATTTGACTCGGGAATTTTTCGGGACGGGATTTGGTCCGATCGTCGGCGATTTTTCCGCTTCGCAAGTGCCGATAACGCCGTTATTGCGAGCGATAGGTCCGCGAACGCAGGAAACGAAGTCATTTCGACGATTACGCCGTGACCGCGATTATTGGACCGACGATCGCACCGTGACCGCGAGTCATGACGACGATCGCGCCGTGACCGCGAGTCATGACGACGATCGCGCCGTGACCGCGAAGTCCTACCGACGATCACGCCCTGACCACGAGTCATACCGACGATTGCGCCGTGACCGTGAGTCATACCGACGATCGCGCCGTGACCGTGGAGTCATACCGACGATAACCCCGTGACCACGGAGTCATACCTACGATCGCGCCATTGCGCCGTGACCGCAAATCATACCGACGATCGCGCCTTGACCGCGAGTCATGACGACGATCGCGCCGTGACCGTGAGTCATACAGACGATAACCCCGTGACCGCGAGTCATACCGACGATCGCGCTGTGACCGCGAGTCATGACGACGATCGTGCCGTGACCGCGAGTCATGACGACGATCGTGCCGTGACCGTGGAGTCATACCGACGATCGCGCCTTGACCGCGAGTCATGACGACGATCGCGCCGTGACCGTGGAGTCATACCGACGATAACCCCGTGACCGCGGAGTCATACCGACGATCGCGCCGTGACCGCGAGTCATACCGACGATCGCGCCGTGACCGCGAATCATGACGACGATCGTGCCGTGACCGTGGAGTCATACCGACGATAACCCCGTGACCGCGGAGTCATACCGACGATCGCGCCGTGACCGCGAGTCATACCGACAATCGCGCCGTGACCGCGAGCATGACGACGATCGCGCCGTGACCGTGAGTCATACAGACGATCACCCCGTGACCCGCGAGTCACAAGTTTCTATAGGTACCTGTAAATTGTTACCCATTTTTTGGTTTTTATAGATCAGTTACACAAAAGGTAAAAATTGATTTCGTATGTCTTTTTTGGTAACTGCAATACAGTACTTTCTTTTTATGCACAGAAAAAAATCCCGTCCCGTCCCGTCCCGAAAATCGGGAAGGAAATAAAAATCCCGTCCCGTCCCGTCCCGAACTAAAAATTCAATCCCGTCCATCCCTATTGTGCACATAGTTTGGCAGGTATTATAAGAATGTTTAGCAATAGGTATTTATTTTTAAAGGAGCAGGTGTACCATAGTACATATAATTTTACTCATGTCACATAAAATCACAGTTTAAATCAACATGTACTACATAGAGGCAAAAGATTGTCACTTTTTCAAGTAATTACAAATTTATTACTTAACTACACAATATTTATGTTTACGATTTCCTTAATATTTGTAAAAAATGTTTGAAATCCTAAGCTTCAGTGGGAGTCAAAGTAATTTGATTAGGTCAAGGCACAAACCTTGAGAGTGAGGACAAAGTTCTCGGTGAGTTGGAAGTCAGTGTTGCCATCAGGTTGTCGCACGAGAGCTCTACAGCCCGAAGTGGCTGGGCAGTGGACCACTGGCAACTTGGCCTCGTAGAACTGGCCGTTCTGTAGGATAACGTCCAGCTCAAACTCTGGAAATAGAATCGATTACTATAACTGTTGCTACAGATGGATTTGTAGGACCACGGCCTGATCGGTGATGTAGTATGTAAATTTTGTAAAATCTACAGTCCAAAGTAATCTATCTAAAGATTGTCATCTATAAGAACTGAGTTAGAAATCCCAATTATCGTTCGTTACCTATTAAAATATTGTTCTAGTCAATTACAGTATTGGATAGTTTATTATGTAGGGAACAGAGTCCTAAAAATAAGTCAGAACAGCTGATAAAATAGTTAGACAAGATTGTTCGTCCAAATTAGGGAAGGCAAGGTGGGACATACAAGAAATAAAATTAAAATTAACTACTTCTTTCAAATGAATCCCCCTTGAGGCTCAGGTGAAATATCAAGCTTATTGTGTTGTGAACCTACTTGAAACTCTTTCTTTGGGTAAATTATTTGTGATCTATTCATCCTTCTTTAATGTGTTCATAAGAAATGTGTTATAGGCTATCAGTGTTGGGGAAGCTACTTTTAAAATGTAGCTAGCTACAACTACTGCTACATTTCCAAAAAAGTAGCTTAGCTACAGCTACAGCTACAGTTCCACAAAAGTAGCTAGCTACAACTACAGCTACATTGAAATGTAGCTACAGCTACAATTTTAGCTACTTTTCCAAAGACGTTACTTTTTATTCCACGCACATTAGGTAAATGTAAAATTAATTGCAACTACATTTTTACTGAACAAACATTAAAAAAATGTCAGTAGGTATTGTATCTAACATTAATTGAAAAAAAATTATTCCTAGATTGTATTTAATTTTTTGGCATTATAAACCTAACATTACAACAACAGAACCAAATAGTTCGGTGTCCCATCATATTTAGTACTTATTTTTAAATATTGCATTATTTTTAAGCATCTTAAATGTAAATTTCATTAAGTTCAAAGGACATACAACCAAACTATATTTTAAAAGCTCATTTTATTTCTTTAATATAGATTCATTCATAGATGTCTTATATCAACAATTAAGACCAATCAAACTGTAAAACGATTATTTAAAAATACTTTTTTGTGTTACAGAGCCTAGCCTACTGAAATTGGAGTTTATTGCCTTTCTTTTAATGTTAAAAACGACATTGCTATAAACTTTTAAGTGATAATTTACTTGTACTATGAATAACACTTTTCAATGTCAAGAAATCGTCCTTTATTGTCATTATGCATAGGGCAAATTGTGCTTCAACCTAGTTGGTACAGAAAACAGTATCCAGTAACTTATCCTGAAATCGGCTTTTAATTTAAACATGTTGAAACTTGTAAAGTAAAAATAACATGTAGGCCTACTTGGCTATGTAACAAGTTGGCTATAGTAGGTTTGTTCTTGCAAGGACTAAACAGATATATTCCTAATAATTGAACTTGGGACTTGGTATTCGTCTTAAACCATAGCATAGCCTAGGAATTAATAGTCCTATACAAGAGCTGTTACCAGGAGCAAATTATGCTATTTTTTTCAATGTAAGTTTCATGTTATATGGAGATTTTTTCGTTACAATTATCATTTAGTCTATACATATCTTAAATCACATCAGGTAATTTCCTCTTTGTTAATTTAGTAAACCTTTGAAAAATCTTCGTAATCTAACCAAGGAAGGGCTTGTGACGATGAACCACAATCAACAGCTGAAGCAAAGGTTGATAGACCAGATTTCTCATTATTTTAAGGTTTAGTGTTGGGTTCCATTAAAATCCAAGTTGAAACACTATCGGTATAATAAACAAACTAAATTGATTACTAATTTCCCTGTCAATCACTTGCAAGCATTCAATAGCTTCTCTTGTCACCGGTAACGTTTAAACGTCGTCTGCATCTAGCGATTTTATTTTATCTGACAGTAATCAATAATCATAGAGTAGTAAATTAAGGAAATGAGAGCCAAAAATGTGGATAACACTCATTTAATGGCCTCCATGTCCACACAACGTTGTAATAGGGAATGAAACGGCTGCAACCAGCTGTATGAAGCCAAGAAAGTAAGGCCTATTTTTTTTTTAAATCTCAGTTTGAAAGAGGTTGTTTCACGTAAGGTTATGATAAAAATCACTATCTCAAACAATGATAATGTAGCGAGAAAAGTAGCTAAAATTCCGCTACAACTACTTTAAAAATGTAGCTAGCTACAGCTAAAGCTACAAAATCTTAAAAGTAGCGTAGCTACAGCTAACGCTACAAAAAAAGTAGCGCGCTACTGTAGCGTCGCTACTTGTAGCGCGCTACTGTAGCGTCGCTACTTGTAGCGCGCTACTTCCCAACACTGTAGGCTATATACAATTTTTAAAACAACCACCATCTTAGATTTTACTTCCAAAAGAGCCTGATTTAAAAAAAACACACAACCACCTTTATGGAAACAAGAAAGAGGGAAATACAATTGATAATCATACTTGCAAGAGTCAATATTTATGGACAAGAGTCAATCTCCGAGTAAAGTCTAACCTGGATGGTCTGGTTGGTAATAGTGGATGACAAACTTGTAGGGTCCAGGGGCCGGGACTTTGCCTGTTATGTCGACAACGTTGTCCTCCTCACGCAGGATTATCAGGCCAGTCGTGTTGCTGAAGATGTTGGCAGGCAAGTTGTTGGCAAACTGTGCGTCATTGCCCTCTTCAAACTCAATCTGGAAGAAAATCGTACTGCTTAGTCGAATGTTGAAAGTTGGGGTGTATACAGAAAATGCCAAACTTTAGGAGAATGGTTAAAGGTCCAACTCACATAGTTTAACAAGTCAAATGAATTATTTTCAAGAATTAAAAGAAAATCAAACACTTTCAAATAAAATCTACATTACTCCTGTTGTGTATTGACACTGTTGTGACATTGCATAAAAGGGGTTTTTCATAGGCTGCACTTATTAATAATGTTGCTTCTAATATTTGAATCAGATTATAAAACGGGGAAAGTTTGCTAGTAAGCACCAGAAAAGATTTCGTACTCTTGTCACTTACTTTCTCATTAAAACCTAGTTGCATTCATATTATGATCTTACTATGATATTTTTAGTTGAACATGTTTGTCAAAGGATAGTAAAAGGGTAGTAGTAGTATATGCATGCGTTTTTGAAATTTTCACCATGTTGTGTCTACCACCACTTTATATGTGAAAAGATTATGAAGAACGTAAACTATACTTGTTATTGTTACAGTTACATCAATAGTTTTCACTGTCACCTTTTTCGCCTCAGCAGGTGTGTAAAATGTTGATTGGACACATTTGCCATTCTTCCTGACACAGACTGGCTTAGGCTTGACATAGTCCAGATTCCACGAGTCTTCAGGTACAGCTACAACCGATTCAATAGCAACACTTCCTTCTCCTTCTTTCTGTAAATAAATATCAAGGATGTGCAGCATTTAAAATCCTAAAATCGTATTTTATCATTTAGCCATTTTAGTGAAATTTTGGTTAGAACAGGTTTGTTTAAAGTTGAAAAAGTAGGTCACTATCTTGGTACTGTATATGTTTAAGAAAAGACAAAGTACCGTAGGTAAATTCTTTTGTTTGTTGTACTTGAAAGAAATCTCTATTATGTCAATCTCAGACTACAATAAAATTCAAGAGTGAAATTGTATTTGAAATTGAGTCCATGAATTTAATGCGGAAGGGTCAAGAATCAAAGCTACTGGACCTGGATGGCTATTAAAATTTTGAAGAAGATTTAGGGTTGAGTTTGGATTGAAGCTAAAGCTACAATAAAAATTGTAATAAAAAGGGTGAAATAATTTGCTTCAAAGCTATGTTAAATAGCACCAACTTGAAACAGAAACAGTAAACTGTGTCATGAATGGTGAGATTCTTTTAATTAATTTTTTTTTTATTACATTATTGAGTCTCAGAAAACAAAAACGCTTCCAAACAATTTAACAAAACACACACTCGAGTTTTGGGTTAAACTTGGTAGAATACATACAATACTCCCACCGCAGCAAAACAGCCGACTAAGCGAATTTCCTTTTGTCTGAATTGATTTCCAATTAAATCTATATAAATAACATTAGGTTTAAAGAGTACCTAGGTTTGCTGCTACAAGGAAACTAATAGTGTATTTTTAAGTAAATTTTAATAGCTTTGTATAAAATAAATTTTCCAAGTTTGATCAAAATATATCCATAAACAAGCATACTACAGTACAAAATTTTACAATATTCTCCGTTACCAATAACCATTCAAAAACATTTGATACACTAAATTATTTGTTTTTTTAAGCTCTTTAAAAAGGTCTAGAGAGAAATTTGAAAATTTTGTGTTTTGAGAGTTTTGGATCCATTATTTTGTAAATTGTCCTTTAAGGTTGTAATTGCCTTAAAAATTTGAACGAATGGTGTTTTTGGCCGCTGGGGACATCAAAATGAAAAAGTAAATCCGGGCCTAGGTCTTACAGTGCCACTAAAACACACACAATATTAGCTCACATGTATGTATATGTTAGATTACCTTCAAGCCGATGCTGACAAAGTTAGAGTCAAGGTTGAAGATGGCCACTCTGCCGTGTTTGTCGAGTGCTACATGTTTGCACACAATGGTGTAATCGCAAGGTTGCAGCGTAACACTCCCCTTCTCCTGCTCTGTCTGAGTTCTTGCAGATACCTGCGACATAGGTTGTTTTCAAACTGCATTATTAACCCCTAACCCTGTGTGATGCCGCTTTATGGCTTTATCTAACATTGCTCTCCCATTTTTTACTTAAAAGTCGATGACCAATATTAAACCTATTGATCAAGCTTTTTAATTCTACTAAATTACAATAATTCCAATGCTAGTAAAATTGAAATGTGAATTTGAATAGTGTGTTGTGTCTTTCTTTTGGGAATCTTTTTTACTTTCACAATACTTTTTTTTAGAAATCCTCTATTTCTATTTGAAGTACATCCAACCATACTCTAACGTAGAGAATAAAGAGTAAAATACTAGGTTTTCGTAGAAAATAAATTGTTCAAACTATTGGGAAACTCAAAGAATATAACTGTTCTCATGAACACCAAAGCTGATTTGGTTTTAAATGCTCGGAACTTAGAAGTACCAGATATGTGGGGCGGACATTTTCCTCAATGCTACCCACTGGGTAACTTGAAAACACACATGAAAGAATATGTTTTGTATAACTGTCCATCTGTAACGACACTGTTACTTTACTCATATATTTTGCAGTCATAGTTTTAAAGACATAATTTTCCTTTGTAAAGTATTCACCTCGAGCTGGACGCTGGCACGTTGGTCCCTGGGCGTGATGTAGCTGACCAGCACCATGTGCGGCCCAGGCTTGGTCACTCGCAGGTCAAACAACAACTGAGGCTGGCTGTTGGTCAACATGGGGATCTTGTGATGGGGGGCGATGTCAGGCTCCTGGACAACACATTGAAATCATCACTAATAGACACTCTCGGTCTGTGAGACCTCTATCATTGACTCTAGATACTGTGTTGGAGATATGATCAAATAGAACATAGTTGAATGAGTACAGACTGTGCTACCCACACTTGTTGATACCATGATAGTTAGTTGATGCGACTGTAGTGTTAATAACCTGTACTTTCAGTTTTGCTTAGTTAAAAGTTGGCATTCTACATGCTCTATCGTGGCTCAATTTAACAATGTGTTAATTTCCATTTAAAATCTGGCTAAAACATTGGTTTAGGATGTTTTATTCTATCAATTGTCATAGCTTCCATATGAAAATATTTGTATTTTAACGATAAAAATAAAACGATTAGTTTTGAAGCAGCTCCAAAGAAGTTATACAAGAGTTAGGAAGTAACTGTAACATAGGTTTATAAACAAAAGAATTACTATGTCAAATAAACCTAGAAAACTGAAAGTGAAAGTGTTTTAAAAGTTTTGAATTGAGTCATTACAATGAAAGATAACATCTCATAAAAATATCATGTAAAGTAAGTTAATACTTACCATATATTATGTGTACTTAACATCTTGTGAGTTAACAGTACAAGCGTTAATTTATGTTTTAAGTGTTATTAGATGTATCTTTTATTTACTTTCCGTAAATACTTTACCAAATTAACAATCAGGTAATCAAAGAAAAGGTAAATGTCAAGATTAGACAATAAGTTTAACGCTCAATATTGATTAACATTACCGAAACATCCAGCGAGAACGAGTCAAGGTAATTTTCCCGTGTGTTTCCATCAATTACGTACGCCCCTTCTCCTTGCACCTGGTCATACTGTGTTAGATTCGGGTAGCTGAAGTAGCGGCAAGCATGGATCTCTCCCACCTTGCACGGAGTTGTTACTTGGTTTACCAAGATGGCTGCTTCGTAAAACGCTCCTGGTAGAAGAACGAAATAGTCCTGGGGAAAAAGAAACAATTTAAAACTATAAATAACCTTAAGGTCTTCAAAAAAAGGCCATTATTATGACTTCGATAATTTATATTCAGGAGGAAATCTCAATGACTGATTAGGTTTTCTTTTTTCAAATGGATAGTTTAGCTAGCTTATCTGAGAAAGGTGGAACAACTAATTAGCAAAATTTTCTCTGGTTAATTTAGCTAAACCATACTCTTTTCCTAAGAAAATATAAAAATACTCTGTGGTAGTTTATAAGTTAGTTATCTATTTAGCAGAGTTGTGGTCACAAATGTGTCATAATACCAAAAGACTGATGATGTAGTAAAACCACATGATGTAGCAAATACCAGTGTTGTCATTTGAAATCCTGTCCAACTCACCAAAAACAAATTCTTCTCAGTTTTGATCGACACAGCCCACTGCCCAGGGTTCATGACAAGAGGTGAAGGTATTCCGTTGCTGGGGCCGGCCACAGTGACAAACGCTGGTGTTCTTGTGGGTTTGAACGCGACCACAAACGTCTGCTCCGTGTCGCTCTGACTCTCGGGCGTGATCTTGATGTGTCCAGTCACTGTCTCATTGTTGAAGTTGACGTAGCGCAGCACCATTCGGTAAAGTGAGGGCTTCACAATGTACACGTCGTCACGAATCACTTCATTCTGAGAAAATTGAAAACAAAGATAATTCTATCACTCATGGATGTATAGTATGAGTGTGTTTTAAAATTAACTCTTTTGTTCAGAATATTTTAGTTAGAGAGACATATTGCCTAAAAGCATAATTTACAAATACATAAGTAAAAAAAAGTTAATATCGTATTTAAGTTTTACTTTTGTCGCAGTAAACATTTACTCTAACCATTTGCACTTTTTGCTGGGTCTTTTCACTAAAACGAACAACTCTGCATGTTGAAGAAAAAGAAGTATTCAATGAATAGAATCATTTCTGATTAAATTAAAGGGTTATTTTTCGAATAAACTCTATATTCAGTAAGTTTTACAAATAAAAATCTGAAACATTAGTAGGAAAGTTAAATTACAAAACAAAAAACCATCTTGAGTTTACAACTCACATCTCTTCCTTTATACCAAAGTGCTCTTAACTGTTCTAGGTTACACCTCCTTTAAAATAATATTTAAAATACCACCTCAAAATCAATTTGAACCAAAAATTTACAACATTTTGCTTCAGGGTTTTGAGTGTTTATGAGCGTATCAAATTTTATTTATGTATTGGCTAAGTATGGTGCAAGTATATTTCCCCATATAATTAAATTTTTGTTTTTATCAGTGTTTTATGTTGGTGACTTTTTATTAGAATGAGTTGATGCTCTTTTATTGTAAGAGTAGATTTTAAGATTTTTGCTTTGCAATTTGGCTATAAAACCAGGGGCAAGCTATTGTTTACTGTATACTTACATGGTTATTTGGATAAAGTAAGTTAGATCATAGACAAATAGAATAAATATAGACTGTCAAAGGGAGGTTCCGGCGCCCACCGCTAGGTTTGCCGTGTAGTTACGGCGCACACCGCTGCAGGCGAGGAGTGCAGGAGCCGTATGTGACTAGCAGACGCTGCAGCGCCGCAGCGGTGTGCGCCGTAACTACACGGCAAACCTAGTGGTGGACGCCAGAACTTATACTAACCGCAGCACAGCTGACGGTCTATATTTATTCTATTTGTCTATGGTTAGATATACAAGAAGAAACAAAATAATAACACCCTCCATACAAATTAGACAGAACTAACTTTAAAATTGTGTTTAGCTGATCCATAAAGAAAAGATTTTAAGGAAAAATAGTTTAAAATGTGTAATATATTATTTTCGTACAAAGTAAAGAACAATAAATACTGCTATCCCATTTTAAAGGGTGCAATTTTAAAACTAATAGGGAAAATTGAAACAAAACTTGTAAAGAAATATTTTTCACACTATCTTAACCTAAAACTGATTCCATCCGGTACCTGTATTGGTGAAAACACAGCGTATCCTTTCCAGGAGTATCCAGGGAAGATATCCTCGTCGTACTTGTACCTGATTGGTGTTTTGTCCGGAGTAATACCGTCCTCCACCTCATACAGGAACTGATGCAGTGTGGGGAAGTAGTGGGTCTGCAGGGGTTCCTTGCAGGTGCGTCCGGTGATGCGGGGCTGGCAGATACATTGGCCAGTCTCCTTATTACAAGCCTTGGTCACGGAACCACCCACGTCACAGCCACAGTCTGACAAATCAATTATGGATGTCAAATTAAGACTCTATTTGCTGTCATACTGTGTTTGGTTTGACAAGGTACCCAGCAACTGTTGAATTCTTTAATGGGTGGGGTGACTGAATAACTACTCGGTGTGAAAACAAAGGTTTGTTTATTAGCGAATTATTTAAACTTACAGATACTGACAAAACACATTTTCTAAACCCTAAATATCACAGAAAGATACCCAATGACTAGTATTGCTATTAGAGGGTAGCCTAACGATTGGACCAACGGATCAGACATATGTAATTTCAACCTAACACCACATAAGAGTTGTTGACATTCTCTCAACAACAGAAGAGGCCAAAGGTGCTATCGGTACTAGCTGTGTAGCTTCTTTGACTCTAGCTTGGCGGTATGCAAAACCACCTCAGAAAGTAGTGGGGAGCTCAACTGTGACGTCAAAGTTTCCAGAATTATTCTAATCCTTGGGGTAATTTTCAATCTAGAAGTATCAATCTGTTGCTTATATTTTTTGCTGAGCTCCCTTTCAAACTATTAAATTAATAAATTATACTGTAGGGTAGTGATGGACGAGACTAGATTTATCACTTCAAGATGAGACGAGATGAGAAATTTTTTAAATCTCGGCGGGATGGGATTTTTTTTGGGACGAGATTTAATGAAAAGTTATGAAAAAAATTAATATCTACTTTTCAAGTTCAGAAATATTTAAAAGTTTTAAAAACTTGAAAAAAATATCAAAGGTTAGCATAAGTTGTTTCTTAGTGCTATAAACCCACAATCCTCGAGCAGGCACCTAACAAAACACAGTTTCCACTGGTGCATGGTACACATGTCTCTGGCAGACTCTTGGACACAGCATCTCAAGATCTTAATTAAAGGTTGTTTTAATCAAATTTATAATATTGAATGAATTAGCTATTACATCTGTCTTAAACCACATTATTCTCGTCTGTATTCTCACCCTGTGACAAAGTACGGGCAGAGCAATTAGTTTACCTAAATTTTTTATATCAAATTTCCAAAGAATTTTTTTCATAGCTCACTCCCAAACTACATTTAAAAATATATAATAAAACCTATATTCATTTTCCCTTTACTCTATTCATTTTCCCTATACTCTATAGCAACTGACCTGTACATCCAAATATGTTGTCCTGGCGCAAGTCATAGGTGCCCGGCGCACATGTGTCACAGCGCTGTCCGGACACTGCAGGCTTGCACACACACTGGCCTGACTTGGGGTTACATTCGGCAATGTTGCCAACCACACCGGCCACATGACAGTCACATTCTGGAAAAATATAATATTTTTTAAAAAGAAAAACCAAAACATCCCACTACAAATGTAAAAAATTGATTTATTTAATTAAATGATTGAACAGACTTGATATTAGTTACTGAAAGAATAGAAGAAATTAATTTTACACATTAAAGAAAATCGCTAAAAAATTTACCTGTAATCAAATGGAACAGAAAAAATTTATCACACCAACAATAATGAGTTCTGAAAAGTAAAATTAATGAGGTATTAAAAAATCTCAGACAAGCACAAGCTAATAACAAGAAAATGTACAAATTAATATCAATATACAAATAAATGTTCATATAATCCTTTTTGGTCTTAGAACCACTACAGGTGCAGCATCTTCCTTGTACATTTGTGCATACAATTTGTATTAGTTTGTGCACAAATGTACAAGGAAGATGCTGCACCCGTAGTGCTTCTAAGACCAAAAAGGATTATATGAACATTTATTTGTATATTGCTATTAATTTGTACAGTTAGCCATTTAAAATAGAGAAATCCTGGGAAATTCCAGGTTAATTTCATTCAGTTGGATCATTTTCTCTCATATTTCAAATTGCAGGAATGTAAGAGAATTTAAAATGTAGTTAGATAAGATTTATCCCTGTTGCAATTTTTATTTGCCCTCTGAAAATCTAATTTAATCTAGAATAGCTTCCTATTACTGAAACTCTATCTGAGTCAAACTACACGTAATTAGATTACCTTCACATCCCTCAGGGTTGTAGGGCTGCAGGTTGTAGTAGAGCGGACGACAAGTGTCACAAATACGACCAGTCACTCTGGGCTTGCATTGACACAACTCTCCGGCCGGGACCGAGCCACAGCCGCGGAACGAGTCAACCACGCCAGCCGGGTTGCAGTTGCATTCTGGAAAGATAAAGATAATAAGCCATAAATGTCAAAAAGATACTTTTGTCCCCATGTTGTTGACTTGTCGCACTGCATTGTTCTTTCAGCTATGATTCACAAAACAAAAAATCTTGGATATTTCTCGAAAAGACCTCCCAAAATTGCTTCCACCGGGAATTGCTAAACAAACAAACAGCTGCTTCTAATGTTTTTAACTATTTGAACCGTTTTAGTTTTTTTTAGAAAATTATGCACGAGATATAACTGCGCCAATCCAATAAGGAATTAAAGTCTAAATAAAATTTACTGAAATACTATTACATTTAAATTAGAGTCTAGGTGTATATTGCCGTACCTAAAGGGGTACCTATTTATCGTACCGATAGTTAAATATACAATTATAAAAACTAAATAATTTACAAAGGGAAAAGATGGCTGATTTTTATATTAGCACCCTCTATTAATGGCTTGATTGAAATAAGTTATTTTGTAATTCTAAAAATGGCCACAACGATAACTTAGAATAATCTCTATTTTTAAGGTACACAAATTGTTTTAGTTAGAAAATATAAATAAAATTAGAACCTTTAACATTTAAAGCTCAGAAGTTTATTTACCATTCCACTCAAGACTGAAACATAAACGTGACTCTATCTAAACTGTACCTCAGGGCTCTATATTGGGACCCTTGTTGTTTTTAATCTATATTAACGACCTGCCTTTTAACATAAACTCAAAGCTTGTTCTATACGCAGATGACACAACAGCTATATTAAAATCAAACAGCCCTAACAATTTACAAAATTTGATAAACCAAACTTTTGAAGATTTAAACAAATGGTTCAGAGCAAATGGTCTGAGTCTAAATTGTTCTAAAACTCAAATTGTCAGGTTCAAAACTACTCATGACAGAGAAACCATCAAATTAAATATTAATTTTCAGGGGGAAATTATTAATGAAACGTCATCTACAAAATTTTTAGGTATTCAGGTACAAAACACTTTAAATTGGGATAAATACACATCAGTTTTAGCTAATAAACTAAATACAGTCTGTTTCCAGATGTCTGTCCTGCAGCATGTTACTGACCTCAGAACAAGGATGATTGTTTATTATGCTTTGTTTGTGTCAAACATGTTGTATGGAATAGAGTTCTGGGGCAGCTGCTCAAATGCCGAAACCATTTTCAAAATTCAAAAAAAGATCCTTAGAATTATGACATTTTCAAAGCCTAGGCAATCCTGTAAATTATTATTTAGAGAATTGAAAATATTAACACTTCCGTCTGTTTATATCCTGCAAACATTAATATTTATTAAAAAAAATCTTGAATATTTTATGAATGAAAACCATAACCATAATTATTTAACACGACATCGAAATGATTTACAACTGCCCATTCATAGACTTACCTCACTAGAAACCCTTCCACAATACCTAGGGAAAAAAACTGTATAATAAACTGCCTGATAATATTAAATCATTAGAATCTTTTGAAAAATACAAAAAAGAAGTTACCAAATTGCTGCTTAATAAAGGGTATTACAAAGTTGATGATTTTTTAAATGATGTATATATTTGATTTCTTAGCATATTGTATAGTTATTATAGTTTTATGTATTTTAATTGTCCATGACCATTTCACCTGTTTCCCAGCTATGCTGGATCTGTAAAACGTTATGTGAAAATAAATGATTGACTTGACTTGACTTGACTGATATTGTTTACCTCCAACTAACATATACATTTAACATATGATAATATGTGAATATAACATTATAATACACAAATTAGACCTACCCAATCAATTAATTAGGTGGGGTATTTTTAAGGTAGTGTATTTACTCAAATATATAACTTACCTTCACAGAGTGGAAAGTTGTAGAGTCCTTCTTTACACATTTCACAATGGGTTCCGTCAAACTGTGGCTTGCACTGGCATTTGCCTTCGTTATCACACGATAGACCGATGGAGCCGTAGGCATTACAGTCACAAGCTGGAAATATAAATAATAATAAATTTAATTGTTATTTTGGTCTAAAATGTTAGTTCAAAACTATTGAAAACACTATAATGTACCATGACTTGTACTTTTGTATATAATTCAAATGTAGAAGAAAATCAAAAGACTTATGATTATGAACTAACTGTTTTTACAGCACAGCAGATTTTATTTTCATTCACAGCACTTTATGTATATCTTAAGATAATTATCTAGTTTGATTGATAATATTTGTATAGACAACTCTTTAAATGAGAACCATGCACATACATACTAAAAAGAACATGAATAAAAATGTGTAATTTCAAAACTTTAAGAAAATTATTATCTAAGAACGGTACCATTTAAAAATGTTTAACATTAACAGCAGTATTGAGTCTGTGATGTGTATTACTCAGGCAGTAAAAAACGGTGAATACAATTAATTCTATGGTTAAGTTTACTTTAACGAATCTTCCAAAACATTTTCATATGATAAATCAATTAAACATGTATGAGTATTCTTCAGAAGAATTTTGTCCTATATATAATTTATCATCCTCAAAGCATGTTTAGTTGAATCCTTCGTGTAAATATATGTTCAAAACAATTTAAAACCTGATTACTTACAAAGGCAGTCCGGGTATTTGTAGTATCCGGGACTGCACTGTTCACAAGTCTTGCCAGCAAAGTTGAATAGGCAAGGGCAACGGCCAGAGGCATCACAAACCTGCAACGTTTACATTATTTAAAAGAAAGAGAAAAAACTATCTGAGGTGCATTACCAAAAAAGCGGAATTAAATGCATAAGTAAAAAATGGAAAATTTTAAAATGGATCACAAAGCCAAAGATTGGCGATTGGCAGGACTTGTACTTGGGACCTCCAAAAGGCCAGCTCACTCCCTGTATGGCCACTGGAGGCACTGGAGGCTGTATGATAACTGGAGACACTTTTATTATTACAAACTAAAACCAAATATTTTTCAGATAGGCCTACATCCAAATAAGCTCCACAGATTCACATTCAACTGTCTCAATTTACCTTGGACGCACTGCCGACCTCACTGCAGCCACACGGCTTACAGTCAGGATAGCCGTTGTAACCGGCCACACACTGATCACACCGCGGTCCGCCGTAGCCCGGCTTGCACAGACACGCTCCTGTTGACTTGTCACAAACTCCGGGTTCTGTTCCTTTCACATCACACTGACAATCTAAAAAACATTAGCAGGATTAGACACTAGCACAAACTTTATTTTTCTTTGCTGTAAGACTTTTTATACATTTACCAAAGCAATCAAAATTATTAACTAATACTATTGATGAGGAGAAAATAAAATTGTTTTACTTGACTGGTATTGAAGGTGGTTGAATAGCCAAATAGCAAAACTAATTTTGATTAGGCAACTGTAAGTAGATGTATGGATTTAGATTAGTAGATTGGTAGATTGGTACAAGGGACACACTCCAGGGTGTGTTACGTAAGGCGAAAGTGACTGAAGAGTGTTGAATAGACAATATGATAGCTTTGTTTCTGGCTAAGATCAGTTAGTTCTGTTACCAGAACTATTTAGTAGCAACTGGGATCAAGGACAAACGGATCCAGTTCCAAACCATCAAGCTAGTGTTGCATATAGAAAATATGGGAAGATGAGTTGATAATCATAACTATTTATTGTAAACCAAAAATCAAAGTGGTTAACCGAACAATATCTTAAATAAAATCAGCAATTCACATTAAACTCAAGATTTCTTTATACAAAAAAATATAAAAAAAACTTATAGGAAATCATAGGTTTCAGTACAAGGAAACTATGTTCAAAAAACTGACTGTCTGTGATGTCCGGGACTGGTCAAAACACACATAAATACACATACAGTATATACATCACAAAATCGTCACTGGCATCAAAAGTTTGAGTTCCGCAAAACGTCGGACTTTTGATGCCGTGGACGATTTTGTGATGTATATATGTGTGTTTTGACGAGTCCCGGACATCACAGACAAAAATAAAGGTGAGTGAAGCCCACAATAATCTTCGTGAATAAATAACACCTCGCCTAAAAGCATGTCGTTCAGAAACAGAAACTAACCATGCAGTGCTTCCCATACCATAATATAATATATAATACAATTCAAAAGTAAAAAAATTTTAATAGTTTTTTAACATGAAAATCTACTTCTGATTCTAAAATAAAATTACAAGTGTGAAAGCCATCTCGGACAGTTTAATGCAATATTTTCTTCTACTTACACTTGCACTGTGGGAAGTCGTAGTATCCGTCTCCGCAACGATCGCACGTCCGACCTCCAAAGTTACTGCTGCAGCTACAGTTGCCACTGACTGCGTCACAGATGTCAGAAGTCATGCCCAGAGGGTTACACTCACAGGCTGTCAAACAAACCACAAACACGGGTATTAGTCTTACGAGAATTATAGATCAAATTCCTGCAAGTCCACATTTTTATTAAAACTATTTAATCTGAATGGAAAGGCGCATTTTTGAAATTTGATTCTAATTTTTAAACGTTGTTTTGTCACTCTCATTTTGCTGGTTGATTTAGGTCATTAATTTAAGTGCTGATTGCTTGATGGTTAAAAAGGTACACGAAAAACTTGAAATTTCAAAAAAAAAAACCAAGTCTCTTTCAAAATACAAATATTTTAAAGAAGGCAAAGTTCAATCTCTGGAGAAAATTAGAGCCCAAATGTGTACCCTATAGATAAGACAACCAACACAAATAAAAGATAAAACAATTTTTGTTTTACTGTAGAATTCCTTCAGACAAAATAAAACATTGACCAAAACTGAATCGAAGGCATCAAAATTAAAAAAACTAAAACAAATGCTCAATATGAATGTAGTACTTACGCAAGCACTCAGGGAAGCCATAGAAGCCTGGGCTACACTCTCTACACAACTTGCCACCGAAGTTGGGTTTGCAGGGACATTGCCCTCCCTGTGCTTCACAGACATAACTGCGGGTGCCGTTAAGAAAACACTCACAAGGCCGACAGTTCGGATATCTGAAGAAGGAAATACATTGAAACTGAGATTAATGCAAGAATAAGAATGCAATTGAAAAGTGGTCACCTGTATGATACCAAAGTTTTCTGATAATTAGTAAATTACACAATCAATTTCGGCTTAATTTGTAATCAGATGTAAAGGGTGTTTTTAAAGAATGTCGGGATTTTAAATGGTTATTGCTTGGATACTATTCAAGGTAACTTAACGTTTTATACGTCAAATTGAAGCTAAGTAACTAAGTTTTGTTTCCCGTGTAGCATGGGAGAAAACTTTGACCTTGGCATGCGTAAAACAGGTGCGGGGTGATAGGCCGCTATTGTGACTCATACCCCTGACGCCAGTACAACGTTTACGGCGCAACAGAAGGCACAGAGATTGTAATCTGTAGTTCGTAGAGTTTGTATCTATTGCAAAATTAAACTAAATTTAAATCTATTTGATGATAAAGAAACTTTAAGCTGGTTTAATGAGTTTTGTAGCACCGAAGTGTTTTGAAAAGACATTCACCTCTCCGGCTAAAAAAACAAGCGATGACATAGTCAAAGAAATCCGAAAATTCTGCATCAGAAGCCCGAAAGAATCAATTGCCTGACGAAGTCTTCAGTTTAACAAACCTAAATTGGTCACTTAATGATGTTATCTATAAAAGATAGAGTTTTTGTACCGAAAAAGATTCAGTTAAGACATCAGATCGCCCTAAGCGTAAGGACTTTGCCAGTTTTACGCTCATATAAGATTGATGAAAATCTGAATTTTATTAAATCATTCCGAATCGTATGAAAGAATGAGAAAAAAACTTTATTCTTTTCCCTTCAATTTGACGTTTAAATAGTTTAATTATCTGGAATAGTCCCCGAGCAACAACCGTTTGAAATCCCAGCATTCTTTTTAAAACATCCTGTATAATTTTAGTATTTTTATTGAAAAAATAAAGCATAAATTTTACCCAAAGTATCCATAGCTGCAGTCGTCACAGTTGGGTGCCAAATACTCAACCCTGCACTCGCAAATCCCAGAACCTTCTTCACAGTTGCCAGTGTAGCGATGATCATTGCATTGACATGCTACAAACGATATAAACCATTACAACTACAACTTAGCTGTCAAATTTCTTTATTATTGCTATGAATTTTCACAGTTCTCAAATTCATTGAGAATGAACCACTTTGAAAAGTATCAAACATGTTATAAAAGTTGGAATCCACAAAATGTGTTAAAGAATTTATCAGATTATACAGACTAATTGTCAAGAGAAACCAAGCAAACTAGATATAAAGTTTACTGTGTAGTTAAGTGTTAAAGTGCTGGTCTTCATATAGAGACGCTGTCGATTTAATCCCTTACACGACTGACGAATTAATTTTTGACTCAGTACTATTTTTGGCGAATTGATTATGCCAATAGTTGTTCATGGTAGAGAATAGATGGTCCACAATTACAATAACTTACAAAATGCCACAGGCAAAAAATGAAACATTTTTGATGACCACTCTTTTGATTAATTGTAGAACAAGAATGCAAGGGAAGTATAGAATGGAGTGGATGATTTGTACAGCTTTATTACTGAACTGACTAAAATCAGCTGTTTTTTTTCAGTCAGGTTCATTAAAAAAAACAATAATCAAGGGGACAGCTTTGCCCAAGTTCTTTGAACAGAGAAGAGGCAGCCTAGGCTAAGATGGAGGGATCAATTCCAAAAAGACATTAGAAGATTGGGAAGGAATAGAAATTATGCACAAGAAAGCGAAACTCGGAGGCAGTGTGTGGGCGATGCCAAGTACCTCCTAAGGTACCAGTGGCCACTCCAGTAAGTAAATAAGTATTAAGACTTTGACTCACGTTGACAGACGTCGGTCTGGTTCCAGTGGTAGCCGTTAGGCCGGTAGTAGCCGTCCTCACACTGGTTACAGTTGATGCCTTTTGTGTGGTCTCTACAGTTCTGACACACTCCCCCACCCTCGTAGTTACCATGAATGTCCAGGGAGAGCTGCAGTCGGTCAATGGTTGCATTGTACTCACAATGCTCCGTGTGGCCAAAACAGTTGCATGCTGGAAACAAAATATAAGGGCTTCAAAATAAAGAGTCATAGCTAAACATAATAAAGGGCAAACGGTATCAGCAATCTGACATACCATGTACTATTTTCCAGTAGCTTGTCAACAACCCTTATCATGAGAGTAATTATGATATTTTATAGGGAAAATCACACAAATTTTAATAACCACAATTTTTACAGCATTGGGGTTGTACCATTTTTTTTAGAGTTAAAAGCTCCATAAAATGCCAAATTTTAATCAATATCATTTGAGCTATTTTTTTATTACACTTTTTTGTTACTATATATATGAGTTTTATGGGCGTTAGAGTGATAAAATGTTTTGCTATGGATAAATCAGTTATAAATCCTACATTAGCATTCAATGGTAGTACAAAATAACTGTTTTCAATCAAAAGATGATTAAATAATTTCTAACTTACGTTCACAAACAAACAGCTTATTTGCCTTGGACTGACTCCACGCCTTCTGTTCAAACCCAGGACAGCAGCGCTCACAGTTGTCGCCGCAGGTGTGATGCTGACAGTTACACAGAAGTTTGTAGGCGTCTTTGGGGTCTGTGATCTCACAAGAGTCTGCGTGGCCATTACAACGACATCGCCCTCCAATACTGATATCTTTGATGGAGTAGAAGTACTGAAAATAATCCATTGTTTTGGTTCCTGACGGTCTTGTAAGACGTTAGGTTGGATGACAAGTTAAACAGTAAAATTATTAAATAATAATCTCAATCCCAAAGGAAAATCAATAGAACACTGACATTTTTCAGCTGTGTGTTCCTATTTTGATAATAATTAAAAATCTAGTCTAATCTGAAGTTCCCACACAAGGATTAATACACATGGTATGTTTGTATTTTGGAATAAGCTTGCCCAATCCTTAACATTACTAAACTGGCATAAGCTTATTCCCTGAACTTTTATAACTACTCTATAAATCTATGAGGAAATATCCAGCTCCACATATTTAACTTACAAACTCACAAATAGACACTGTTTAAGGAAACCCTTATAAAATAAAAGGCCATTAAAATTCACCCATGATTAATACAAAATTGGTAAGATACGGTAGCAAAACTACCTCGCCATAAAAGCTTCTCACAGGCGGAAAATGTAAATTAGTCAAGTTAGAGTTATAATTTAAGTACTACGTAGTCAGAACAAAAACTAATAGTCGTATCATATTATTAGTCTGACTTCAAAATATTAGGTACAGTATTACGTTTACAACTAGGCCTAGTAACTCACTCTTCGAGTGACGGAGGGGTCCTGTCTTTCGACCGCCATCAAGTGTCCAAGCAGGTTCTTAGTCCTAAGGAATCGGAATCTGACATTGGTGGCTCTGGTCCACTCCTGCAGTGAGGTCGAGTTGACAAAGTCGTTGGCTGACGGACGGTTGAGCAGCAAAGACACAAAAATCTAATAAAAAGAAGCAGACAAATTCAATTCAATTCTAACAGTTTTATTCATGCAATTTTAAAATTAATTACCAAGAGCCATGCAAAGCCCACGCCAGATGAAAAACATACAACTTGCTTTTTTTATAAAGACAATTAGGTTATAGAAAAAATTCTACATGCAAATATAAATAGTTATTTAATTTAAACAAAGCTAAAAATAAGTTATTATTTTACAGATTATTTATGCTATACTATGATTAACAGAAAACAAAAAAGCTTTAGACTTTATCATTATAAACTTCATTACCGACCATTTTTTTCAACGCATTGAAACATTTTGGACCAAGACAACAAAACTGACGCCTACTAGTTCTCTTTTTAAAAACTTTTCTACTAATAATTGATATTTTGCTGATGGAAGAATTTTAAACCAATATGATACTCATCCCTTTTTGCTAAAACAGATAGAATGGGAAACGTCAGTGTGTTTGCCTTTAGGGATTATAGGAGTCCTAACGTGTAGAGTATAATTTTATCTGTCTTTTTGAACAGATTTGAATTGTGAAAAATGTATTGAATAAGACAAAGAAAATGTTTGAGGTCACACTCCCCCTTTTAATTTCCGTTTCCAAAGTTGGATCAGACTGTTTCAGAACCTTAATAAAATGTAAAAAATGTAATACTTTATCCAAATACCGGTAACAATCAAATTTTTATTATCGCATCTATGGACAAGTTCTAATAGCTCAAGCACGAAAAGGAAAATTTAATATTCCTTTTAATGATGCTAAAGAATATATTTAGCTCTTAGTATGACATCCAAATTTTAGAGAAAGGTAATGTAGTAGCAATTTACGATTAAAACACTCACCTCTCCATTTTCGAGTGGAACAATTTTGGAATATTGAGTTTCACAGACAACAGAAGTGTCTTTGTTAATAGGCTCAAGACTGTCTGGTCCAAACCACCTCACACAGTCTCTGCAACAAGTTTTAAATGCATCTTTTAAAAGCTATTAACTTAATCCATGCAGGGCCGGTTTAACCCATGGGTGAACTACGCAGTCGCAGGTGGCGCCACAAAAAAGTGGCGCCAACGGGACACCTTTTTTTTAAAACAAAATTGGAAACAACTTTACTGACAAGTGAACAACTTAATTTTGTTTTTTTCACTCAGAGTTCAAGTATCCAAAGCACCACACCAAAGGCATTTATTCTGTTTGTACCAACAGCACTTGAAAAATGTGTATACTTTTACAGCAATTCAACTCAAGGACTCAATGCATTGATTTGCAGTTTCGATTTGAAGTGAGCTGACGCTCGGCAGCGTACAGCGCGGCGCCTGTGGGTTTAATTTCATGACTCAAGCTCGAGATAAGGGCGTAGCGCCACCACAACAAGAAACTTCCCCCTCCTTTCTTCCCCTGAAAATGGTGTTCTGAACCAGATTGATGTCGACTCAGCAATTAAAGAATTTGCCAAGATCAAAGCTAGGATAGTTAATTTTTAACTGGTAAGAACTTTTGAACTGTTAAAATTAAACATTCTAACATTCTGTATTCTTTTTGTCAAGGTCATGAATTTGGTTTTTCATGTTTTCTACATGTTTAATGTATTCAATTAAAAATACCTGTCTTGTCATCTACCTACACCTGTTTTTGATTGTAATAGGCTTTATAAAAACTTATATCCTATCATTGACTATTGGATGTTGTATTAATAGTCAAAGATCGTATCCAAGTCGATACGATTATCCTGTAAAAATTGAATCCTTTAGAAATAAATTGTGAACTTTGGGTTTTGCAAAAGTGTATATGATCAGTAAAAGTATAAAAATTGTAAACGTCTTTGAATAATAAACAGTAGTTGAAAAAAGTCTATTATTGCAAGTATTCTTCTAACCTAAACTTATAAAAAAGTTCTTCCCAAAAATCTCACAGATGTTTACAAAGGAAAAATGTTTACTTGAAGTTGTGTGACGGTTCCAGGAATTAAAATTGTCTTTCACTCACACTTCCACAACATTACCACACTAGCCTTATAGGCTAAATATTCCTTATTTTAAAGTTTACCAGGACATCCAGTAGGAATACCTTGGGTCATTATTTCATGTTTTGAGTTAGGGCCTACTATATATAAGGGAATGTAGGGCTCTAACTACTGAGGACCTAGGAGGCTAGAGTGAGGTATGCTTGTTCAGGATTTGGTACAAAAATAGTATTATAGCCGATTCAGTCATAATGAAAGAGGCAGTAGATCTTTTAAACATTAATTCTTGAAATAAAAAAAAACTCTTAAGGGGAGTCCGAGGTCCTATCTTTTATAATGTTAAAATATTTTTATGATTTATTTTTAAGATTTTTAAAATATTTAAAAAAAAATTTAATTTTTTTTACTGGCTTCTACTAAAGATATGATGAAATCTTTATGTCTGCGTTTAGAATAAGTCACTAAGACATGGTAAAAATTTCACAGCTGTATGTATTAGCAGTCCTGAAAAAATTATATTTATAAGTTGTAAAAAGTAAAGTTGCGGAAATCGGTAAGAAAAGCCTCCATGGGTCTTCGAGTTTTACCTTTAAAACGTCACTGCAATGTTATGGAAAATTTATTTTTCATACATTTCTAGGTTAGTAATTAAAAAAGTAAGTGTACACCATTTAAAAGAAGAAATTCTGTGCTATAAAAAGGGCAAAAAAAGTAAAAATTAAAAAAAAATTTAAATTTCTACTTAAGAGAATTAGTTTGTTTAAGGGTTAATCATGTAAGTAACAATTTAAACAATTAGCCTACTTACGCCTTTGTATCAGCAAAGTACTGCCACGGCTCATAGGTTTTTCCGTTGTCAGCTGATTTTTCTAAAATCCATACACCAGGCCGAGGCGAGTTTGCCATTTTTATGTAAACGTATGCTACGTGAAATTCCTGTAACAGTTAAAAATGTGATAAAATTATTTCATGAGTAAATAGTAAGCTAATAATATTACTTAGTTGTTGTGTTAGCTGTTGTAGTTGGTTGAATTTAATTTTAAATGTGAGGTGTAAGACCGCTGGTCTAGTGATTGGAGCACTAGACTTCTGTCTTTGAAGCATGGGCTAAAATCACGCAAATCACCCAAGGCAAATGTTGTGTGATACCAGCCACTAAACACATATCAAAACGTGATTCAGATTTTAAACAAGGTTGACAAGTTAAATCAAAGAACCCTTTTATTCATATGATACATGAATGGTTAATAAGGTAGACGAATTGTGTCAACAATTAAAAGCAATATTCATATGACATTTTTTTACAGAATTATAATTAAAATCTATATCTAAATATCTTAGTCTAGGCTACTTGCAGAATCACTTGGATAGGGGTAGGTCTGGAGATTTGGTTTGTTCTTTGTGATGTTTACTGCCATTGCCAAATTTAACCGTTTTTTGTAACGGTTCAAAAACCCTGGTAAAGATATTGATAGATGTCGTCAACTACCTAGATGATAAAATTAGTCTTGCAGAATCAAAGTAGGCTAACGATACTTGTCTCTACGTAACAAGGTTTGTGTTTGAAGGAATCCATAAACGCATAATAGAGCGAAGTCTAGGCCTATTTGTTGTAATGAGTGTTCTTAACTTACGGTAACTTAAATAATATATTTTCAAAAATCGTTTTACTAAACAAGTTTAAGATGAGCTTATGTCAACCGGGACTTGTGAAGATAGTCACATAGGCGTGGGTTCATAGGAACTTCTTATCAAAAAGATAAGCCCAGAGGAAGCATGTAGGCAGTCATTGTGCTCTATTCTGGACAATAAAAGAGAGAATCCTAGATCCTAGGTTACTTTTTAAAAATAACCGCTTGTGCTGTTGACTATAAAACCTTTCGGTACCCATGATCCTATACTGACTAAATAGGTTCAAAAGCCTGTGGACTGTTAAAACATTTTTATTGGCTGATAAAACCTGCTTGATATTATAACTTAACCTAATTTTTTTACCTAATTATTATCTAGTATTAACAAGCAACAATATGATTAGGAAAAAGGTGTTGGTCAATTTTGGTTTATATAAGTTATTGATGGTCAAATTCACAACTTTAGTTTAAATCATAAGTTTTAGAACATTGTTTAGATGAGTGGCGATCCCTAAAAAATATGCATTATTGTATGTGAATAAATAGCCGGTTTAATTAAGTTATACAGTCAGTAACAAAACTATACTAGGCAGCTCACTCCATTCAAGGTAAAAAATAAAAACATTAGGCCTAGCCTAAGTTGTGTCTAAATACCTTATTACCTAAATTGAATTAATGAGTAACTTAATCTAACTTAAGTAATAAATTAAAGGAAAAATAATAAGCTAGGCTACATACCATTTTTAGAACTCATATTTGAAGAAAATTAGAGAATAGATCAAATATTATTTATAAAGAATTATTTACGTTAACAATTTAAATAGGCCTAGCCTTTTAGATACCAGTGATTTCCTATTAAGCTATTAATAAATATTAACAACTTTTATTTTATATATTTAAGGTTTTACAGTCCACTTCATTGAATTCTTCATAACGAAATAAGCAGCATATAAGTAGTTTATTTTTAATTAGTTGAATAACCACTTAAGTTAGTATTCACTCATGTAATCTTGTAAATTCGTATGAATATTTTCATAAACGTTTACTCCATTGTTGGCCAAACAAACAACAAGCACACACAACACAACACAATCACAATCACCATCACGATGAGATGCAGACACATTTTTTAGCTAAAAATATAATACCATAGAGTACAACAGGTTGGGGCACGGTTGTCTATAACCATTGATTACAAGCATTATCTATACAGGGTGAATTTTAAATGAGTTCCCCCCCTACTTTTTTCTACATTTCTTAAGATATCAACTTCGGACCACGTCAGATCATTGTAGTGTAGTAAGTACTTCATTTTGACTGAATAAACATTTTTGGCCGCCATCTTGGATCCGCCATATTGGATACAAAATTTTTTTTTTCAAATGTAAAGGTAGGGTTGTGACCCATTGTTTCAAACTACAATTTTACGCTGATTACAATGCCACAATTAGTTTTAAAAAATCTTGATCCGTTCTAAAGTTATAAGGACTTTTTATAACTTTATTTTTAGCCCATTTTAACATTGTGCATTTACAAACTAAGACCATAATCTCAAAATAGTGCTAGATAAAGATAAGTATTACACCACCATTCATTGTCGACCTATTATCACTTGGTTATGACGGATGTATTTTTTGGCCGCCATCTTGGATCTGCCATTTTGAAATGTGATAAATTAATTTAAATATGAAGGTGGTGTGTGACCCATCATTTCAGACTACTTTTTTATGCTGAATTTAATGCCGCAATCCGTTTTGCATTTTCATATTTGTTTTTTGAAATATTGGAAATTTAAGTAAGATAATTTTAATATTTCATCAAGAAAGCATGAGAAACAAAAACGGATTGCGGCATTGAGTTCAGCATAAAAAAGTAGTTCAAAATGATGGGTCACAACACCACCTTCATATTTAAATTAATTTATCACATCTCAAAATGGCAGATCCAAGATGGCGACCGAAAAAAATTAATCCGTCATAACCAAGTGATAATAGGTCGACAATGAATGGTGGTGTATACTTATCTTTATCTAGCACTATTTTGAGATTATGGTCTTAGTTTGTAAATGCACAATGTTAAAATGGGCTAAAAATAAAGTTATAAAAAGTCCTCATAACTTTAGAACGGATCAAGATTTTTTTAAACTAATTGCGGCATTGTAATCAGCGTAAAATTTTAGTTTGATACAATGGGTCACAACCCTACCTTTACATTTGAAAAACATTTTGTATCCAATATGGCGGATCCAAGATGGCGGCCAAAAATGTTTATCCAGTCAAAATGAAGTACTTACTACACTACAATGATCTGACGTGGTCCGAAGTTGATATCTTAAGAAATGTAGAAAAAAGTAGGGGGGGAACTCATTTAAAATTCACCCTGTATATTAATTTGAAACTGTTTTTCTTTGTCATAGCTAAATTGAGAGAACGGCTGGGCGTAGAAACTCGGGAGGGGTGTCTAAAGAAAGGTCTTGGTCTGTAGATGAGCCATCAAAAGAGAAACGTGGTAAATTCCCTTGGGGCTCTGCCCCAGTGGCCTTTGAATTCCCATCCCATGTTATTCTTATGGAGGAAAAACTGGCTTTTTGTCCCAGATAATTTGAGAGAACGGCTGGGCGTAGAAACTTGGTTGGGGTCTCTAAAGAAAGGTCTTGGTCTATAGATGAGCCATCAAAAGAGGAACGAGGTAAATTCCCTTGGGGCTCTGCCCCAGAAGCCTTTAAAGTTGCCTCTTCAAATTTGTTTACCATATGCATAATTCTACACTACTTTTTAATGAAACAGCTGTTAATATTCAAATTGTGATTTATTGGATTTTTCAAAATGAAGTACAGTATTTGCAATGGGTTTTCTGATTTTAAAATCGATTTTATTCTGTATCGTGTCATGTTTTGCAATATAATGTTCTATTACCAAATCAGTGGAAAATCCTAATATCACAGTAACTCTTAAAATTATTTCTTATGGAGTTAACTTATATCTATTGTATGGCTTGGTTTCTGCCTTTTTTTTACCACTTCTTGGAGATTGTACGTAGGTGATATTCTTTGGCGTATTGTATCTGTAGACGAAACTTGGGTTGGTGAAATTATTACAATGGAAAAAAGCGAGAAATCCTGGACAATTTGATATAGGCTAAAAATAAAACTGAATTAACAATATGCTACATTTCTTGAGGAATCATTGAAATAACCGATTTGCAAACAATGGAAACATAGAAAAAGTCATAGAAAACAACCAAGTAGAAGAAAAGAAATAATGGTTTTTTTTTATTTATATAATCGTTATTATATACAACCTAATGCGGCTATGAGAGGGAAAAATTTGTAGAAACACTAAAAAACAAGATCAGCTTTTTGAGAAAAGATAAGATATTTACAAAAGATTTTGATTATATCTAACTGTTGCGTAGATCGTGAGTATTTCCATAATCTTCGTGAGTCGCCTGTAATGCTTCGCAATTGCTCGAATTCGAGCAACAGGTACACTAGTAATCGTAAATGCTCATAACGTTACCTCATATTGTCATAAATTATAAATTAACTATTAACGATGCTTAGTTTGCAAAAACCATTGTTATAGGTTGTATAATGACCAACTATTGTTATTACCGTATCGACACCTCAGGGTGCGTGTAATTTGAGGCTAAGATTACTGAATTATAATGTACAGTAGATTATACTTTGTACAAGTTATAGTTATTTTTGTTCTTACTGTCAAAAATGTATAAAAATGTTCCATTTCCTTATATGAATATTTTTATTCAGTGTGTTAGATATATATACCAACTGTCTTTGAGTGGTTTGTTAGAAATATAATATTTCTAATTTTGGAACTACAATGTTGACAAATAAATATAATTTAAAAACAGAATATGTTTGCTTTCACCAACTGTAATTTTTAATTTACTTTTAATTCATTGTAGTTTGATTTATGATGTCAAACGGGGTGAATCCCGTGGGTAGCAGCTAGTTATTATATAAGTTTTTTTTTTAATTATTCAGATTTGATTATGATATTTTGTCATATTCAATGGATGAACCCCGTCCTGAAACCGCCACCATAAACATATTACAAATATTTCGATTCTATCGCGAATTGTTTGTTGTATTCGTACGTGTCATCTACAAATTTAACAGAACCCCCAGGATAAGCTATGGTGAACGGTATTTAAAAACAATGTATTGGATATTCAATACATCAGAAGCTATGACAAACACAAAGTGGCATATATTGATATAGGTATGGAAACAACATCGATATTTTAAATACGTCAACAATCTTGTTGCCATCGACAGCGAGT